GGTCGCACTGGGGGCGGCGCGACACGGCTCGGGCCCGACAGTGCCCCACCGGGGCCCTAGTTATTATTTTTCCTCCCCTTTGAACTGGAAAATGGCCCACTTCCCACCCGCGAAAACTCATGAAATTTGGCAGGACGACCGGGCCTGGTGAAAAATTTGATATTCCGAAGTCGCCCAAACAAGAAAATGCAAAATGGCTCCATAGCGCCCCCTAAGGTGAAAATTCACACTATTGACTGTCACGCCTGTACGCTTTGTCAAAATGACACAAAAATTGACACACACATGTATCTCAATAAGATCTACAAAAAAGTCAGTGCGGGCGTATCTGTCAAATGTACGGTTAAAGGGTTATTTCGCATTTTTTGCCGATCCGCACACATTGGAATTTCGCTAACTCCTCCGAAGGCTTTCGTTCCACCGGCACCACATTTGCTCAGGCCAATCTACACCCCATGGCCATTAAAAGTTATTCAAATCATGACGCTGCACCCCACGGTTTAGGTTCTAGGGGGCGCCAAAGATAACCCTAAGATCCACATATTTAAAAGTCTTATAACTTTTTATTTTTGCCCTCACTGGCCTCCAAGTTTTCTAGGATGATGCAATGTCCAGCCATCAACACATTTGTGAAGGAATTTTTACTCCCCAAAAGAGCGCCCCCCATGGCAGGAGAAAAAAGTCCATTTTTTCTTGTCCCCTAAGGTGAAAATACACATTGTTGAGTGTAACACCTGTACGCTTTGGCAAAATGACACCAAAATTGAGACACACATGTATCTCAATAAGATCTACAAAAAAGTCAATGCGCACGTATCTGTCAAATGTACGGTTAAAGGGTTATTCCGCATTTTTTGCCGATCCGCACACATTGGAATTTCGCTAACTCCTCCGAAGGCTTTCGTTCCACCGGCACCACATTTTCTCAGGCCAATCTACACCCCATGGCCATTAAAAGTTATTCAAATCATGACGCTGCACCCCACGGTTTAGGTTCTAGGGGGCGCCAAAGATAACCGTAAAATCCACATATTTAAAAGTCTTATAACTTTTTATTTTTGTCCCCACTGGCCTCCAAGTTTTCTAGGATGATGCAATGTCCAGCCATCAACACATTTGTGAAGGAATTTTTACTCGCCAAAAGAGCGCCCCCCCATGGCAGGAGAAAAAAGTCCATTTTTTCTTGTCCACTAAGGTGAAAATACACATTGTTGAGTGCTACGCCTGTATGTTTTGTCGTATTGACACAAAATTTTACATACACGTGTCTTTCAATAAGATCTTCGAAAAAGTCAATGGCCACGTATCTGTAAAATGTACGGTTAAAGGGTTATTTCGCATTTTTTGCAGATTCGCACACATTGGAATTTCGCTAACTCCTCCGAAGGCTTTCGTTCCACCGGCACCACATTTGCTCAGGCCAATCTACACCCCATGGCCATTAAAAGTTATTCAAATCATGACGCTGCACCCCACGGTTTAGGTTCTAGGGGGCGCCAAAGATAACCCTAAAATCCACATATTTAAAAGTCTTATAACTTTTTATTTTTGTCCTCACTGGCCTCCATGTTTTCTAGGATGATGCAATGTCCAGCCATCAACACATTTGTGAAGGAGTTTTTTCTCGTTAAAAGAGCGCCCCCCCATGGCAGGAGAATAAAGTCAAGTTTTTCCTGTTTATCATTCAATGGCTCAAACGCACTGCTCTCTCGGCAAAAGCGAAAGGAGGAGCAACTTGCCATTTGGATATATCTTAGCTGTGTTTGTGCCCTCACTCATGGTCCAGACTTTTTTCAAATAGGACATGGAGTTTTTCTGCAGCGAGCGTTTTGGTAGAAACTGCGCCTCCCGTTCATTATAATGGTAAATGACCACAAACAAGTGCGCACACCATCTTTGGACCTTGAGTGTGACGCGATCGGGTGGGGGAGGCGGTCGTGCTGGGGGCGGCGTGACACGGCTCGGGCCCGCCAGTGCCCCAACGGGGCCCTAGTTGTTTCTTTCTTAGGGCCCGAGCGTAGCTGCTAAGCAGCTGCGAGAGCCCTCTTGTTCCTGTAGTTTCCTTCTTTTGTTAGGGCCCGAGCCAGCTGCAGAGCAGCCGGGCGTAGAGCCCTATTATTCCTGTATAGGTTTTTCTTTCTTCTTTCTTTCTTTCTTTCTTTCTTTCTTTCTTTAGGGCCCGAGCGTAGCTGCTAAGCAGCTGCGAGAGCCCTATTATTCCCCAAGTGGTTTTTCTTTGTTTCTTTCTTTCTTTCTTTCTTCTTTTTCCTCCCCTTTGAACTGGAAAATGGCCCACTTCCCACTGGCGAAAACTCATGAAATTTGGCAGGACGACCGGGCCTGGTGAAAAATTCGATATTCTGAAGTCGCCCAAACAATAAAATGCAAAATGGCTCCATAGCGCCCCCTAAGGTGGAAATTCACACTATTGACTGTCACGCCTGTACGCTTTGTCATATTGACACAAAAATTGACACACATATGTATCTCAATAAGATCTACAAAAAAGTCAGTGCGGCCGTATCTGTCAAAATTACGGTTAAAGGGTTATTTCGCATTTTTTGCCGATCCGCACACATTGGAATTTCGCTAACTCCTCCGAAGGCTTTCGTTCCACCGGCACCACATTTGCTCAGGCCAATCTACACCCCGTGGCCATTAAAAGTTATCAAAATCATGACGCTGCACCCCAAGGTTTAGGTTCTAGGGGGCGCCAAAGATAACACTAAAATCCACATATTTAAAAGTCTTATAACTTTTTATTTTTGTCCTCACTGGCCTCCAAGTTTTCTAGGATGATGCAATGTCCAGCCATCAACACATTTGTGAAGGAATTTTTACTCCCCAAAAGAGCGCCCCCCCATGGCAGGAGAAAAAAGTCCATTTTTTCTTGTCCCCTAAGGTGAAAATACACATTGTTGAGTGTCACGCCTATACGCTTTGTCAAAATGACACAAAAATTGACACACACATGTAACTCAATAAGATCTACGAAAAAGTCAATGCGCGCGTATCTGTCAAATGTACGGTTAAAGGGTTATTTTGCATTTTTTGCCGATGCGCACACATTGGAATTTCGCTAACTCCTCCGAAGGCTTTCGTTCCACCGGCACCACATTTGCTCAGGCCAATCTACACCCCATGGCCATTAAAAGTTATTCAAATCATGATGCTGCACCCCACGGTTTAGGTTCTAGGGGGCGCCAAATATAACCCTAAAATCCACATATTTAAAAGTCTTATAACTTTTTATTTTTGTCCTCACTGGCCTCCAAGTTCTCTAGGATGATGCAATGTCCAGCCATCAACACATTTGTGAAGGAATTTTTACTCCCCAAAAGAGCGTCCCCCCATGGCAGGAGAAAAAAGTCCATTTTTTCTTGTCCCCTAAGGTGAAAATACATATTGTTGAGTGCCACGCCTGTACGCTTTGTCATATTGACACAAAATTTGACAATCACGTGTGTCTCAATAACATCTACGAAAAAGTCAATGCATGCGTATCTGTAAAATGTACGGTTAAAGGGCTATTTTGCATTTTTTGCCGATTCGCACACATTGGAATGTGGCTAACTCCTCCTAAGGCTTTCGTCCCACTGACACCAAATTTGCTCAGGCCAATCTACACCCCATGGCCATTCAAAGTTGTAAAAATCATGACGCTGCACCCCACGGTTTAGGTTCTAGGGGGCGCCAAAGATGACCCAAATATCCACATTCTTAAAAGAATCCACACCCCCCATCCCCCATCCCCCATGGCAGGAGAAACAGTCAAGTTTTTCCTGCCCATCACTCAATGGCTCAATCGCATCGCTCTCCCGGCAACACCGTAACGAGGAGCAACTTGCCGTTTGGATATATCCTAGCTGTGTTTGTGCCCTCACTCATGGTCCAGACTTTTTTCAAATAGGACATGTAGTTTGTCTGCAGCGAGTGTTTTGGTAGAAACTGCGCCTCCCATTCATTATAATGGGAAATGACCACAGACAAGTGCGCACACCATCTTTGGACCTTGAGTGTGACGCGATCGGGGGGAGGCGGTCGCGCTGGGGGCGGCGCGGCGCGGCTCGGGCCCGACAGTGCCCCACCGGGGCCCTAGTTAGGGCCCGAGCCAGCTGCAGAGCAGCCGGGCGTAGGCCCTATTATTCCCCAAGTGGTTTTTCTTTGTTTCTTTCTTTCTTTCTTTCTTTCTTTCTTCTTTTTCCTCCCCTTTGAACTGGAAAATGGCCCACTTCCCACTGGCGAAAACTCATGAAATTTGGCAGGACGACCGGGCCTGGTGAAAAATTCGATATTCTGAAGTCGCCCAAACAATAAAATGCAAAATGGCTCCATAGCGCCCCCTAAGGTGGAAATTCACACTATTGACTGTCACGCCTGTACGCTTTGTCATATTGACACAAAAATTGACACACATATGTATCTCAATAAGATCTACAAAAAAGTCAGTGCGGCCGTATCTGTCAAAATTACGGTTAAAGGGTTATTTCGCATTTTTTGCCGATCCGCACACATTGGAATTTCGCTAACTCCTCCGAAGGCTTTCGTTCCACCGGCACCACATTTGCTCAGGCCAATCTACACCCCGTGGCCATTAAAAGTTATCAAAATCATGACGCTGCACCCCAAGGTTTAGGTTCTAGGGGGCGCCAAAGATAACACTAAAATCCACATATTTAAAAGTCTTATAACTTTTTATTTTTGTCCTCACTGGCCTCCAAGTTTTCTAGGATGATGCAATGTCCAGCCATCAACACATTTGTGAAGGAATTTTTACTCCCCAAAAGAGCGCCCCCCCATGGCAGGAGAAAAAAGTCCATTTTTTCTTGTCCCCTAAGGTGAAAATACACATTGTTGAGTGTCACGCCTATACGCTTTGTCAAAATGACACAAAAATTGACACACACATGTAACTCAATAAGATCTACAAAAAAGTCCATGCGCGCGTATCTGTCAAATGTACAGTTAAAGGGTTATTCCGCATTTTTTGCCGATACGCACACATTGGAATTTCGCTAACTCCTCCGAAGGCTTTCGTTCCACCGGCACCACATTTGCTCAGGCCAATCTACACCCCATGGCCATTAAAAGTTATTCAAATCATGATGCTGCACCCCATGGTTTAGGTTCTAGGGGGCGCCAAAAATAACCCAAAAATCCACATTCTTAAATGTTTTATAACTTTTTATTTTTGTCCTCACTGGCCTCCAAGTTTTCTAGGATGATGCAATGTCCAGCCATCAACACATTTGTGAAGGAATTTTTACTCCCCAAAAGAGCGCCCCCCCATGGTAGGAGAAAAAAGTCAATTTTTTCTTGTCCCCTTACATAAAAATACACATTGTTGAGTGTCACGCCTGAACGCTTTGTCATATTGACACAAAAATTGACAATCATGTGTATCTCAATTAGATCTACGAAAAAGTCAAAGAGCGCGTATCTGTATAATGTACGGTTAAAGGGCTATTTTGCATTTTTGCCGATTCGCACACATTGGAATGTGGCTATCTCCTCCTAATGCTTTCGTCCCACCGATACCAAATTTGCTCAGGGCAATCTACACCCCATGCCCATTCAAAGTTGTAAAAATCATGACGCTGCACCCCACGGTTTACGTTCTAGGGGGCGCCAAAGATGACCCAAAAATCCACATTCTTAAAAGTCATTTTGGCCACTGCAGGAGTACAGAGTACTGCAGTTCTAGGGGGCGCCAAAGATGACCCAAAAATCCACATTCTTAAAAGTCTTTTTGGCCACTGCAGGAGTACAGAGTACTGCAGGATACACACACATATACACACACGCCAACATACACATACACACACACACACACACACACACACACACACACAGACAGACACACACACACACACTCAGAGTCTGTTTTTTAGCACCTGCAAAAACATGCTGTTTACATATTTGACAAGAATGCAGAGGCTTCCTTTTGCCCCTGAAAAAAATCAAATTTCAAACACAACTTGACTGTTCATTTCTCCAAAAGACAACCATGAAGCTCCATTTCAAACCTGAAGCAGATAGTTGGTGCATGTGTACAGTAACCTGAGGGGAGTGAGGTGACTATTTCTGAGGAGAACATGAGCAGTGAAGATTCACCTTGGAGCTAGAACAGGGACGTGCACATGATTATACAGGGGCAGGGGCTCAAGTTTTTTCCAGTCATTTATACAATATGGAAATTAATGTGAAATTAAACCACAAATATGTGTGATGAACTGTTTTTAAAACTTAAACTTCAAATAAAAATTGTAAACTTCAAAACATATGCAAATTTTTAACAAAGAACATAGTAATTTACCTCTATTTACATCAAAATGCAGGCAATGGCCCAGGCGTTCTTTGTAAAATTATTTACAAAACACTGTATAGTCTCACAAATGTCACTTTTTATTTATGCCACTACAAAAAAACATGATGTAAATGATGCATGATGTAAAACATGATGTAAAAAACTTGTGTAGATCCTCCTCTATGTCAGTCCATGTGTAATTTTTCCATAATTCTTTGTTTTTTGCAGCATTTTTGTTAGTGTAACTGCAGATTGTGCTGACAGTGTCTATGGCACAAAAAAAAAAAAAATTAAAATGCCTCAACATGAACCCCTGGTGGTCTCTGAGGGTGAAACCTGCTAACTGCTGCAGCTCTGTCAGCTTCAGTCTCCCATGCAGAGCTCTGAGCGCATGTGTGGCTCTGCACCCTTAGCAGCGTTGCTAACTCCTCAGTAAGGAAAGCCTGCTTCATGTCAGAGTCTCTAAACTCCAGAAGAAGTCGATAAAAGTCCCTTTCTTTCTAAAAAAAAGTCGTTAGGGTGTCTGAAAAGTCATTGAATCTAACAACAAAGTCGCTAGGTTTGCAACTACGTGTCCCAGACTGCATCCCTGCTGAGAGTCCCTCCCTCCCTTCTCATGTTGCAGGAAGAACGTAAGCGCCCGCCCCTTGTCAATCAGTCACCATATAATTTTGGATTGGTTGTTGTGGTGAAGTTTTCCACCAATAGGAGAGATGTTGTGGTGTGTTTTTTTTTTCTTTTGGCAAGCCTTTTCCGCCTGTAAGACCTGTCGCTAATGTCTGCATGCTATGTTTTCCTGTCTCATACAGCGCAATCGAGCGCCGAACGTGATCAAAATAAGCAGAAAAAAAGTATCGCGGACATAATTTATCATAACTCTGGTTTTATTTGGCCTATCAACACAATTTAAAAACTGGTATATAGGTTGAGGTCCACACTTTTGAGATAAGTTGAAACGGAGAGTCAACGAGGCTCCGTCTTGCAGCTACATCCGGTTAAATATGTCATGTGACTTGAACGCACACATAGACACACACACACACACACACACACACACACACACACACACACACACACACACACACACTCAGAGTCTGGTTTTTAGCACCTGCAAAAACATGCTATTTACATATTTGACAAGAATGCAGAGGCTCCTTTTGCCCCTGAAAAAAATCAAATTTCAAACACAACTTGACTGGTCATTTCTCCAAAAGACAACCATGAAGCTCCATCCAAACCTGAAGCAGGCAGTTGATGCATGTGTACAGTAACCTGAGGGGAGTGAGGTGACTGCTTCTGAGGAGAACATGAGCAGTGAAGATTCACCTTGGAGCTAGAACAGAGACATGCACATGATTATACAGGGGCAGGGGCTCAAGTTTTTTCCAGTCGTTTATACAATATGGAAATTAATGTGAAATTAAAACACAAAGTATTAATAGAAAGCTAATGACTGTCCTGTGTAGGTGACAGTGATATCCAATAGGCTAGGCACTCACGAGGCTGGCTGTGGCAAGTGTAAGTGAAAGCAACATGCACTGGCAGGAAGAACAGCAAACGCCGATGAAGGAAAAGGGTCTTTGCAGTGATGGGCGTTACCAGAGAGGGCGATGGCCAGAGGACACAAATGGGACGGGAAGGCAGCACGTTGGGGGGGGGACGCGACACGGCTCGGGCCCGCCAGTGCCCCAACGGGGTCCTAGTTAGGGCCCGAGCGTAGCTGCTAAGCAGCTGCGAGAGCCCTCTTGTTCCTGTAGTTTCCTTCTTTTGTTATTAGGGCCCGAGCGTAGCTGCTAAGCAGCTGCGAGAGCCCTCTTGTTATTATTATTTTTCCTCCCCTTTGAACTGGAAAATGGCCCACTTCCCACTGGCGAAAACTCATGAAATTTGGCAGGACGACCGGGCCTGGTGAAAAATTTGATATTCCGAAGTCGCCCAAACAAGAAAATGCAAAATGGCTCCATAGCGCCCCCTAAGGTGAAAATTCACACTATTCACTGTCACGCCTGTACGCTTTGTCAAAATGACACAAAAATTGACACACACATGTATCTCAATAAGATCTACAAAAAAGTCAGTGCGGGCGTATCTGTCAAATGTACGGTTAAAGGGTTATTTCGCATTTTTTGCCGATCCGCACACATTGGAATTTCGCTAACTCCTCCGAAGGCTTTCGTTCCACCGGCACCACATTTGCTCAGGCCAATCTACACCCCATGGCCATTAAAAGTTATTCAAATCATGACGCTGCACCCCACGGTTTAGGTTCTAGGGGGCGCCAAAGATAACCCTAAGATCCACATATTTAAAAGTCTTATAACTTTTTATTTTTGCCCTCACTGGCCTCCAAGTTTTCTAGGATGATGCAATGTCCAGCCATCAACACATTTGTGAAGGAATTTTTACTCGCCAAAAGAGCGCCCCCCCATGGCAGGAGAAAAAAGTCCATTTTTTCTTGTCCACTAAGGTGAAAATACACATTGTTGAGTGCTACGCCTGTATGTTTTGTCGTATTGACACAAAATTTTACATACACGTGCATTTCAATAAGATCTTCGAAAAAGTCAATGGCCACGTATCTGTAAAATGTACGGTTAAAGGGTTATTTCGCATTTTTTGCAGATTCGCACACATTGGAATTTCGCTAACTCCTCCGAAGGCTTTCGTTCCACCGGCACCACATTTGCTCAGGCCAATCTACACCCCATGGCCATTAAAAGTTATTCAAATCATGACGCTGCACCCCACGGTTTAGGTTCTAGGGGGCGCCAAAGATAACCCTAAAATCCACATATTTAAAAGTCTTATAACTTTTTATTTTTGTCCTCACTGGCCTCCATGTTTTCTAGGATGATGCAATGTCCAGCCATCAACACATTTGTGAAGGAGTTTTTTCTCATTAAAAGAGCGCCCCCCCATGGCAGGAGAATAAAGTCAAGTTTTTCCTGTTCATCATTCAATGGCTCAAACGCACTGCTCTCTCGGCAAAAGCGAAAGGAGGAGCAACTTGCCATTTGGATATATCTTAGCTGTGTTTGTGCCCTCACTCATGGTCCAGACTTTTTTCAAATAGGACATGGAGTTTTTCTGCAGCGAGCGCTTTGGTAGAAACTGCGCCTCCCGTTCATTATAATGGTAATTGACCACAAACAAGTGCGCACACCATCTTTGGACCTTGAGTGTGACGCGATCGGGTGGGGGAGGCGGTCGCGCTGGGGGCGGCGTGACACGGCTCGGGCCCGCCAGTGCCCCAACGGGGCCCTAGTTTCTTCTTTTTCCTCCCCTTTGAACTGGAAAATGGCCCACTTCCCACTGGCGAAAACTCATGAAATTTGGCAGGACGACCGGGCCTGGTGAAAAATTCGATATTCTGAAGTCGCCCAAACAATAAAATGCAAAATGGCTCCATAGCGCCCCCTAAGGTGGAAATTCACACTATTGACTGTCACGCCTGTACGCTTTGTCATATTGACACAAAAATTGACACACATATGTATCTTAATAAGATCTACAAAAAAGTCAGTGCGGCCGTATCTGTCAAAATTACGGTTAAAGGGTTATTTCGCATTTTTTGCCGATCCGCAAACATTGGAATTTCGCTAACTCCTCCGAAGGCTTTCGTTCCACCGGCACCACATTTGCTCAGGCCAATCTACACCCCGTGGCCATTAAAAGTTATCAAAATCATGACGCTGCACCCCAAGGTTTAGGTTCTAGGGGGCGCCAAAGATAACACTAAAATCCACATATTTAAAAGTCTTATAACTTTTTATTTTTGTCCTCACTGGCCTCCAAGTTTTCTAGGATGATGCAATGTCCAGCCATCAACACATTTGTGAAGGAATTTTTACTCCCCAAAAGAGCGCCCCCCATGGCAGAAGAAAAAAGTCCATTTTTTCTTGTCCCCTAAGGTGAAAATACACATTGTTGAGTGTCACGCCTATACGCTTTGTCAAAATGACACAAAAATTGACACACACATGTAACTCAATAAGATCTACGAAAAAGTCAATGCGCGCGTATCTGTCAAATGTACGGTTAAAGGGTTATTCCGCATTTTTTGCCGATCCGCACACATTGGAATGTGGCTAACTCCTCCTAAGGCTTTCGTTCCACCGGCACCACATTTGCTCAGGCCAATCTACACCCCGTGGCCATTAAAAGTTATCAAAATCATGACGCTGCACCCCAAGGTTTAGGTTCTAGGGGGCGCCAAAGATAACACTAAAATCCACATATTTAAAAGTCTTATAACTTTTTATTTTTGTCCTCACTGGCCTCCAAGTTTTCTAGGATGATGCAATGTCCAGCCATCAACACATTTGTGAAGGAATTTTTACTCCCCAAAAGAGCGCCCCCCATGGCAGAAGAAAAAAGTCCATTTTTTCTTGTCCCCTAAGGTGAAAATTCACACTATTGACTGTCAGGCCTGTACGCTTTGTCATATTGACACAAAAATTGACACACACATGTATCTCAATAAGATCTACGAAAAAGTCAATGCCGCGTATCTGTCAAATGTACGGTTAAAGGGTTATTTCGCATTTTTTGCCGATGCGCACACATTGGAATTTCGCTAACTCCTCCTAAGGCTTTCGTTCCACCGGCACCACATTTGCTCAGGCCAATCTACACCCCATGGCCATTGAAAGTTATTCAAATCATGATGCTGCACCCCACGGTTTAGGTTCTAGGGGGCGCCAAATATAACCCTAAATCCACATATTTAAAAGTCTTATAACTTTTTATTTTTGTCCTCACTGGCCTCCAAGTTCTCTAGGATGATGCAATGTCCAGCCATCAACACATTTGTGAAGGAATTTTTACTCCCCAAAAGAGCGCCCCCCATGGCAGGAGAAAAAAGTCAATTTTTTCTTGTCCCCTAAGGTGAAAATACACATTGTTGAGTGTCACGCCTGTATGCTTTGTCATATTGACACAAAATTTGACAATCACGTGTGTCTCAATAACATCTACGAAAAAGTCAATTCACGCGTATCTGTCAAATGTACGGTTAAAGGGCTATTTTGCATTTTTTGCCGATTCGCACACATTGGAATGTGGCTAACTCCTCCTAAGGCTTTCATCCCACTGACACCAAATTTGCTCAGGCCAATCTACACCCCATGGCCATTAAAAGTTGTAAAAATCATGACGGTGCACCCCACGGTTTACGTTCTAGGGGGCGCCAAAGATGACCCAAATATCCACATTCTTAAAAGAATCCACATCTCCCCCCCCCCCATCCCCCATCCCCCATGGCAGGAGAAACAGTCAAGTTTTTCCTGCCCATCACTCAATGGCTCAATCGCATCGCTCTTCCGGCAACACCGTAACGAGGAGCAACTTGCCGTTTGGATATATCCTAGCTGTGTTTGTGCCCTCACTCATGGTCCAGACTTTTTTCAAATAGGATATGTAGTTTGTCTGCAGCGAGTGTTTTGGTAGAAACTGCGCCTCCCATTCATTATAATGGGAAATGACCACAGACAAGTGCGCACACCATCTTTGGACCTTGAGTGTGACGCGATCAGGAGGGGGAGGTGGTCGCGCTGGGGGCGGCGCGACGCGGCTCGGGCCCGACAGTGCCCCACCGGGGCCCTAGTTAGGGCCCGAGCGTAGCTGCTAAGCAGCTGCGAGAGCCCTATTATTCCCCAAGTGGTTTTTCTTTTTAGGGCCCGAGCGTAGCTGCTAAGCAGCTGCGAGAGCCCTCTTGTTCCTGTAGTTTCCTTCTTTTGTTATTATTAGGGCCCGAGCCAGCTGCAGAGCAGCCGGGCGTAGGCCCTATTATTCCCCAAGTGGTTTTTCTTTGTTTCTTTCTTTCTTTCTTTCTTTCTTCTTTTTACTCCCCTTTGAACTGGAAAATGGCCCACTTCCCACTGGCGAAAACTCATGAAATTTGGCAGGACGACCGGGCCTGGTGAAAAATTCGATATTCTGAAGTCGCCCAAACAATAAAATGCAAAATGGCTCCATAGCGCCCCCTAAGGTGGAAATTCACACTATTGACTGTCACGCCTGTACGCTTTGTCATATTGACACAAAAATTGACACACATATGTATCTTAATAAGATCTACAAAAAAGTCAGTGCGGCCGTATCTGTCAAAATTACGGTTAAAGGGTTATTTCGCATTTTTTGCCGATCCGCACACATTGGAATTTCGCTAACTCCTCCGAAGGCTTTCGTTCCACCGGCACCACATTTGCTCAGGCCAATCTACACCCCGTGGCCATTAAAAGTTATCAAAATCATGACGCTGCACCCCAAGGTTTAGGTTCTAGGGGGCGCCAAAGATAACACTAAAATCCACATATTTAAAAGTCTTATAACTTTTTATTTTTGTCCTCACTGGCCTCCAAGTTTTCTAGGATGATGCAATGTCCAGCCATCAACACATTTGTGAAGGAATTTTTACTCCCCAAAAGAGCGCCCCCCCATGGCAGAAGAAAAAAGTCCATTTTTTCTTGTCCCCTAAGGTGAAAATACACATTGTTGAGTGTCACGCCTATACGCTTTGTCAAAATGACACAAAAATTGACACACACATGTAACTCAATAAGATCTACGAAAAAGTCAATGCGCGCGTATCTGTCAAATGTACGGTTAAAGGGTTATTCCGCATTTTTTGCCGATCCGCACACATTGGAATGTGGCTAACTCCTCCTAAGGCTTTCGTTCCACCGGCACCACATTTGCTCAGGCCAATCTACACCCCGTGGCCATTAAAAGTTATCAAAATCATGACGCTGCACCCCAAGGTTTAGGTTCTAGGGGGCGCCAAAGATAACACTAAAATCCACATATTTAAAAGTCTTATAACTTTTTATTTTTGTCCTCACTGGCCTCCAAGTTTTCTAGGATGATGCAATGTCCAGCCATCAACACATTTGTGAAGGAATTTTTACTCCCCAAAAGAGCGCCCCCCCATGGCAGAAGAAAAAAGTCCATTTTTTCTTGTCCCCTAAGGTGAAAATTCACACTATTGACTGTCAGGCCTGTACGCTTTGTCATATTGACACAAAAATTGACACACACATGTATCTCAATAAGATCTACGAAAAAGTCAATGCCGCGTATCTGTCAAATGTACGGTTAAAGGGTTATTTCGCATTTTTTGCCGATGCGCACACATTGGAATTTCGCTAACTCCTCCTAAGGCTTTCGTTCCACCGGCACCACATTTGCTCAGGCCAATCTACACCCCATGGCCATTGAAAGTTATTCAAATCATGATGCTGCACCCCACGGTTTAGGTTCTAGGGGGCGCCAAATATAACCCTAAATCCACATATTTAAAAGTCTTATAACTTTTTATTTTTGTCCTCACTGGCCTCCAAGTTCTCTAGGATGATGCAATGTCCAGCCATCAACACATTTGTGAAGGAATTTTTACTCCCCAAAAGAGCGCCCCCCCATGGCAGGAGAAAAAAGTCAATTTTTTCTTGTCCCCTAAGGTGAAAATACACATTGTTGAGTGTCACGCCTGTACGCTTTGTCATATTGACACAAAATTTGACAATCACGTGTGTCTCAATAACATCTACGAAAAAGTCAATTCACGCGTATCTGTCAAATGTACGGTTAAAGGGCTATTTTGCATTTTTTGCCGATTCGCACACATTGGAATGTGGCTAACTCCTCCTAAGGCTTTCATCCCACTGACACCAAATTTGCTCAGGCCAATCTACACCCCATGGCCATTAAAAGTTGTAAAAATCATGACGGTGCACCCCACGGTTTACGTTCTAGGGGGCGCCAAAGATGACCCAAATATCCACATTCTTAAAAGAATCCACATCCCCCCCCCCCCCATCCCCCATCCCCCATCCCCCATGGCAGGAGAAACAGTCAAGTTTTTCCTGCCCATCACTCAATGGCTCAATCGCATCGCTCTCCCGGCAACACCGTAACGAGGAGCAACTTGCCGTTTGGATATATCCTAGCTGTGTTTGTGCCCTCACTCATGGTCCAGACTTTTTTCAAATAGGATATGTAGTTTGTCTGCAGCGAGTGTTTTGGTAGAAACTGCGCCTCCCATTCATTATAATGGGAAATGACCACAGACAAGTGCGCACACCATCTTTGGACCTTGAGTGTGACGCGATCAGGAGGGGGAGGTGGTCGCGCTGGGGGCGGCGCGACGCGGCTCGGGCCCGACAGTGCCCCACCGGGGCCCTAGTTAGGGCCCGAGCGTAGCTGCTAAGCAGCTGCGAGAGCCCTATTATTCCCCAAGTGGTTTTTCTTTTTAGGGCCCGAGCGTAGCTGCTAAGCAGCTGCGAGAGCCCTCTTGTTCCTGTAGTTTCCTTCTTTTGTTATTATTAGGGCCCGAGCCAGCTGCAGAGCAGCCGGGCGTAGGCCCTATTATTCCCCAAGTGGTTTTTCTTTGTTTCTTTCTTTCTTTCTTTCTTTCTTCTTTTTCCTCCCCTTTGAACTGGAAAATGGCCCACTTCCCACTGGCGAAAACTCATGAAATTTGGCAGGACGACCGGGCCTGGTGAAAAATTCGATATTCTGAAGTCGCCCAAACAATAAAATGCAAAATGGCTCCATAGCGCCCCCTAAGGTGGAAATTCACACTATTGACTGTCACGCCTGTACGCTTTGTCATATTGACACAAAAATTGACACACATATGTATCTCAATAAGATCTACAAAAAAGTCAGTGCGGCCGTATCTGTCAAAATTACGGTTAAAGGGTTATTTCGCATTTTTTGCCGATCCGCACACATTGGAATTTCGCTAACTCCTCCGAAGGCTTTCGTTCCACCGGCACCACATTTGCTCAGGCCAATCTACACCCCGTGGCCATTAAAAGTTATCAAAATCATGACGCTGCACCCCAAGGTTTAGGTTCTAGGGGGCGCCAAAGATAACACTAAAATCCACATATTTAAAAGTCTTATAACTTTTTATTTTTGTCCTCACTGGCCTCCAAGTTTTCTAGGATGATGCAATGTCCAGCCATCAACACATTTGTGAAGGAATTTTTACTCCCCAAAAGAGCGCCCCCCCATGGCAGGAGAAAAAAGTCCATTTTTTCTTGTCCCCTAAGGTGAAAATACACATTGTTGAGTGTCACGCCTATACGCTTTGTCAAAATGACACAAAAATTGACACACACATGTAACTCAATAAGATCTACAAAAAAGTCCATGCGCGCGTATCTGTCAAATGTACAGTTAAAGGGTTATTCCGCATTTTTTGCCGATTCGCACACATTGGAATTTCGCTAACTCCTCCGAAGGCTTTCGTTCCACCGGCACCACATTTGCTCAGGCCAATCTACACCCCATGGCCATTAAAAGTTATTCAAATCATGATGCTGCACCCCATGGTTTAGGTTCTAGGGGGCGCCAAAAATAACCCAAAAATCCACATTCTTAAATGTTTTATAACTTTTTATTTTTGTCCTCACTGGCCTCCAAGTTTTCTAGGATGATGCAATGTCCAGCCATCAACACATTTGTGAAGGAATTTTTACTCCCCAAAAGAGCGCCCCCCCATGGTAGGAGAAAAAAGTCAATTTTTTCTTGTCCCCTTACATGAAAATACACATTGTTGAGTGTCACGCCTGAACGCTTTGTCATATTGACACAAAAATTGACAATCATGTGTATCTCAATTAGATCTACGAAAAAGTCAAAGAGCGCGTATCTGTATAATGTACGGTTAAAGGGCTATTTTGCATTTTTTGCCGATTCGCACACATTGGAATGTGGCTATCTCCTCCTAAGGCTTTCGTCCCACCGATACCAAATTTGCTCAGGGCAATCTACACCCCATGCCCATTCAAAGTTGTAAAAATCATGACGCTGCACCCCACGGTTTACGTTCTAGGAGGCGCCAAAGATGACCCAAAAATCCACATTCTTAAAAGTCATTTTGGCCACTGCAGGAGTACAGAGTACTGCAGTTCTAGGGGGCGCCAAAGATGACCCAAAAATCCACATTCTTAAAAGTCTTTTTGGCCACTGCAGGAGTACAGAGTACTGCAGGATACACACACATATACACACACGCCAACATACACACACACACACACACACACACACACACACACACACACACACACACACAGACACACACACACACTCAGAGTCTGTTTTTTAGCACCTGCAAAAACATGCTGTTTACATATTTGACAAGAATGCAGAGGCTTCCTTTTGCCCCTGAAAAAAATCAAATTTCAAACACAACTTGACTGTTCATTTCTCCAAAAGACAACCATGAAGCTCCATTTCAAACCTGAAGCAGATAGTTGGTGCATGTGTACAGTAACCTGAGGGGAGTGAGGTGACTATTTCTGAGGAGAACATGAGCAGTGAAGATTCACCTTGGAGCTAGAACAGGGACGTGCACATGATTATACAGGGGCAGGGGCTCAAGTTTTTTCCAGTCATTTATACAATATGGAAATTAATGTGAAATTAAACCACAAATATGTGTGATGAACTGTTTTTAAAACTTAAACTTCAAATAAAAATTGTAAACTTCAAAACATATGCAAATTTTTAACAAAGAACATAGTAATTTACCTCTATTTACATCAAAATGCAGGCAATGGCCCAGGCGTTCTTTGTAAAATTATTTACAAAACACTGTATAGTCTCACAAATGTCACTTTTTATTTATGCCACTACAAAAAAACATGATGTAAATGATGCATGATGTAAAACATGATGTAAAAAATTTGTGTAGATCCTCCTCTATGTCAGTCCATGTGTAATTTTTCCATAATTCTTTGTTTTTGCAGCATTTTTGTTCGTGTAACTGCAGATTGTGCTGACAGTGTCTATGGCACAAAAAAAAAAAAAACTGAAAATGCCTCAACATGAACCCCTGGTGGTCTCTGAGGGTGAAACCTGCTAACTGCTGCAGCTCTGTCAGCTTCAGTCTCCCATGCAGAGCTCGGAGCGCATGTGTGGCTCTGCACCCTTAGCAGCGTTGCTAACTCCTCAGTAAGGAAAGCCTGCTTCATGTCAGAGTCTCTAAACTCCAGAAGAAGTCGATAAAAGTCACTTTCTTTCTAAAAAAAGTCGTTGGGGGGTCTGAAAAGTCATTGAATCTAACAACAAAGTCGCTAGGTTTGCAACTACGTGTCCCAGACTGCATCCCTGCTGAGAGTCCCTCCCTCCCTTCTCATGTTGCAGGAAGAACGTAAGCGCCCGCCCCTTGTCAATCAGTCACCATATAATTTTGGATTGGTTGTTGTGGTGAAGTTTTCCACCAATAGGAGAGATGTTGTGGTGTGTTTTTTTTTTCTTTTGGCAAGCCTTTTCCGCCTGTAAGACCTGTCGCTAATGTCTGCATGCTATGTTTTCCTGTCTCATACAGCGCTATCGAGCGCCGAACGTGATCAAAATAAGCAGAAAAAAAGTATCGCGGACATAATTTATCATAACTCTGGTTTTATTTGGCCTATCAACACAATTTAAAAACTGGTATATAGGTTGAGGTCCTCACTTTTGAGATAAGTTGAAACGGAGAGTCAACGAGGCTCCGTCTTGCAGCTACATCCGGTTAAATATGTCATGTGACTTGAACGCACACACACACACACACACACACACACACACACACACACACACTCAGAGTCTGGTTTTTAGCACCTGCAAAAACATGCTATTTACATATTTGACAAGAATGCAGAGGCTCCTTTTGCCCCTGAAAAAAATCAAATTTCAAACACAACTTGACGGGTCATTTCTCCAAAAGACAACCATGAAGCTCCATCCAAACCTGAAGCAGGCAGTTGGTGCATGTGTACAGTAACCTGAGGGGAGTGAGGTGAGTGCTTCTGAGGAGAACATGAGCAGTGAAGATTCACCTTGGAGCTAGAACAGAGACGTGCACATGATTATACAGGGGCAGGGGCTCAAGTTTTTTCCAGTCATTTATACAATATGGAAATTAATGTGAAATTAAACCACAAATATGTGTGATGAACTGTTTTTAAAACTTAAACTTCAAATAAAAATTGTAAACTTCAAAACATATGCAAATTTTTAACAAAGAACATAGTAATTTACCTCTATTTACATCAAAATGCAGGCAATGGCCCAGGCGTTCTTTGTAAAATTATTTACAAAACACTGTATAGTCTCACAAATGTCACTTTTTATTTATGCCACTACAAAAAAACATGATGTAAATGATGCATGATGTAAAACATGATGTAAAAAATTTGTGTAGATCCTCCTCTATGTCAGTCCATGTGTAATTTTTCCATAATTCTTTGTTTTTTGCAGCATTTTTGTTAGTGTAACTGCAGATTGTGCTGACAGTGTCTATGGCACAAAAAAAAAAAAACTGAAAATGCCTCAACATGAACCCCTGGTGGTCTCTGAGGGTGAAACCTGCTAACTGCTGCAGCTCTGTCAGCTTCAGTCTCCCATGCAGAGCTCGGAGCGCATGTGTGGCTCTGCACCCTTAGCAGCGTTGCTAACTCCTCAGTAAGGAAAGCCTGCTTCATGTCAGAGTCTCTAAACTCCAGAAGAAGTCGATAAAAGTCACTTTCTTTCTAAAAAAAAGTCGTTGGGGGGTCTGAAAAGTCATTGAATCTAACAACAAAGTCGCTAGGTTTGCAACTACGTGTCCCAGACTGCATCCCTGCTGAGAGTCCCTCCCTCCCTTCTCATGTTGCAGGAAGAACGTAAGCGCCCGCCCCTTGTCAATCAGTCACCATATAATTTTGGATTGGTTGTTGTGGTGAAGTTTTCCACCAATAGGAGAGATGTTGTGGTGTGTTTTTTTTTTCTTTTGGCAAGCCTTTTCCGCCTGTAAGACCTGTCGCTAATGTCTGCATGCTATGTTTTCCTGTCTCATACAGCGCTATCGAGCGCCGAACGTGATCAAAATAAGCAGAAAAAAAGTATCGCGGACATAATTTATCATAACTCTGGTTTTATTTGGCCTATCAACACAATTTAAAAACTGGTATATAGGTTGAGGTCCTCACTTTTGAGATAAGTTGAAACGGAGAGTCAACGAGGCTCCGTCTTGCAGCTACATCCGGTTAAATATGTCATGTGACTTGAACGCACACACACACACACACACACACACACACACACACACACACACACTCAGAGTCTGGTTTTTAGCACCTGCAAAAACATGCTATTTACATATTTGACAAGAATGCAGAGGCTCCTTTTGCCCCTGAAAAAAATCAAATTTCAAACACAACTTGACGGGTCATTTCTCCAAAAGACAACCATGAAGCTCCATCCAAACCTGAAGCAGGCAGTTGGTGCATGTGTACAGTAACCTGAGGGGAGTGAGGTGAGTGCTTCTGAGGAGAACATGAGCAGTGAAGATTCACCTTGGAGCTAGAACAGAGACATGCACATGATTATACAGGGGCAGGGGCTCAAGTTTTTTCCAGTCGTTTATACAATATGGAAATTAATGTGAAATTAAAACACAAAGTATTAATAGAAAGGTAATGACTGTCCTGTGTAGGTGACAGTGATATCCAATAGGCTAGGCACTCACGAGGCTGGCTGTGGCAAGTGTAAGTGAAAGCAACACGCACTGGCAGGAAGAATAGCAAACGCCGATGAAGGAAAAGGGTCTTTGCAGTGATGGGCGTTACCAGAGAGGGCGATGGCCAGAGGACACAAATGGGACGGGGAGGCAGCGCGTTGGGGGGGGGGGGCGACACGGCTCGGGCCCGCCAGTGCCCCAACGGGGTCCTAGTTAGGGCCCGAGCGTAGCTGCTAAGCAGCTGCGAGAGCCCTATTATTCCCCAAGTGGTTTTTCTTTGTTTCTTTAGGGCCCGAGCGTAGCTGCTAAGCAGCTGCGAGAGCCCTCTTGTTCCTGATGGATTCTTCTTTCGTTATTTTTCCTCCGCTTTAAACTGGAAAATGGCCCACTTCCCACTGGCGAAAACTCAGGAAATTTGGCAGGACGACCAGGCCTGGTGAAAAATTTGATATTCCGAAGTCGCCCAAACAAAAAAATGAAAAATGGCTCCATAGCGCCCCCTATGGTGAAAACTCACCTGACGCCTGTACGCTTTGTCAAAATGACACAAAATTTGACACACATGTGTATCTCAATAAGATCTACAAAAAAGTCAGTGCAGGCGTATCTGTCAAATGTACCGTTAAAGGGCTATTTTGCATTTTTTGCCGATCCGCACACATTGGAATTTCGCTAACTCCTCCGAAGGCTTTCGTTCCACCGGCACCAAATTTGCTCAGGCCAATCTACACCCCATGGCCATTAAAAGTTGTACAAATCATGACGCTGCACCCCACGGTTTATGTTCTAGGGGGCGCCAAAGATAACCCAAAAATCCACATTCTTAAAAGTCTTATAACTTTTTATTTTTGTCCTCACTGGCCTCCAAGTTTTCTAGGATGATGCAATGTCCAGCCATCAACACATTTGTGAAGGAATTTTTACTCCCCAAAAGAGCGCCCCCCCATGGCAGGAGAAAAAAGTCAAGTTTTTCTTGTCCCCTAACATGAAAATACACATTGTTGAGTGTCACGCCTAAACGCTTTGTCATATTGACACAAAAATTGACACACACGTGTATCTCAATAAGATCTACAAAAAAGTCAAAGAGAGCCTATCTGTATAATGTACGGTTAAAGGGCTATTTTGCATTTTTTGCCGATCCGCACACATTGGAATTTCGCTAACTCCTCCGAAGGCTTTCGTTCCACCGGCACCAAATTTGCTCAGGCCAATCTACACCCCATGGCCATTGAAAGTTGTACAAATCATGACGCTGCACCCCACGGTTTAGGTTCTAGGGGGCGCCAAAGATAACCCAAAAATCCACATTCTTAAAAGTCTTATAACTTTTTATTTTTGTCCTCACTGGCCTCCAAGTTTTCTAGGATGATGCAATGTCCAGCCATCAACACATTTGTGAAGGAATTTTTACTCCCCAAAAGAGCGCCCCCCCATGGCAGGAGAAAAAAGTCCATTTTTTCTTGTCCCCTAAGGTGAAAATACACATTGTTGAGTGTCACGCCTGTACGCTTTGTCATATTGACACAAAATTTGACAATCACGTGTATCTCAATAAGATCTACGAAAAAGTCAATGCGCGCGTATCTGTCAAATGTACGGTTAAAGGGCTATTTTGCATTTTTTGCGGATTTGCACACATTGCAATGTGGCTAACTCCTCTTAGAGCTTTCATCCCACCGGCACTAAATTTTCTCAGGCCAATCTACACCCCATGGCCATTCAAAGTTGTAAAAATCATGACGCTGCACCCCACGGCTTACGTTCTAGGGGGCGCCAAAAATAACCCAGAAATCCACATTCTTAAAAGTTTTATAACTTTTTATTTTTGTCCTCACTGGCATCCAAGTTTTCTAGGATGATGCAATGTCCAGCCATCAACACATTTGTGAAGGCATTTTACTCCCCAAAAGAGCGCCCACCCATGGAAGGACAAAAAAGTCAATTTTTTCTTGTCAAGTTTTTCCTGCCCATAGCTCTATGGCTCAAACGCATCGCTCTCTCGGCAAAACCGAAAGGAGGAGCAACTTGCCATTTGGATATATCCTAGCTGTGTTTGTGCCCTCACTCATGGTCCAGACTTTTTTCAAATAGGACACGGAGTTTGTCTGCAGCGAGCGTTTTTGTAGAAACTGCACCTCCAATTCATTATAATGTTAAATGACCACAGACAAGTGCTCACACCATCTTTGGACCTTGAGTGTGACGCGATCGGAAGGGGGAGGCGGTCGCGCTGGGGGCGGCGCGACACGGCTCGGGCCCGCCAGTGCCCCACCGGGGCCCTAGTTCTTTCTTCTTTTTCCTCCCCTTTGAACTGGAAAATGGCCCACTTCCCACTGGCGAAAACTCATGAAATTTGGCAGGATGACCAGGCCTGGTGAAAAATTTGATATTCCGAAGTCGCCCAAACAAGAAAATGCAAAATGGCTCCATAGCGCCCCCTAAGGTGAAAATTCACACTATTGACTGTCACGCCTGTACGCTTTGTCAAAATGACACAAAAATTGACACACATATGTATCTCAATAAGATCTACAAAAAAGTCAGTGCGGGCATATCTGTCAAATGTACGGTTAAAGGGTTATTCCGCATTTTTTGCCGATCCGCACACATTGGAATTTCGCTAACTCCTCCGAAGGCTTTCGTTCCACCGGCACCACATTTGCTCAGGCCAATCTACACCCCATGGCCATTAAAAGTTATTCAAATCATGACGCTGCACCCCACGGTTTAGGTTCTAGGGGGCGCCAAAGATAACCCTAAAATCCACATATTTCAAAGTCTTATAACTTTTTATTTTTGCCCTCACTGGCCTCCAAGTTTTCTAGGATGATGCAATGTCCAGCCATCAACACATTTGTGAAGGAATTTTTACTCCCCAAAAGAGCGCACCCCAATGGCAGGAGAAAAAAGTCCATTTTTTCTTGTCCCCTAGGGTGAAAATACACATTGTTGAGTGTCACGCCTTTACGCTTTGTCATATTGACACAAAATTTGACACACACATGTATCTCAATAAGATCTACGAAAAAGTCAATGCGCGCGTATCTGTCAAATGTACGGTTAAAGGGTTATTACGCATTTTTTGCTGATCCGCACACATTGGAATTTCGCTAACTCCTCCTAAGGCTGGCGTTCCACCGGCACCACATTTGCTCAGGCCAATCTACACCCCATGGCCATTAAAAGTTATTCAAATCATGACGCTGCACCCCACGGTTTAGGTACTAGGGGCGCCAAAGATAACCCTAAAATCCACATATTTCAAAGTCTTATAACTTTTTATTTTTGTCCTCACTGGCCTCCAAGTTTTCTAGGATGATGCAATGTCCAGCCATCAACACATTTGTGAAGGAATTTTTACTCCCCAAAAGAGCGCCCCCCCATGGCAGGAGAAAAAAGTCAATTTTTTCTTGTCCCATAAGGTGAAAAAACACATTGTTGACTGTCATACCTGTACGCTTTGTCATATTGACACAAAATTTGACAATCACATGTATATCAATAAGATCTACGAAAAAGTCAATGCGCGTGTATCTGTAAAATGTACGGTTAAAGGGCTATTTTGCATTTTTTGCCGATTCGCACACATTGGAATGTGGCTAACTCCTCCTAAGGCTTTCGTCCCACTGACACCAAATTTGCTCAGGCCAATCTACACCCCATGGCCATTCAAAGTTGTAAAAATCATGACGCTGCATCCCACGGTTTACGTTCTAGGGGGCGCCAAAGATGACCCAAATATCCACATTCTTAAAAGAATCCACATCCCACCCCCCCCCCCCCCCCCCCATCCCCCAACCCCCATGGCAGGAGAAACAGTCAAGTTTTTCCTGCCCATCACTCAATGGCTCAATTGCATCACTCTCCCGGCAACACCGTAACGAGGAGCAACTTGCCGTTTGGATATATCCTAGCTGTGTTTGTGCCCTCACTCATGGTCCAGACTTTTTTCAAATAGGACATGTAGTTTGTCTGCAGCGAGTGTTTTGGTAGAAACTGCGCCTCCCATTCATTATAATGGGAAATGACCACAGACAAGTGCGCACACCATCTTTGGACCTTGAGTGTGACGCGATCGGGAGGGGGAGGCGGTCGCGCTGGGGGCGGCGCAACGCGGCTCGGGCCCGACAGTGCCCCACCGGGGCCCTAGTTAGGGCCCGAGCGTAGCTGCTAAGCAGCTGCGAGAGCCCTCTTGTTCCTGATGGATTCTTCTTTTGTTATTTTTCCTCCGCTTTAAACTGGAAAATGGCCCACTTCCCACTGGCGAAAACTCAGGAAATTTGGCAGGACGACCGGGCCTGGTGAAAAATTCGATATTCTGAAGTCGCCCAAACAAAAAAATGAAAAATGGCTCCATAGCGCCCCCTATGGTGAAAATTCACCTGACGCCTGTACGCTTTGTCAAAATGACACAAAATTTGACACACATGTGTATCTCAATAAGATCTACAAAAAAGTCAGTGCGGGCGTATCTGTCAAATGTACCATTAAAGGGCTATTTCGCATTTTTTGCCGATCCGCACACATTGGAATTTCGCTAACTCCTCCGAAGGCTTTCGTTCCACCGGCACCAAATTTGCTCAGGCCAATCTACACCCCATGGCCATTAAAAGTTGTACAAATCATGACGCTGCACCCCACGGTTTAGGTTCTAGGGGGCGCCAAAGATAACCCAAAAAGCCACATTCTTAAAAGTCTTATAACTTTTTATTTTTGTCCTCACTGGCCTCCAAGTTCTCTAGGATGATGCAATGTCCAGCCATCAACACATTTGTGAAGGAATTTTTACTCCCCAAAAGAGCGCCCCCCCATGGCAGTAGACAAAAGTCGATTTTTTCTTGTCCCCTAAGGTGAAAATACACATTGTTGAGTGTCACGCCTAAACGCTTTGTCATATTGACACAAAATTTGACAATCACGTGTATCTCAATAAGATCTACGAAAAAGTCAAAGAGCGCGTATCTGTATAATGTACGGTAAAAGGGCTATTTTGCATTTTTTGCCGATCCGCACACATTGGAATTTCACTAACTCCTCCGAAGGCTTTCGTTCCACCGACACCAAATTTGCTCAGGCCAATCTACACCCCATGGCCATTAAAAGTTGTACAAATCATGATGCTGCACCCCACGGTTTACGTTCTAGGGGGCGCCAAAGATAACCCAAAAATCCACATTCTTAAAAGTCTTATAACTTTTTATTTTTGTCCTCACTGGCCTCCAAGTTTTCTAGGATGATGCAATGTCTAGCCATCAACACATTTGTGAAGGAATTTTTACTCCCTAAAAGAGCGCCCCCCCCATGGCAGGAGAAAAAGTCAAGTTTTTCCTGCCCATCGCTCAATGACTCAAACACATCGCTCTCTCAGCAAAACCGAAAGGAGGAGCAAATTGCCATTTGGATATATCCTAGCTGTGTTTGTGCCCTCACTCATGGTCCAGTCCTTTTCAAATAGGACATGTAGTTTGTCTACGGCGAGCGTTTTGGTAGAAACTGCGCCTCCCATTCATTATAATTGTAAATGACCACAGACAAGTGCGCACACCATCTTTGGACCTTGAGTGTGACGCGATCGGTAGGGAGAGGCGGTCGTGTTGGGGGCGGCGCGACACGGCTCGGGCCCGCCAGTGCCCCAACGGGGCCCTAGTTATTAGGGCCCGAGCCAGCTGCAGAGCAGCCGGGCGTAGAGCCCTATTATTCCTGTATAGGTTTTTAGGGCCCGAGCCAGCTGCAGAGCAGCCGGGCGTAGGCCCTGTTATTCCTGTAGGGGTTTTTCTTTGTTTCTTTCTTTCTTCTTTTTCCTCCCCTTTGAACTGGAAAATGGCCCACTTCCCACTGGCGAAAACTCAGGAAATTTGGCAGGACGACCGGGCCTGGTGAAAAATTTGATATTCCGAAGTCGCCCAAACAAGAAAATGCAAAATGGCTCCATAGCGCCCCCTAAGGTGAAAATTCACACTATTGACTGTCACGCCTGTACGCTTTGTCAAAATGACACAAAAATTGACACACACATGTATCTTGATAAGATCTACAAAAAAGTCAGTGCGGGCGTATCTGTCAAATGTACGGTTAAAGGGTTATTTCGCATTTTTTGCCGATCCGCACACATTGGAATTTCGCTAACTCCTCCGAAGGCTTTCGTTCCACCGGCACCACATTTATTCAGGCCAATCTACACCCCGTGGCCATTAAAAGTTATCAAAATCATGACGCTGCACCCCACGGTTTAGGTTCTAGGGGGCGCCAAAGATAACACTAAAATCCACATATTTAAAAGTCTTATAACTTTTTATTTTTGTCCTCACTGGCCTCCAAGTTTTCTAGGATGATGCAATGTCCAGCCATCAACACATTTGTGAAGGAATTTTTACTCCCCAAAAGAGCGCCCCCCCATGGCAGGAGAAAAAACTCCATTTTTTCTTGTCCCCTAAGGTGAAAATACACATTGTTGAGTGTCACGCCTATACGCTTTGTCAAAATGACACAAAAATTGACACACACATGTAACTCTATAAGATCTACAAAAAAGTCAGTGCGCGCGTATCTGTCAAATGTACAGTTAAAGGGTTATTCCGCATTTTTTGCCGATACGCACACATTGGAATTTCGCTAACTCCTCCGAAGGCTTTCGTTCCACCGGCACCACATTTGCTCAGGCCAATCTACACCCCATGGCCATTAAAAGTTATTCAAATCATGATGCTGCACCCCATGGTTTAGGTTCTAGGGGGCGCCAAAGATAACCCAAAAATCCACATTCTTAAATGTTTTATAACTTTTTATTTCTGTCCTCACTGGCCTCCAAGTTTTCTAGGATGATGCAATGTCCAGCCATCAACACATTTGTGAAGGAATTTTTACTCCCCAAAAGAGCGCCCCCCCATGGTAGGAGAAAAAAGGCAATTTTTTCTTGTCCCCTTACATAAAAATACACATTGTTGAGTGTCACGCCTGAACGCTTTGTCATATTGACACAAAATTTGACAATCATGTGTATCTCAATTAGATCTACGAAAAAGTCAAAGAGCGCGTATCTGTATAATGTACGGTTAAAGGGCTATTTTGCATTTTTTGCCGATTCGCACACATTGGAATGTGGCTATCTCCTCCTAAGGCTTTCGTCCCACCGATACCAAATTTGCTCAGGGCTATCTACACCCCATGCCCATTCAAAGTTGTAAAAATCATGACGCTGCACCCCACGGTTTACGTTCTAGGGGGCGCCAAAGATGACCCAAAAATCCACATTCTTAAAAGTCATTTTGGCCACTGCAGGAGTACAGAGTACTGCAGTTCTAGGGGGCGCCAAAGATGACCCAAAAATCCACATTCTTAAAAGTCTTTTTGGCCACTGCAGGAGTACAGAGTACTGCAGGATACACACACATATACACACACGCCAACATACACACACACACACACACACACACACACACACACACAGACACACACACACACTCAGAGTCTGTTTTTTAGCACCTGCAAAAACATGCTGTTTACATATTTGACAAGAATGCAGAGGCTTCCTTTTGCCCCTGAAAAAAATCAAATTTCAAACACAACTTGACTGTTCATTTCTCCAAAAGACAACCATGAAGCTCCATTTCAAACCTGAAGCAGATAGTTGGTGCATGTGTACAGTAACCTGAGGGGAGTGAGGTGACTATTTCTGAGGAGAACATGAGCAGTGAAGATTCACCTTGGAGCTAGAACAGGGACGTGCACATGATTATAGAGGGGCAGGGGCTCAAGTTTTTTCCAGTCATTTATACAATATGGAAATTAATGTGAAATTAAACCACAAATATGTGTGATGAACTGTTTTTAAAACTTAAACTTCAAATAAAAATTGTAAACTTCAAAACATATGCAAATTTTTAACAAAGAACATAGTAATTTACCTCTATTTACATCAAAATGCAGGCAATGGCCCAGGCGTTCTTTGTAAAATTATTTACAAAACACTGTATAGTCTCACAAATGTCACTTTTTATTTATGCCACTACAAAAAAACATGATGTAAATGATGCATGATGTAAAACATGATGTAAAAAACTTGTGTAGATCCTCCTCTATGTCAGTCCATGTGTAATTTTTCCATAATTCTTTGTTTTTTGCAGCATTTTTGTTAGTGTAACTGCAGATTGTGCTGACAGTGTCTATGGCACAAAAAAAAAAAAAAATTAAAATGCCTCAACATGAACCCCTGGTGGTCTCTGAGGGTGAAACCTGCTAACTGCTGCAGCTCTGTCAGCTTCAGTCTCCCATGCAGAGCTCTGAGCGCATGTGTGGCTCTGCACCCTTAGCAGCGTTGCTAACTCCTCAGTATGGAAAGCCTGCTTCATGTCAGAGTCTCTAAACTCCAGAAGAAGTCGATAAAAGTCACTTTCTTTCTAAAAAAAAGTCGTTAGGGTGTCTGAAAAGTCATTGAATCTAACAACAAAGTCGCTAGGTTTGCAACTACGTGTCCCAGACTGCATCCCTGCTGAGAGTCCCTCCCTCCCTTCTCATGTTGCAGGAAGAACGTAAGCGCCCGCCCCTTGTCAATCAGTCACCATATAATTTTGGATTGGTTGTTGTGGTGAAGTTTTCCACCAATAGGAGAGATGTTGTGGTGTGTTTTTTTTTTCTTTTGGCAAGCCTTTTCCGCCTGTAAGACCTGTCGCTAATGTCTGCATGCTATGTTTTCCTGTCTCATACAGCGCGATCGAGCGCCGAACGTGATCAAAATAAGCAGAAAAAAAGTATCGCGGACATAATTTATCATAACTCTGGTTTTATTTGGCCTATCAACACAATTTAAAAACTGGTATATAGGTTGAGGTCCTCACTTTTGAGATAAGTTGAAACGGAGAGTCAACGAGGCTCCGTCTTGCAGCTACATCCGGTTAAATATGTCATGTGACTTGAACGCACACATAGACACACACACACACACACACACACACACACACACACACACACACACACACACACACACACACTCAGAGTCTGGTTTTTAGCACCTGCAAAAACATGCTATTTACATATTTGACAAGAATGCAGAGGCTCCTTTTGCCCCTGAAAAAAATCAAATTTCAAACACAACTTGACTGGTCATTTCTCCAAAAGACAACCATGAAGCTCCATCCAAACCTGAAGCAGGCAGTTGGTGCATGTGTACAGTAACCTGAGGGGAGTGAGGTGAGTGCTTCTGAGGAGAACATGAGCAGTGAAGATTCACCTTGGAGCTAGAACAGAGACATGCACATGATTATACAGGGGCAGGGGCTCAAGTTTTTTCCAGTCGTTTATACAATATGGAAATTAATGTGAAATTAAACCACAAAGTATTAATAGAAAGGTAATGACTGTCCTGTGTAGGTGACAGTGATATCCAATAGGCTAGGCACTCACGAGGCTGGCTGTGGCAAGTGTAAGTGAAAGCAACACGCACTGGCAGGAAGAACAGCAAACGCCGATGAAGGAAAAGGGTCTTTGCAGTGATGGGCGTTAACAGAGAGGGCGATGGCCAGAGGACACAAATGGGGCGGGGAGGCAGCACGTTGGGGGGGGGGGGGGGGGGGGAGACGCGACACGGCTCGGGCCCGCCAGTGCCCCAACGGGGTCCTAGTTCTTTCTTCTTTCTTTCTTTCTTTCTTTCTTCTTATTTTTCCTCCCCTTTGAAGGGGAAAATGGCCCACTTCCCACTGGCGAAAACTCATGAAATTTGGCAGGACGACCGGGCCTGGTGAAAAATTCGATATTCTGAAGTCGCCCAAACAATAAAATGCAAAATGGCTCCAAAGCGCCCCCTAAGGTGAAAATTCACACTATTGACTGTCACGCCTTTACGCTTTGTCATATTGACACAAAAATTGACACACACATGTATCTCAATAAGATCTACGAAAAAGTCAGTGCGGGCGTATCTGTCAAATGTACGGTTAAAGGGTTATTTCGCATTTTTTGCCGATCCGCACACATTGGAATTTCGCTAACTCCTCCGAAGGCTTTCGTTCCACCGGCACCACATTTGCTCAGGCCAATCTACACCCCATGGCCAATAAAAGTTGTACAAATCATGACGCTGCACCCCACGGTTTACGTTCTAGGGGGCGCCAAAGATAACCCAAAAATCCACAGTCTTAAAAGTCTTATAACTTTTTATTTTTGTCCTCACTGGCCTCCAAGTTCTCTAGGATGATGCAATGTCCAGCCATCAACACATTTGTGAAGGAATTTTTACTCGCCAAAAGAGCGCCCCCCCATGGCAGGAGAAAAAGTCCATTTTTTCTTGTCTCCTAAGGCGAAAATTCACACTATTGACTGTCACGCCTTTACGCTTTGTCATATTGACACAAAAATTGACATACACATGTATCTCAATAAGATCTACAAAAAAGCCAGTGCGGGCGTATCTGTCAAATGTACGGTTAAAGGGTTATTTCGCATTTTTTGCCGATCCGCACACATTGGAATTTCGCTAACTCCTCCGAAGGCTTTCGTTCCACCAGCACCACATTTGCTCAGGCCAATCTACACCCCATGGCCATTAAAAGTTGTACAAATCATGATGCTGCACCCCACGGTTTACGTTCTAGGGGGCGCCAAAGATAACCCAAATATCCACAGTCTTAAAAGTCTTATAACTTTTTATTTTTGTCCTCACTGGCCTCCAAGTTCTCTAGGATGATGCAATGTCCAGCCATCAACACATTTGTGAAGGAATTTTTACTCGCCAAAATAGCGCCCCCCCATGGCAGGAGAAAAAAGTCCATTTTTTTCTTGTCTCCTAAGGCGAAAATACACATTGTTGACTGTCACGCCTTTACGCTTTGTAAAAATGACACAAAATTTGACACACACATGTATCTCAATAAGATCTACAAAAAAGTCAGTGCGGGCGTATCTGTCAAATGTACGGTTAAAGGGTTATTTCGCATTTTTTGCCGATCCGCACACATTGGAATTTCGCTAACTCCTCCGAAGGCTTTCGTTCCAACGGCACCACATTTGCTCAGGCCAATCTACACCCCATGGCCATTAAAAGTTGTACAAATCATGACGCTGCACCCCACGGTTTACGTTCTAGGGGGCGCCAAAGATAACCCAAAAATCCACAGTCTTAAAAGTCTTATAACTTTTTATTTTTGTCCTCACTGGCCTCCAAGTTCTCTAGGATGATGCAATGTCCAGCCATCAACACATTTGTGAAGGAATTTTTACTCGCCAAAATAGCGCCCCCCCATGGCAGGAGAAAAAAGTCCATTTTTTCTTGTCTCCTAAGGCGAAAATACACATTGTTGACTGTCACGCCTTTACGCTTTGTCAAAATGACACAAAAATTTGACACACACATGTATCTCAATAAGATCTACAAAAAAGTCAGTGCGGGCGTATCTGTCAAATGTACGGTTAAAGGGTTATTTCGCATTTTTTGCCGATCCGCACACATTGGAATTTCGCTAACTCCTCCGAAGGCTTTCGTTCCAACGGCACCACATTTGCTCAGGCCAATCTACACCCCATGGCCATTAAAAGTTGTACAAATCATGACGCTGCACCCCACGGTTTACGTTCTAGGGGGCGCCAAAGATAACCCAAAAATCCACAGTCTTAAAAGTCTTATAACTTTTTAAGTGGAAATGCTGATTAATTATTTTTGTCCTCACTGGCCTCCAAGTTCTCTAGGATGATGCAATGTCCAGCCATCAACACATTTGTGAAGGAATTTTTACTCGCCAAAAGAGCGCCCCCCCATGGCAGGAGAAAAAAGTCCATTTTTTCTTGTCTCCTAAGGCGAAAATACACATTGTTGACTGTCACGCCTTTACGCTTTGTCAAAATGACACAAAATTTGACACACACATGTATCTCAATAAGATCTACGAAAAAGTCAATGCGAGCGTATCTGTTCAATGTACGGTTAAAGGGCTATTTCGCATTTTTTGCCGATTCGCACACATTGGAATGTGGCTAACTCCTCCTAAAGCTTTTGTCCCATCGGCTTCAAATTTGCTCAGGTCAATCTACACCCCATGGCCATTCAAAGTTGTACAAATCATGACGCTGCACCCCACGGTTTACGTTCTAGGGGGCGCCAAATATAACCCAAAAATCCACAGTCTTAAAAGTCTTATAACTTTTTATTTTTGTCCTCACTGGCCTCCAAGTTTTCTAGGATGATGCAATGTCCAGCCATCAACACATTTGTGAAGGAATTTTTCTCCCCAAAAGAGCGCCCCCCATGGCAGGAGAAAAAGTCAAGTTTTTCCTGCCCATCGCTCAATGGCTCAAACGCATCGCTCTCTCGGCAAAACCGAAAGGAGGAGCAACTTGCCATTTGGATATATACTAGCTGTGTTTGTGCCCTCACTCATGGTCCAGACTTTTTTCAAAAAGGACATGGAGTTTGTCTGCAGCGAGCGTTTTGGTAGAAACTGCGCCTCCCATTCATTCTAATGGTAAATGACCACAGACAAGTGCGCACACCATCTTTGGACCTTGAGTGTGACGCGATCGGGAGGGGTAGGCGGTCGCGCTGGGGGTGGCGCGATGCGGCTCAGGCCCGACAGTGCCCCACCGGGGCCCTAGTTATTATTTTTCCTCCCCTTTGAACTGGAAAATGGCCCACTTCCCACTGGCGAAAACTCATGAAATTTGGCAGGACGACCGGGCCTGGTGAAAAATTTGATATTCCGAAGTCGCCCAAACAAGAAAATGCAAAATGGCTCCATAGCGCCCCCTAAGGTGAAAATTCACACTATTCACTGTCACGCCAGTACGCTTTGTCAAAATGACACAAAAATTGACACACACATGTATCTCAATAAGATCTACAAAAAAGTCAGTGCGGGCGTATCTGTCAAATGTACGGTTAAAGGGTTATTTCGCATTTTTTGCCGATCCGCACACATTGGAATTTCGCTAACTCCTCCGAAGGCTTTCGTTCCACCGGCACCACATTTGCTCAGGCCAATCTACACCCCATGGCCATTAAAAGTTATTCAAATCATGACGCTAGACCCCACGGTTTAGGTTCTAGGGGGCGCCAAAGATAACCCTAAAATCCACATATTTCAAAGTCTTATAACTTTTTATTTTTGCCCTCACTGGCCTCCAAATTTTCTAGGATGATGCAATGTCCAGCCATCAACACATTTGTGAAGGAATTTTTAATCCCCAAAAGAGCGCCCCCCCATGGCAGGAGAAAAAAGTCCATTTTTTCTTGTCCCATAAGATGAAAAAACACATTGTTGACTGTCATACCTGTACGCTTTGTCATATTGACACAAAATTTGACAATCACATGTATCTCAATAAGATCTACGAAAAAGTCAATGCGCGCGTATCTGTAAAATGTACGGTTAAAGGGCTATTTTGCATTTTTTGCCGATTCGCACACATTGGAATGTGGCTAACTCCTCCTAAGGCTTTCGTCCCACTGACACCAAATTTGCTCAGGCCAATCTACACCCCATGGCCATTCAAAGTTGTAAAAATCATGACGCTGCACCCCACGGTTTACGTTCTAGGGGGCGCCAAAGATGACCCAAATATCCACATTCTTAAAAGAATCCACATCCCCCATCCCCCAACCCCCATGGCAGGAGAAACAGTCAAGTTTTTCCTGCCCATCACTCAATGGCTCAATCGCATCACTCTCCCGGCAACACCGTAACGAGGAGCAACTTGCCGTTTGGATATATCCTAGCTGTGTTTGTGCCCTCACTCATGGTCCAGACTTTTTTCAAATAGGACATGTAGTTTGTCTGCAGCGAGTGTTTTGGTAGAAACTGCGCCTCCCATTCATTATAATGGAAAATGACCACAGACAAGTGCGCACACCATTTTTGGACCTTGAGTGTGACGCGATAAGGAGGGGGAGGCGGTCGCGCTGGGGGCGGCGCAACGCGGCTCGGGCCCGACAGTGCCCCACCGGGGCCCTAGTTAGGGCCCGAGCGTAGCTGCTAAGCAGCTGCGAGAGCCCTCTTGTTCCTGCATGTTTCCTTCTTTTTAGGGCCCGAGCGTAGCTGCTAAGCAGCTGCGAGAGCCCTATTATTCCCCAAGGGGTTTTTCTTTGTTTCTTTTTTCTTTTTCCTCCCCTTTGAACTGGAAAATGGCCCACTTCCCACTAGCGAAAACTCATGAAATTTGGCAGGACGACCGGGCCTGGTGAAAAATTTGATATTCCGAAGTCGCCCAAACAAGAAAATGCAAAATGGCTCCATAGCGCCCCCTAAGGTGAAAATTCACACTATTGAGTGTCACGCCTGTACGCTTTGTCAAAATGACACAAAATTTGACACACACATGTATCTCAATAAGATCTACAAAAAAGTCAGTGCGGGCGTATCTGTCAAATGTACGGTTAAAGGGTTATTTCGCATTTTTTGCCGATCCGCACACATTGGAATTTCGCTAACTCCTCCGAAGGCTTTCGTTCCACCGGCACCACATTTGCTCAGGCCAATCTACACCCCATGGCCATTAAAAGTTATTCAAATCATGACGCTGCACCCCACGGTTTAGGTTCTAGGGGGCGCCAAAGATAACCCTAAAATCCACATATTTAAAAGTCTTATAACCTTTTATTTTTGCCCTCACTGGCCTCCAAGTTTTCTAGGATGATGCAATGTCCAGCCATCAACACATTTGTGAAGGAATTTTTACTCCCCAAAAGAGCGCCCCCCCATGGCAGGAGAAAAAAGTCCATTTTTTCTTGTCCCCTAAGGTGAAAATACACATTGTTGAGTGTCACGCCTGTACGCTTTGTCAAAATGACACAAAAATTGACACACACATGTATCTCAATAAGATCTACAAAAAAGTCCATGCGCGCGTATCTGTCAAATGTACGGTTAAAGGGTTATTCCGCATTTTTTGCCGATTCGCACACATTGGAATTTCGCTAACTCCTCCGAAGGCTTTCGTTCCACCGGCACCACATTTGCTCAGGCCAATCTACACCCCATGGCCATTAAATGTTATTCAAATCATGACGCTGCACCCCACGGTTTACGTTCTAGGGGGCGCCAAAGATAACCCAAAAATCCACATTTTTAAAAGTCTTATAACTTTTTATTTTTGTCCTCACTGGCCTCCAAGTTTTCTAGGATGATGCAATGTCCAGCCATCAACACATTTGTGAAGGAATTTTTACTCCCTAAAAGAGCGCCCCCCCCATGGCAGGAGAAAAAAGTCCATTTTTTCTTGTCCCCTAAGGTGAAAATACACATTGTTGACTGTCACGCCTGTACGCTTTGGCAAAATGACACAAAAATTGACAATCATGTGTATCTCAATTAGATCTACGAAAAAGTCAAAGAGCGCGTATCTGTATAATGTACGGTAAAAGGGTTATTTTGCATTTTTTGCCGATTCGCACACATTGGAATTTCGCTAACTCCTCCTAAGGCTTTCGTCCCACTGACACCAAATTTGCTCAGGCCAATCTACACCCCATGGCCATTCAAAGTTGTAAAAATCATGACGCTGCACCCCACGGTTTACGTTTTAGGGGGCGCCAAAGATGACCCAAATATACATTACAGTAGACAAAGTAGTTTTGCCCACTGAGTGGCGCCAAAGGGACTTGTCTGTGGAGTCTGTGAGTCACTATTGGCCGTTTTTGACTACTTTAGATTTTACCTTTATATTTCCTCTTACAAAATTTTTACCTTGCCTTGCCTGGTATCATTTTTTTCAGCACAACCTCACCTGTGTCAATTTACAGTTATTTTATCATTTTGACATACTATATTTACACATTGGACCCAAATTCACACACAAAACATAAAATCCGAGTGGAAAAAAGTAACGTTTTTACTGTGAAAACCACAAATATGTGTGATGAACTGTTTTTAAAACTTAAACTTCAAATAAAAATTGTAAACTTCAAAACATATGCAAATTTTTAACAAAGAACATAGTAATTTACCTCTATTTACATCAAAATGCAGGCAATGGCCCAGGTGTTCTTTGTAAAATTATTTACAAAACACTGTATAGTCTCACAAATGTCACTTTTTATTTATGCCACTACAAAAAAACATGATGTAAATGATGCATGATGTAAAACATGATGTAAAAAACTTGTGTATATCCTCCTCTATGTTAGTCCATGTGTAATTTTTCCATAATTCTTTGTTTTTTGCAGCATTTTTGTTAGTGTAACTGCAGATTGTGCTGACAGTGTCTATGGCAAAAAAAAAAAAAAAACTGAAAATGCCTCAACATGAACCCCTGGTGGTCTCTGAGGGTGAAACCTGCTAACTGCTGCAGCTCTGTCAGCTTCAGTCTCCCATGCAGAGCTCGGAGCGCATGTGTGGCTCTGCACCCTTAGCAGCGTTGCTAACTCCTCAGTAAGGAAAGCCTGCTTCATGTCAGAGTCTCTAAACTCCAGAAGAAGTCGATAAAAGTCACTTTCTTTCTAAAAAAAAAGTCGTTAGGGGGTCTGAAAAGTCATTGAATCTAACAACAAAGTCGCTAGGTTTGCAACTACGTGTCCCAGACTGCATCCCTGCTGGGAGTCCCTCCCTCCCTTCTCATATTGCAGGAAGAACGTAAGCGCCCGCCCCTTGTCAATCAGTCACCATATAATTTTGGATTGGTTGTTGTGGTGAAGTTTTCCACCAATAGGAGAGATGTTGTGGTGTGTTTTTTTTTTCCTTTGGCAAGCCTTTTCCGCCTGTAAGACCTGTCGCTAATGTCTGCATGCTATGTTTTCCTGTCTCATACAGCGCGATCGAGCGCCGAACGTGATCAAAATAAGCAGAAAAAAAGTATCGCGGACATAATTTATCATAACTCTGGTTTTATTTGGCCTATCAACACAATTTAAAAACTGGTATATAGGTTGAGGTCCTCACTTTTGAGATAAGTTGAAACGGAGTCAACGAGGCTCCGTCTTGCAGCTACATCCGGTTAAATATGTCATGTGACTTGAACGCACACACACACACACACACACACACACACACACACACAGACACACACACACACGCACACACACACACTCAGAGTCTGGTTTTTAGCACCTGCAAAAACATGCTATTTACATATTTGACAAGAATGCAGAGGCTCCTTTTGCCCCTGAAAAAAATCAAATTTCAAACACAACTTGACTGGTCATTTCTCCAAAAGACAACCATGAAGCTCCATCCAAACCTGAAGCAGGCAGTTGGTGCATGTGTACAGTAACCTGAGGGGAGTGAGGTGACTGCTTCTGAGGAGAACATGAGCAGTGAAGATTCACCTTAGAGCTAGAACAGAGACGTGCACATGATTATACAGGGGCAGGGGCTCAAGTTTTTTCCAGTTGTTTATACAATATGGAAATTAATGTGAAATTAAAAAACAAAGTATTAATAGAAAGGTAATGACTGTCCTGAGTAGGTGACAGTGATATCCAATAGGCTAGGCACTCAAGAGGCTGGCTGTGGCAAGTGTAAGTGAAAGCAACACGCACTGGCAGGAAGAACAGCAAACGCCGATGAAGGAAAAGGGTCTTTGCAGTGATGGGCGTTACCAGAGAGGGCGATGGCCAGAGGACACAAATGGGACGGGGAGGCAGCGCGTTGGGGGGGGACGCGACACAGCTCGGGCCCGCCAGTGCCCCAACGGGGTCCTAGTGTTATTATTATTATTTTTCCTCCCCTTTGAACTGGAAAATGGCCCACTTCCCACTGGCGAAAACTCATGAAATTTGGCAGGACGACCGGGCCTGGTGAAAAATTTGATATTCCGAAGTCGCCCAAACAAGAAAATGCAAAATGGCTCCATAGCGCCCCCTAAGGTGAAAATTCACACTATTGACTGTCACGCCTGTACGCTTTGTCAAAATGACACAAAAATTGACACACACATGTATCTCAATAAGATCTACAAAAAAGTCAGTGCGGGCGTATCTGTCAAATGTACGGTTAAAGGGTTATTTCGCATTTTTTGCCGATCCGCACACATTGGAATTTCGCTAACTCCTCCGAAGGCTTTCGTTCCACCGGCACCACATTTGCTCAGGCCAATCTACACCCCATGGCCATTAAAAGTTATTCAAATCATGACGCTGCACCCCACGGTTTAGGTTCTAGGGGGCGCCAAAGATAACCCTAAGATCCACATATTTAAAAGTCTTATAACTTTTTATTTTTGCCCTCACTGGCCTCCAAGTTTTCTAGGATGATGCAATGTCCAGCCATCAACACATTTGTGAAGGAATTTTTACTCCCCAAAAGAGCGCCCCCCCATGGCAGGAGAAAAAAGTCCATTTTTTCTTGTCCCCTAAGGTGAAAATACACATTGTTGAGTGTCACGCCTATACGCTTTGTCATATTGACCCAAAATTTGACAATCACGTGTATCTCAATAAGATCTATGAAAAAGTCAACGGGCACGTATCTGTAAAATGTACGGTTAAAGGGCTATTTCGCATTTTTTCCCGATCCGCACACATTGGAATTTCACTAACTCCTCCGAAGGCTTTCGTTCCACCGGCACCACATTTGCTCAGGCCAATCTACACCCTATGGCCATTCAAAGTTATTCAAATCATGACGCTGCACCCCACGGTTTAGGTTCTAGGGGGCGCCAAAGATAACCCTAAGATCCACATATTTAAAAGTCTTATAACTTTTTATTTTTGTCCTCACTGGCCTCCAAGTTCTCTAGGATGATGCAATGTCCAGCCATCAACACATTTGGGAAGGAATTTTTACTCCCCAAAAGAGCGCCCCCACATGGCAGGAGAAAAAAGTCCATTTTTTCTCGTCCCCTAAGGTGAAAATACACATTGTTGACTGTCACGCCTATACGCTTTGTCAAAATGACACAAAATTTGACACACACGTGTATCTCAATAAGATCTACGAAAAAGTCAATGGGCACGTATCTGTAAAATGTACGGTTAAAGGGCTATTTCGCATTTTTTGCCGATTCGCACACATTGGAATGTGGCTAACTCCTCCTAAGGCTTTCGTCCCACCAACACCAAATTTGCTCAAGCCGATCTACATCCCATGGCCATTCAAAGTTGTAGAAATCATGACGCTGCTCCCCACGGTTTACGTTCTAGGGGGCGCCAAAGATGACCCAAATATCCACATTCTTAAAAGAATCCACATCTCCCCCCCCCCCAAGGCAGGAGAAAAAGTCAAGTTAACCCTGCCCATCGGTCAATGGCTCAATCGCATCGCTCTCCCAGCAACACCGTAAGGAGGAGCAACTTGCCATTTGGATATATCCTAGCTGTGTTTGTGCCCTCACTCATGGTCCAGACTTTTGTCAAATAGGACATGTAGTTTGTCTGCAGCGAGTGTTTTGGTAGAAACTGCGCCTCCATTCATTATAATGGGAAATGACCACAGACAAGTGCGCACACCATCTTTGGACCTTGAGTGTGACGCGATCGGGAGGGGGAGGCGGTCGCGCTGGGGGCGGCGCGACGCGGCTCGGGCCCGACAGTGCCCCACCGGGGCCCTAGTTCTTTCTTTCTTTCTTCTTTTTCCTCCCCTTTGAACTGGAAAATGGCCCACTTCCCACTGGCGAAAACTCATGAAATTTGGCAGGACGACCGGGCCTGGTGAAAAATTTGATATTCTGAAGTCGCCCAAACAATAAAATGCAAAATGGCTCCATAGCGCCCCCTAAGGTGGAAATTCACACTATTGACTGTCACGCCTGTACGCTTTGTCATATTGACACAAAAATTGACACACATATGTATCTCAATAACATCTACAAAAAAGTCAGTGCGGGCGTATCTGTCAAATGTACGGTTAAAGGGTTATTTCGCATTTTTTGCTGATCCACACACATTGGAATTTCGCTAACTCCTCCGAAGGGTTTCGTTCCACCGGCACCACATTTGCTCAGGCCAATCTACACCCCATGGCCATTAAAAGTTATTCAAATCATGACGCTGCACCCCACGGTTTAGGTTCTAGGGGGCGCCAAAGATAACCCTAAAATCCACATATTTCAAAGTCTTATAACTTTTTATTTTTGTCCTCACTGGCCTCCAAGTTTTCTAGGATGATGCAATGTCCAGCCATCAACACATTTGTGAGGGAATTTTTACTCCCCAAAAGAGCGCCCCCCCATGGCAGGAGAAAATAGTCCATTTTTTCTTGTCCCCTAAGGTGAAAATACACATTGTTGAGTGTCACGCCTATACGCTTTGTCAAAATGACACAAAAATTGACACACACATGTAACTCAATAAGATCTACGAAAAAGTCAGTGCGGGCGTATCTGTCAAATGTACGGTTAAAGGGTTATTTCGCATTTTTTGCCGATCCGCACACATTGGAATTTCGCTAACTCCTCTGAAGGCTTTTGTTCCACCGGCACCACATTTGCTCAGGCCAATCTACACTCCATGGCCATTAAAAGTTATTCAAATCATGACGCTGCACCCCACGGTTTAGGTTCTAGGGGGCGCCAAAGATAACCCTAAAATCCACATATTTAAAAGTCTTATAACTTTTTATTGTTGTCCCCACTGGCCTCCAAGTTTTCTAGGGTGATGCAATGTCCAGCCATCAACACATTTGTGAAGGAATTTTTACTCGCCAAAAGAGCGCCCCCCCCATGGCAGGAGAAAAAAGTCCATTTTTTCTTGTCCCCTAACGTGAAAATACACATTGTTGAGTGTCACGCCTGAACGCTTTGTCATATTGACACAAAATTTGACACACACGTGTATCTCAATAAGATCTACAAAAAAGTCAAAGAGCGCGTATGTGTATAATGTACGGTAAAAGGGCTATTTTGCATTTTTTGCCGATTCGCACACATTGGAATGTGACTAACTCCTCCTAAGGCTTTCGTCCCAATGACACCAAATTTGCTCAGGCCAATCTACAACCCATGGCCATTCAAAGTTGTAAAAATCATGACGCTGCACCCCACGGTTTACGTTCTAGGGGGCGCCAAAGATGACCAAAATATACATTACAGCAGACAAAGTAGTTTTGCCCACTGAGTGGCGCCAAAGGGACTTGTCTATGGAGACTGGGAGTCACTATTGGCCGTTTTTGACTACTTTAGATTTTACCTTTATATTTCCTCTTAAAATTTTTTTACCTTGCCTTGCCTGGTATCATTTTTTTCAGCACAACCTCACCTGTGTGAATTTACAGTTATTTTATCATTTTCACATACTGTTTTTACACAATGGACCCAAATTCACACACAAAACATAATATCCGAGTGGAAAAAAGTAACATTTTTACTGTGAAAACCACAAATATGTGTGATGAACTGTTTTTAAAACTTAAACATCAAATAAAAATTGTAAACTTCAAAACATATGCAAATTTTTAACAAAGAACATAGTAATTTTCCTCTATTTACATCAAAATGCAGGCAATGGCCCAGGCGTTCTTTGTAAAATTATTTACAAAACACTGTATAGTCTCACAAATGTCACTTTTTATTTATGCCACTACAAAAAAAACATGATGTAAATGATGCATGATGTAAAACATGATGTAAAAAACTTGTGTAGATCCTCCTCTATGTTAGTCCATGTGTAATTTTTCCATAATTCTTTGTTTTGTCCAGCATTTTTGTGAGTGTAACTGCAGATTGTGCTGACAGTGTCTATGGCAAAAAAAACAATAAAACAAACTGAAAATGCCTCAACATGAACCCCTGGTGGTCTCTGAGGGTGAAACCTGCTAACTGCTGCAGCTCTGTCAGCTTCAGTCTCCCATGCAGAGCTCAGAGCACATGTGTGGCTCTGCACCCTTAGCAGCGTTGCTAACTCCTCAGTAAGGAAAGCCTGCTTCATGTCAGAGTCTCTAAACTCCAGAAGAAGTCGATAAAAGTCCCTTTCTTTCAAAAAAAAAGTTGTTAGGGGGTCTGAAAAGTCATTGAATCTAACAACAAAGTCGCTAGGTTTGCAACTACGTGTCCCAGACTGCATCCCTGCTGAGAGTCCCTCCCTCCCTTCTCATGTTGCAGGAAGAACGTAAGCGCCCGCCCCTTGTCAATCAGTCACCATATAATTTTGGATTGGTTGTTGTGGTGAAGTTTTCCACCAATAGGAGAGATGTTGTGGTGTGTTTTTTTTTTCTTTTGGCAAGCCTTTTCCGCCTGTAAGACCTGTCGCTAATGTCTGCATGCTATGTTTTCTTGTCTCATACAGCGCGATCGAGCGCCGAACGTGATCAAAATAAGCAGAAAAAAAGTATCGCGGACATAATTTATCATAACTCTGGTTTTATTTGGCCTATCAACACAATTTAAAAACTGGTATATAGGTTGAGGTCCTCACTTTTGAGATAAGTTGAAACGGAGAGTCAACGAGGCTCCGTCTTGCAGCTACATCCGGTTAAATTTGTCATGTGACTTGAACGCTGGGGAGCGTCAATCGACTGCAGAGCCAGCAGACAAAGTAGTTATGGCCAATGAGAGGCACACATTTGTCATATGCTATAATCCTAACATATTTTAATGCTTTTTCTATTTAAACCTAATGGATCAGGGAGGCGGTCGCGCTGGGGGCGGTGCGACGCGGCTCGGGCCCGCCAGTGCCCCAACGGGGCCCTAGTTAGGGCCCGAGCCGGCTGCAGAGCAGCCGGGCGTAGGCCCTGTTGTTCCTCAAGTGGTTTTTCTTTGTTTCTTTCTTTCTTTCTTTCTTTCTTTCTTCTTTTTCCTCCCCTTTGAACTGGAAAATGGCCCACTTCCCACTGGCGAAAACTCATGAAATTTGGCAGGACGACCGGGCCTGGTGAAAAATTCGATATTCTGAAGTCGCCCAAACAATAAAATGCAAAATGGCTCCATAGCGCCCCCTAAGGTGGAAATTCACACTATTGACTGTCACGCCTGTACGCTTTGTCATATTGACACAAAAATTGACACACATATGTATCTCAATAAGATCTACAAAAAAGTCAGTGCGGCCGTATCTGTCAAAATTACGGTTAAAGGGTTATTTCGCATTTTTTGCCGATCCGCACACATTGGAATTTCGCTAACTCCTCCGAAGGCTTTCGTTCCACCGGCACCACATTTGCTCAGGCCAATCTACACCCCGTGGCCATTAAAAGTTATCAAAATCATGACGCTGCACCCCAAGGTTTAGGTTCTAGGGGGCGCCAAAGATAACACTAAAATCCACATATTTAAAAGTCATAACTTTTTATTTTTGTCCTCACTGGCCTCCAAGTTTTCTAGGATGATGCAATGTCCAGCCATCAACACATTTGTGAAGGAATTTTTACTCCCCAAAAGAGCGCCCCCCCATGGCAGGAGAAAAAAGTCCATTTTTTCTTGTCCCCTAAGGTGAAAATACACATTGTTGAGTGTCACGCCTATACGCTTTGTCAAAATGACACAAAAATTGACACACACATGTAACTCAATAAGATCTACGAAAAAGTCAATGCGCTCGTATCTGTCAAATGTACGGTTAAAGGGTTATTCCGCATTTTTTGCCGATCTGCACACATTGGAATGTGGCTAACTCCTCCTAAGGCTTCCAAGTTTTCTAGGATGATGCAATGTCCAGCCATCAACACATTTGTGAAGGAATTTTTTCTCCCTAAAAGAGTGCCCCCCCATGGCAGGAGAAAAAGTCAAGTTTTTCCTGCCCATCGCTCAATGGCTCAAACACATCGCTCTCTCAGCAAAACCGAAAGGAGGAGCAACTTGCCATTTGGATATATCCTAGCTGTGTTTGTGCCCTCACTCATGGTCCAGACTTTTTTCAAATAGGACATGTAGTTTGTCTGCAGCGAGCGTTTTGGTAGAAACTGCGCCTCCAATTCATTATAATGTAAATGACCACAGACAAGTGCGCACACCATCTTTGGACCTTGAGTGTGACGCGATCGGGAGGGAGAGGCGGTCGTGTTGGGGTCGGCGCGACACAGCTCGGGCCCGCCAGTGCCCCAACGGGGCCCTAGTTAGGGCCCGAGCGTAGCTGCTAAGCAGCTGCGAGGCCCTATTGTTCCTGTAGTGGTTTTTCTTTGTTTCTTTAGGGCCCGAGCGTAGCTGCTAAGCAGCTGCGAGAGCCCTCTTGTTCCTGCATGTTTCCTTCTTTTGTTATTATTAGGGCCCGAGCGTAGCTGCTAAGCAGCTGCGAGAGCCCTCTTGTTCCTGATGGATTCTTCTTTCGTTATTTTTCCTCCGCTTTAAACTGGAAAATGGCCCACTTCCCACTGGCGAAAACTCAGGAAATTTGGCAGGACGACCGGGCCTGGTGAAAAATTTGATATTCTGAAGTCGCCCAAACAAAAAAATGAAAAATGGCTCCATAGCGCCCCCTATGGTGAAAACTCACCTGACGCCTGTACGCTTTGTCAAAATGACACAAAATTTGACACACATGTGTATCTCGATAAGATCTACAAAAAAGTCAGTGCGGGCGTATCTGTCAAATGTACGGTTAAAGGGCTATTTCGCATTTTTTGCCGATCCGCACACATTGGAATTTCGCTAACTCCTCCGAAGGCTTTCGTTCCACCGGCACCAAATTTGCTCAGGCCAATCTACACCCCATGGCCATTAAAAGTTGTACAAATCATGATGCTGCACCCCACGGTTTACGTTCTAGGGGGCGCCAAAAATAACCCAAAAATCCACATTCTTAAAAGTCTTATAACTTTTTATTTTTGTCCTCACTGGCCTCCAAGTTCTCTAGGATGATGCAATGTCCAGCCATCAACACATTTGTGAAGGAATTTTTACTCACCAAAAGAGCGCCCCCCCATGGCAGGAGAAAAAAGTCCATTTTTTCTAGTCCCCTAAGGCGAAAATACACATTGTTGAATGTCACGCCTGTACGCTTCGTCATATTGACACAAAATTTGACAATCACGTGTATCTCAATAAGATCTACGAAAGAGTCAATGCGCGCGTATCAGTAAAATGTACGGTTAAAGGGCTATTTCGCATTTTTTGCCGTTTCGCACACATTGGAATGTGGCTAACTCCTCCTAAGGCTTTCGTCCCACTGACACCAAATTTGCTCAGGCCAATCTACACTCCATGGCCATTCAAAGTTGTAAAAATCATGACGCTGCACCCCACGGTCTATGTTCTAGGGGGCGCCAAAGAGGACCCAAATATCCACATTTTTAAAAGTCTTATAACTTTTTATTTTTGTCCTCACTGGCCTCCAAGTTTTCTAGGATGATGCAATGTCCAGCCATCAACACATTTGTGAAGGAATGTTTACTCCCCAAAAGAGCGCCCCCCCATGGCAGGAGAAAAAAGTCCATTTTTTCTTGTCCCCTAAGGTGAAAATACACATTGTTGAGTGTCATGCCTGTACGCTTTGTCAAAATGACACAAAATTCAACACACACGTGTATCTCAATAAGATCTACGAAAAAGTAAATGCAGGCGTATCTGTCAAATGTGCGGTTAAAGGGCTATTTCGCATTTTTTGCCGATTCGCACACATTGGAATGTAGCTAACTCCTCCGAAGGCTTTCGCTCCACCGGCACCACATTTGCTCAGGCCAATCTACACCCCATGGCCATTCAAAGTTGTAAAAATCATGACGCTGCACCCCACGGTTTAAGTTCTAGGGGGCGCCAAAGATGACCCAAATATCCATATTCTTAAAAGTGTTATAACATTTTATTTTTGTCCTCACTGGCCTCCATGTTTTCTAGGATGATGCAATGTCCAGCCATCAACACATTTGTGAAGGAGTTTTTTCTCGTTAAAAGAGCGCCCCCCCCATGCCAGGAGAATAAAGTCAAGTTTTTCCTGTTCATCGTTCAATGGCTCAAACGCATCGCTCTCTCGGCAAAAGCGAAAGGAGGAGCAACTTGCCATTTGGATATATCTTAGCTGTGTTTGTGCCCTCACTCATGGTCCAGACTTTTTTCAAATAGGACATGGAGTTTTTCTGCAGCGAGCGTTTTGGTAGAAACTGCGCCTCCCATTCATTATAATGGTAAATGACCACAGACAAGTGCGCACACCATCTTTGGACCTTGAGTGTGACGCGATTGGGTGGGGGAGGCGTTCGCGCTGGGGGCGGCGCGACACGGCTCAGGCCCGCCAGTGCCCCACCGGGGCCCTAATTATTAGGGCCCGAGCGTAGCTGCTAAGCAGCTGCGAGAGCCCTCTTGTTCCTGATGGATTCTTCTTTTGTTATTAGGGCCCGAGCGTAGCTGCTAAGCAGCTGCGAGAGCCCTATTATTCCTGATGGATTCTTCTTTCTTCTTCTTCTTATTAGGGCCCGAGCGTAGCTGCTAAGCAGCTGCGAGAGCCCTATTATTCCCCAAGTGGTTTTTCTTTGTTTCTTTTTTCTTTTTCCTCCCCTTTGAACTGGAAAATGGCCCACTTCCCACTGGCGAAAACTCAGGAAATTTGGCAGGACGACTGGGCCTGGTGAAAAATTTGATATTCCGAAGTCGCCCAAACAAGAAAATGCAAAATGGCTCCATAGCGCCCCCTAAGGTGAAAATTCACACTATTGAGTGTCACGCCTGTACGCTTTGTCAAAATGACACAAAAATTGACACACACATGTATCTCAATAAGATCTACAAAAAAGTCAGTGCGGGCGTATCTGTCAAATGTACGGTTAAAGGGTTATTTCGCATTTTTTGCCGATCCGCACACATTGGAATTTCGCTAACTCCTCCGAAGGCTTTCGTTCCACCGGCACCACATTTGCTCAGGCCAATCTACACCCCATGGCCATTAAAAGTTATTCAAATCATGACGCTGCACCCCACGGTTTAGGTTCTAGGGGGCGCCAAAGATAACCCTAAAATCCACATATTTAAAAGTCTTATAACTTTTTATTTTTGCCCTCACTGGCCTCCAAGTTTTCTAGGATGATGCAATGTCCAGCCATCAACACATTTGTGAAGGAATTTTTACTCCCCAAAAGAGCGCCCCCCCATGGCAGGAGAAAAAAGTCCATTTTTTCTTGTCCCCTAAGGTGAAAATACACATTGTTGAGTGTCACGCCTGTACGCTTTGTCAAAATGACACAAAAATTGACACACACATGTATCTCAATAAGATCTACAAAAAAGTCAGTGCGCGCGTATCTGTCAAATGTACGGTTAAAGGGTTATTCCGCAATTTTTTGCCGATTCGCACACATTGGAATTTCGCTAACTCCTCCTAAGGCTTTCGTTCCACCGGCACCACATTTGCTCAGGCCAAATTACACCCCATGGCCATTAAAAGTTATTCAAATCATGACGCTGCACCCCACGGTTTACGTTCTAGGGGGCGCCAAAGATAACCCAAAAATCCACATTTTTAAAAGTCTTATAACTTTTTATTTTTGTCCTCACTGGCCTCCAAGTTTTCTAGGATGATGCAATGTCCAGCCATCAACACATTTGTGAAGGAATTTTTACTCCCTAAAAGAGTGCCCCCCCATGGCAGGAGAAAAAAGTCCATTTTTTCTTGTCCCCTAAGGTGAAAATACACATTGTTGACTGTCACGCCTGTACGCTTTGGCAAAATGACACAAAAATTGACAATCATGTGTATCTCAATTAGATCTACGAAAAAGTCAAAGAGCGCGTATCTGTATAATGTACGGTAAAAGGGCTATTTTGCATTTTTTGCCGATTCGCACACATTGGAATTTCGCTAACTCCTCCTAAGGCTTTCGTCCCACTGACACCAAATTTGCTCAGGCCAATCTACACTCCATGGCCATTCAAAGTTGTAAAAATCATGACGCTGCACCCCACGGTTTACGTTTTAGGGGGCGCCAAAGATGACCCAAATATACATTACAGTAGACAAAGTAGTTTTGCCCACTGAGTGGCGCCAAAGGGACTTGTCTGTGGAGTCTGTGAGTCACTATTGGCCGTTTTTGACTACTTTAGATTTTACCTTTATATTTCCTCTTACAAAATTTTTACCTTGCCTTGCCTGGTATCATTTTTTTCAGCACAACCTCACCTGTGTCAATTTACAGTTATTTTATCATTTTGACATACTATATTTACACATTGGACCCAAATTCACACACAAAACATAAAATCCGAGTGGAAAAAAGTAACGTTTTTACTGTGAAAACCACAAATATGTGTGATGAACTGTTTTTAAAACTTAAACTTCAAATAAAAATTGTAAACTTCAAAACATATGCAAATTTTTAACAAAGAACATAGTAATTTACCTCTATTGACATCAAAATGCAGGCAATGGCCCAGGTGTTCTTTGTAAAATTATTTACAAAACACTGTATAGTCTCACAAATGTCACTTTTCATTTATGCCACTACAAAAAAACATGATGTAAATGATGCATGATGTAAAACATGATGTAAAAAACTTGTGTAGATCCTCCTCTATGTTAGTCCATGTGTAATTTTTCCATAATTCTTTGTTTTTTGCAGCATTTTTGTTAGTGTAACTGCAGATTGTGCTGACAGTGTCTATGGCAAAAAAAAAAAAAAAAAACTGAAAATGCCTCAACATGAACCCCTGGTGGTCTCTGAGGGTGAAACCTGCTAACTGCTGCAGCTCTGTCAGCTTCAGTCTCCCATGCAGAGCTCGGAGCGCATGTGTGGCTCTGCACCCTTAGCAGCGTTGCTAACTCCTCAGTAAGGAAAGCCTGCTTCATGTCAGAGTCTCTAAACTCCAGAAGAAGTCGATAAAAGTCACTTTCTTTCTAAAAAAAAGGCGTTAGGGGGTCTGAAAAGTCATTGAATCTAACAACAAAGTCGCTAGGTTTGCAACTACGTGTCCCAGACTGCATCCCTGCTGAGAGTCCCTCCCTCCCTTCTCATATTGCAGGAAGAACGTAAGTTCCCGCCCCTTGTCAATCAGTCACCATATAATTTTGGATTGGTTGCTGTGGTGAAGTTTTCCACCAATAGGAGAGATGTTGTGGTGTGTTTTTTTTTTCCTTTGGCAAGCCTTTTCCGCCTGTAAGACCTGTCGCTAATGTCTGCATGCTATGTTTTCCTGTCTCATACAGCGCGATCGAGCGCCGAACGTGATCAAAATAAGCAGAAAACAAGTATCGCGGACATAATTTATCATAACTCTGGTTTTATTTGGCCTATCAACACAATTTAAAAACTGGTATATAGGTTGAGGTCCTCACTTTTGAGATAAATTGAAACGGAGAGTCAACGAGGCTCCGTCTTGCAGCTACATCCGGTTAAATATGTCATGTGACTTGAACGCACACACACACACACACACACACACACACACAGACACACACACACACACACACACACACACACACTCAGAGTCTGGTTTTTAGCACCTGCAAAAACATGCTATTTACATATTTGACAAGAATGCAGAGGCTCCTTTTGCCCCTGAAAAAAATCAAATTTCAAACACAACTTGACTGGTCATTTCTCCAAAAGACAACCATGAAGCTCCATCCAAACCTGAAGCAGGCAGTTGGTGCATGTGTACAGTAACCTGAGGGGAGTGAGGTGACTGCTTCTGAGGAGAACATGAGCAGTGAAGATTCACCTTAGAGCTAGAACAGAGACGTGCACATGATTATACAGGGGCAGGGGCTCAAGTTTTTTCCAGTTGTTTATACAATATGGAAATTAATGTGAAATTAAAAAACAAAGTATTAATAGAAAGGTAATGACTGTCCTGTGTAGGTGACAGTAATATCCAATAGGCTAGGCACTCACGAGGCTGGCTGTGGCAAGTGTAAGTGAAAGCAACACGCACTGGCAGGAAGAACAGCAAACGCAGATGAAGGAAAAGGGTCTTTGCAGTGATGGGCGTTACCAGAGAGGGCGATGGCCAGAGGACACAAATGGGACGGGGAGGCAGCGCGTTGGGGGGGGGGGGCGCGACACAGCTCGGGCCCGCCAGTGCCCCAACGGGGTCCTAGTTATTATTTTTCTGCCCCTTTGAACTGGAAAATGGCCCACTTCCCACTGGTGAAAAGTCATGAAATTTGGCAGGACGACCGGGCCTGGTGAAAAATTCGATATTCTGAAGTCGCCCAAAAAATCAAATGCAAAATGGCTCCATAGCGCCCCCTAAGGTGAAAAATTCACATGATTGAGTGTCACGCCTGTACGCTTTGTCAAAATGACACAAAATTTGACACACACGTGTATCTCAATAAGATCTACAAAAAAGTCAGTGCGGGCGTATCTGTCAAATGTATGGTTAAAGGTTTATTTCGCATTTTTTGCCGATCCGCACACATTGGAATTTCGCTAACTCCTCCGAAGGTTTTCGTTCCACCGGCACCACATTTGCTCAGGCCAATCTACACCCCATGGCCAATAAAAGTTGTACAAATCATGACGCTGCACCCCACGGTTTACGTTCTAGGGGGCGCCAAAGATAACCCAAAAATCCACAGTCTTAAAAGTCTTATAACTTTTTATTTTTGTCCTCACTGGCCTCCAAGTTCTCTAGGATGATGCAATGTCCAGCCATCAACACATTTGTGAAGGAATTTTTACTCGCCAAAAGAGCGCCCCCCCATGGCAGGAGAAAAATGTCAATTTTTTCTTGTCTCCTAAGGCGAAAATACACATCGTTGACTGTCACGCCTTTACGCTTTGTCAAAATGACACAAAATTTGACACACACATGTATCTCAATAAGATCTACAAAAAAGTCAGTGCGGGCGTATCTGTCAAATGTACGGTTAAAGGGTTATTTCGCATTTTTTGCCGATCCGCACACATTGGAATTTCGCTAACTCCTCCGAAGGCTTTCGTTCCAACGGCACCACATTTGCTCAGGCCAATCTACACCCCATGGCCATTAAAAGTTGTACAAATCATGACGCTGCACCCCACGGTTTACGTTCTAGGGGGCGCCAAAGATAACCCAAAAATCCACAGTCTTAAAAGTCTTATAACTTTTTATTTTTGTCCTCACTGGCCTCCAAGTTCTCTAGGATGATGCAATGTCCAGCGATCAACACATTTGTGAAGGAATTTTTACTCGCCAAAAGAGCGCCCCCCATGGCAGGAGAAAAAAGTCCATTTTTTCTTGTCTCCTAAGGCGAAAATACACATTGTTGACTGTCACGCCTTTACGCTTTGTCAAAATGACACAAAATTTGACACACACATGTATCTCAATAAGATCTACGAAAAAGTCAATGCGAGCGTATCTGTTCAATGTACGGTTAAAGGGCTATTTCGCATTTTTTGCCGATTCGCACACATTGGAATGTGGCTAACTCCTCCTAAAGCTTTTGTCCCATCGGCTTCAAATTTGCTCAGGCCAATCTACACCCCATGGCCATTAAAAGTTGTACAAATCATGACGCTGCACCCCACGGTTTACGTTCTAGGGGGTGCCAAAGAGGACCCAAATATCCACATTTTTAAAAGTCTTATAACTTTTTATTTTTGTCCTCACTGGCCTCCAAGTTTTCTAGGATGATGCAATGTCCAGCCATCAACACATTTGTGAAGGAATTTTTTCTCCCCAAAAGAGCGCCCCCCCATGGCAGGAGAAAAAGTCAAGTTTTTCCTGCCCATCGCTCAATGGCTCAAAAGCATCGCTCTCTCGGCAAAACCGAAAGGAGGAGCAACTTGCCATTTGGATATATACTAGCTGTGTTTGTGCCCTCACTCATGGTCCAGACTTTTTTCAAAAAGGACATGGAGTTTGTCTGCAGCGAGCGTTTTGGTAGAAACTGCGCCTCCCATTCATTATAATGGTAAATGACCACAGACAAGTGCGCACACCATCTTTGGACCTTGAGTGTGACGCGATCAAGAGGGGTAGGCGGTCGCGCTGGGGGCGGGCGCGACACGGCTCGGGCCCGCCAGTGCCCCAACGGGGCCCTAGTTATTATTATTATTTTTCCTCCGCTTTAAACTGGAAAATGGCCCACTTCCCACTGGCGAAAACTCAGGAAATTTGGCAGGACGACCGGGCCTGGTGAAAAATTCGATATTCTGAAGTCGCCCAAACAATAAAATACAAAATGGCTCCATAGCGCCCCCTAAGGTGAAAATTCACACTATTGACTGTCACGCCTGTACGCTTTGTCATATTGACACAAAAATTGACACACACATGTATCTCAATAAGATCTACAAAAAAGTCAGTGCGGGCGTATCTGTCAAATGTACGGTTAAAGGGGTTATTTCGCATTTTTTGCAGATCCGCACACATTGGAATTTCGCTAACTCCTCCGAAGGCTTTCGGTCCACCGGCACCACATTTGCTCAGGCCAATCTACACTCCATGGCCATTCAAAGTTGTACAAATCATGATGCTGCACCCCATGGTTTAGGTTCTAGGGGGCGCCAAAAATAACCCTAAAATCCACATTCTTAAAAGTTTTATAACTTTTTATTTTTGCCCTCACTGGCCTCCAAGTTTTCTAGGATGATGCAATGTCCAGCCATCAACACATTTGTGAAGGAATCTTTACTCCCCAAAAGAGCGCCCCCCCATGGCAGGACAAAAAAGTCAATTTTTTCTTGTCCCCTAAGGTGAAAATACACATTGTTGAATGTCACGCCTGTACGCTTTGTCATATTGACACAAAATTTGACAATCACGTGTATCTCAATAAGATCTACGAAAAAGTCAATGCGCGCGTATCTGTAAAATGTACGGTTAAAGGGCTATTTCGCATTTTTTGCCGATTCGCACACATAGGAATGTGGCTAACTCCTCCTAAGGCTTTCGTCCCACTGACACCAAATTTGCTCAGGCCAATCTACACCCCATGGCCATTCAAAGTTGTAAAAATCATGACGCTGCACCCCATGGCTTACGTTCTAGGGGGCGCCAAAGAGGACCCAAATATCCACATTTTTAAAAGTCTTATAACTTTTTATTTTTGTCCTCACTGGCCTCCAAGTTTTCTAGGATGATGCAATGTCCAGCCATCAACACATTTGTGAAGGAATTTTTCTCCCCAAAAGAGCGCCCCCCATGTCAGGAGAAAAAGTCAAGTTTTTCCTGCCCATCGCTCAATGGCTCAAACGCATCGCTTTCTCGGCAAAACCGAAAGGAGGAGCAACTTGCCATTTGGATATATACTAGCTGTGTTTGTGCCCTCACTCATGGTCCAGACTTTTTTCAAAAAGGACATGGAGTTTGTCTGCAGCGAGTGTTTTGGTAGAAACTGCGCCTCCCATTCATTATAATGGTAAATGACCACAGACAAGTGCGCACACCATCTTTGGACCTTGAGTGTGACGCGATCGGGAGGGGTAGGCGGTCGCGCTGGGGGCGGCGTGACACGGCTCGGGCCCGCCAGTGCCCCACCGGGGCCCTAGTTCGTTATTATTTTTCCTCCGCTTTAAACTGGAAAATGGCCCACTTCCCACTGGCGAAAACTCAGGAAATTTGGCAGGACGACCGGGCCTGGTGAAAAATTCGATATTCTGAAGTCGCCCAAACAATAAAATGCAAAATGGCTCCATAGCGCCCCCTAAGGTGAAAATTCACATGACGGCTGTACGCTTTGTCATATTGACACAAAAATTGACACACACATGTATCTCAATAAGATCTATAAAAAAGTCAGTACGGGCGTATCTGTCAAATGTACGGTTAATGGGTTATTTTGCATTTTTTGCAGATCTGCACACATTGGAATTTCGCTAACTCCTCCGAAGGCTTTCCGTTCGACCGGCACCACATTTGCGCAGGCCAATCTACCTCCCATGGCCATTAAAAGTTGTACAAATCATGACGATGCACCCCACGGTTTACGTTCTAGGGGGCGCCAAAGATAACCCAAAATCCACATTCTTAAAAGTCTTATAACTTTTTATTTTTGTCCTCACTGCCCTCCAAGTTTTCTAGGATGATGCAATGTCCAGCCATCAACACATTTGTGAAGGAATTTTTACTCCCCAAAAGAGCGCCCCCCCATGGCAGGAGAAAAAAGTCAATTTTTTCTTGTCCCCTTACATGAAAATACACATTGTTGAGTGTCATGCCTGAACGCTTTGTCATATTGACACAAAAATTGACAATCACGTGTATCTCAATTAGATCTACGAAAAAGTCAAAAAGCGCGTATCTGTATAATGTACGGTTAAAGGGCTATTTCGCATTTTTTGCCGATTCGCACACATTGGAATGTGGCTATCTCCTCCTAAGGCTTTCGTCCCACCGATACCAAATTTGCTCAGGGCAATCTACACCCCATGCCCATTCAAAGTTGTAAAAATCATGACGCTGCACCCCACGGTTTACGTTCTAGGGGGCACCAAAGATGACCCAAAAATCCACATTCTTAAAAGTCATTTTGGCCACTGCAGGAGTACAGAGTACTGCAGTTCTAGGGGGCGCCAAAGATGACCCAAAAATCCACATTCTTAAAAGTCTTTTTGGCCACTGCAGGAGTACAGAGTACTGCAGGATACACACACATACACACACACACACACACACACACACACACACACACACACACACACACACACTCAGAGTCTGTTTTTTAGCACCTGCAAAAACATGCTGTTTACATATTTGACAAGAATGCAGAGGCTTCCTTTTGCCCCTGAAAAAAATCAGATTTCAAACACAACTTGACTGTTCATTTCTCCAAAAGACAACCATGAAGCTCTATCCAAACCTGAAGCAGATAGTTGGTGCATGTGTACAGTAACCTGAGGGGAGTGAGGTGACTATTTCTGAGGAGAACATGAGCAGTGAAGATTCACCTTGGAGCTAGAACAGGGACGTGCACATGATAATACAGGGGCAGGGGCTCAAGTTTTTTCCAGTCATTTATACAATATGGAAATTAATGTGAAATTAAAACACAAATATGTGTGATGAACTGTTTTTAAAACTTAAACTTCAAATAAAAATTGTAAACTTCAAAACATATGCAAATTTTTAACAAAGAACATAGTAATTTACCTCTATTTACATCAAAATGCAGGCAATGGCCCAGGCGTTCTTTGTAAAATTATTTACAAAACACTGTATAGTCTCACAAATGTCACTTTTTATTTATGCCACTACAAAAAAACATGATGTAAATGATGCATGATGTAAAACATGATGTAAAAAACTTGTGTAGATCCTCCTCTATGTCAGTCCATGTGTAATTTTTCCATAATTCTTTGTTTTTTGCAGCATTTTTGTTAGTGTAACTGCAGATTGTGCTGACAGTCTATGGCAAAAAAAACAAAAACTGAAAATGCCTCAACATGAACCCCTGGTGGTCTCTGAGGGTGAAACCTGCTAACTGCTGCAGCTCTGTCAGCTTCAGTCTCCCATGCAGAGCTCGGAGCGCATGTGTGGCTCTGCACCCTTAGCAGCGTTGCTAACTCCTCAGTAAGGAAAGCCTGCTTCATGTCAGAGTCTCTAAACTCCAGAAGAAGTCGATAAAAGTCCCTTTCTTTCTAAAAAAAGTCGTTAGGGGGTCTGAAAAGTAATTGAATCTAACAACAAAGTCGCTAGGTTTGCAACTACGTGTCCCAGACTGCATCCCTGCTGAGAGTCCCTCCCTCCCTTCTCATGTTGCAGGAAGAACGTAAGCGCCCGCCCCTTGTCAATCAGTCACCATATAATTTTGGATTGGTTGTTGTGGTGAAGTTTTCCACCAATAGGAGAGATGTTGTGGTGTGTTTTTTTTTTCTTTTGGCAAGCCTTTTCCGCCTGTAAGACCTGTCGCTAATGTGTGCATGCTATGTTTTCCTGTCTCATACAGCGTGATCGAGCGCCGAACGTGATCAAAATAAGCAGAAAAAAAGTATCGCGGACATAATTTATCATAACTCTGGTTTTATTTGGCCTATCAACACAATTTAAAAACTGGTATATAGGTTGAGGTCCTCACTTTTGAGATAAGTTGAAACGGAGAGTTAACGAGGCTCCGTCTTGCAGCTACATCCGGTTAAATATGTCATGTGACTTGAACGCACACATAGACACACACACACACACACACACACACACACACACACACACACACACACACACACACACACTCAGAGTCTGGTTTTTAGCACCTGCAAAAACATGCTATTTACATATTTGACAAGAATGCAGAGGCTCCTTTTGCCCCTGAAAAAAATCAAATTTCAAACACAACTTGACTGGTCATTTCTCCAAAAGACAACCATGAAGCTCCATCCAAACCTGAAGCAGGCAGTTGGTGCATGTGTACAGTAACCTGAGGGGAGTGAGGTGAGTGCTTCTGAGGAGAACATGAGCAGTGAAGATTCACCTTGGAGCTAGAACAGAGACATGCACATGATTATACAGGGGCAGGGGCTCAAGTTTTTTCCAGTCGTTTATACAATATGGAAATTAATGTGAAATTAAAACACAAAGTATTAATAGAAAGGTAATGACTGTCCTGTGTAGGTGACAGTGATATCCAATAGGCTAGGCACTCACGAGGCTGGCTGTGGCAAGTGTAAGTGAAAGCAACACGCACTGGCAGGAAGAACAGCAAACGCCGATGAAGGAAAAGGGTCTTTGCAGTGATGGGCGTTAACAGAGAGGGCGATGGCCAGAGGACACAAATGGGACGGGGAGGCAGCACGTTGGGGGGGGGGGGGGGGGATGCGACACGGCTCGGGCCCGCCAGTGCCCCAACGGGGTCCTAGTTATTTTTCCTCCGCTTTAAACTGGAAAATGGCCCACTTCCCACTGGCGAAAACTCATGAAATTTGGCAGGACGACCGGGCCTGGTGAAAAATTCGATATTCTGAAGTCGCCCAAACAAGAAAATGCAAAATGGCTCAATAGCGCCCCCAAAGGTGAAAATTCACACTATTGACTGTCACGCCTGTACGCTTTGTCATATTGACACAAAAATTGACACACACATGTATCTCAATAAGATCTACAAAAAAGTCAGTGCGGGCGTATCTGTCAAATGTACGGTTAAAGGGTTATTTCGCATTTTTTGCCGTTCCGCACACATTGGAATTTCGCTAACTCCTCCGAAGGCTTTCGTTCCACCAGCACTACATTTGCTCAGGCCAATCTACACCCCATGGCCATTGAAAGTTGTACAAATCATGACGCTGCACCCCACGGTTTACGTTCTAGGGGGCGCCAAAGATAACCCACAAATCCACATTCTTAAAAATCTTATAACTTTTTATTTTTGTCCTCATTGGCCTCCAAGTTTTCTAGGATGATGCAATGTCCAGCCATCAACACATTTGTGAAGGAATTTTTACTCCCCAAAACAGCGCCCCCCCATGGCAGGACAAAAAAGGCCATTTTTTCTTGTCCCCTAAGGTGAAAATACACATTGTTCAGTGTCATGCCTATACGCTTTGTCATATTGACACAAAATTTGACACACACGTGTATCTCAATAAGATCTACGAAAAAGTCAATGGGCACATATCTGTAAAATGTACGGTTAAAGGGCTATTTTGCATTTTTTGCCGATTCGCACACATTGGAATGTGGCTAACTCCTCCTAAGGCTTTCGTTCTACTGACACCAAATTTGCTCAAGCCAATCTACACCCCATGGCCATTCAAAGTTGTACAAATCATGACGCTGCACCCCACGGTTTAGGTTCTTGGGGGCGCCAAAGATGACCCAAATATCCACATTTTTAAAAGTCTTATAACTTTTTATTTTTGTCCTCACTGGCCTCCAAGTTTTCTAGGATGATGCAATGTGCAGCCATCAACACATCTGTGAAGGAATTTTTTCTCCCCAAAAGAGCCCCCCCCCATGGCAGGAGAAAAAGTCAAGTTTTTCCAGCCCATCGCTTAATGGCTCAAACGCATTGCTCTCCCGCTAAAACCAAAAGGAGGAGCAACTTGCCATTTGGATATGTCCTAGCTGTGTTTGTGCCCTCACTCATGGTCCAGACTTTTTTCAAATAGGACATGTAGTTTGTCTGCAGCGAGCGTTTTGGTAGAAACTGTGCCTCCCATTCATTATAATGGGAAATGACCAAAGACAGGTGCGCACACCATCTTTGGACCTTGACTTTGACGTCACAGTTTGAGATACAAATGTTATTTGACCTCTGACCTTTGGTGGACACCCTAACCTTTCAACCCGCGAAAACGGCGTTTCAATAGCTCTTACGGCTTTCCTACAAATACACTTTGTTCAGCTACTCCTACTGTCCTTTAAGCTCTGCTTCTCAGATCATCAAGAGTGTGCACGTGTGTAATGAGCGCATATTGAATGTTAATTATGTTAAATATGTTAATTATTAGAAGAAAAAACAACAACAGTCCTTTTGGACAAAATTTCTTTTTATTACAGAATTAGAATAATGGAAGCATAGTCCAAGGAAACCATTCAAGTGATGTCATACCTCATAATTTATTGAGATGTTGGCTAGTCTGGGCATTTCTTCATTCATCAGGTTTCCTGCATGCATACTAACAGAGCACATCAGTAGCAGTGAGTGATAAGTATGAGTGTGTCATTGTGTAAGAAAGAAAGTGGTTTACTTACACATCCATAGAAAATAGGTGGTTGAGCACAGCACGCAAACAAAGCTTTGCCACAACGGTTGAACTTCCCAAGTAGCTGATACCAAGGTCACACAATCATGGTGAGCAAAGGTCAAACCAGGCCAGGCACTCACGAGGCTGGCTGTGGAAAGTGTAAGTGAAAGCAACACGCAATGGCAGGAAGAACAGCAAACACCGATGAAGGAAAAGGGTCTTTGCAGTGATGGGCGTCACCAGAGAGGGCGATGGCCAGAGGGCACGAATGGGACGGGGAGGCGGTCGCGCTGGGGGCGGTGCGACGCGGCTCGGGCCCGCCAGTGCCCCAACGGGGCCCTAGTTAGGGCCCGAGCGTAGCTGCTAAGCAGCTGCGAGAGCCCTATTATTCCCCAAGTGGTTTTTCTTTAGGGCCCGAGCGTAGCTGCTAAGCAGCTGCGAGAGCCCTCTTGTTCCTGCATGTTTCCTTCTTTTGTTATTATTAGGGCCCGAGCGTAGCTGCTAAGCAGCTGCGAGAGCCCTCTTGTTCCTGCATGTTTCCTTCTTTTGTTATTATTAGGGCCCGAGCCAGCTGCAGAGCAGCCGGGCGTAGGCCCTGTTATTCCTGTAGGGGTTTTTCTTTGTTTCTTTCTTTCTTCTTTTTCCTCCCCTTTGAACTGGAAAATGGCCCACTTCCCACTGGCGAAAACTTAGGAAATTTGGCAGGACGACCGGGCCTGGTGAAAAATTTGATATTCCAAAGTCGCCCAAACAAGAAAATGAAAAATGGCTCCATAGCGCCCCCTAAGGTGAAAATTCACACTATTGACTGTCACGCCTGTACGCTTTGTCAAAATGACACAAAAATTGTCACACACATGTATCTCAATAAGATCTACAAAAAAGTCAGTGCGGGTGTATCTGTCAAATGTACGGTTAAAGGGTTATTGCGCATTTTTTGCCGATCCGCACACATTGGAATTTCGCTAACTCCTCCGAAGGCTTTCGTTCCACCGGCACCACATTTGCTCAGGCCAATCTACACCCCATGGCCATTAAAAGTTATTCAAATCATGACGCTGCACCCCACGGTTTAGGTTCTAGGGGGCGCCAAAGATAACCCTAAAATCCACATATTTCAAAGTCTTATAACTTTTTATTTTTGCCCTCACTGGCCTCCAAGTTTTCTAGGATGATGCAATGTCCAGCCATCAACACATTTGTGAAGGAATTTTTACTCCCCAAAAGAGCGCCCCCCCATGGCAGGAGAAAAAAGTCCATTTTTTCTTGTCCCATAAGGTGAAAATACACATTGTTTAGTGTCACGCCTGTACGCTTTGGCAAAATGACACAAAAATTGACACACACATGTATCTCAATAAGATCTACGAAAAAGTCAATGCGCGCGTATCTGTCAAATGTACGGTTAAAGGGTTATTGCGCATTTTTTGCCGATTCGCACACATTGGAATTTCGCTAACTCCTCCTAAGGCTTTCGTTCCACCGGCACCACATTTGCTCAGGCCAATCTACACCCCATGGCCATTAAAAGTTGTAAAAATCATGACGCTGCACCCCACGGTTTACGTTTTAGGGTGCGCCAAAGATGACCCAAATATACATTACAGTAGACAAAGTAGTTTTGCCCACTGAGTGGCGCGAAAGGGACTTGTCTGTGGAGTCTGTGAGTCACTATTGGCCGTTTTTGACTACTTTAGATTTTACCTTTATATTTCCTCTTACAAAATTTTTACCTTACCTTGCCTGGTATCATTTTTTTCAGCACAACCTCACCTGTGTCAATTTACAGTTATTTTATCATTTTGACATACTATATTTGGACCCAAATTCACACACAAAACATAAAATCCGAGTGGAAAAAAGTAACGTTTTTACTGTGAAAACCACAAATATGTGTGATGAACTGTTTTTAAAACTTAAACTTCAAATAAAAATTGTAAACTTCAAAACATATGCAAATTTTTAACAAAGAACATAGTAATTTACCTCTATTGACATCAAAATGCAGGCAATGGCCCAGGTGTTCTTTGTAAAATTATTTACAAAACACTGTATAGTCTCACAAATGTCACTTTTTATTTATGCCACTACAAAAAAACATGATGTAAATGATGCATGATGTAAAACATGATGTAAAAAACTTGTGTAGATCCTCCTCTATGTTAGTCCATGTGTAATTTTTCCATAATTCTTTGTTTTTTGCAGCATTTTTGTTAGTGTAACTGCAGATTGTGCTGACAGTGTCTATGGCAAAAAAAAAAAAAAAACTGAAAATGCCTCAACATGAACCCCTGGTGGTCTCTGAGGGTGAAACCTGCTAACTGCTACAGCTCTGTCAGCTTCAGTCTCCCATGCAGAGCTCGGAGCGCATGTGTGGCTCTGCACCCTTAGGAGCGTTGCTAACTCCTCAGTAAGGAAAGCCTGCTTCATGTCAGAGTCTCTAAACTCCAGAAGAAGTCGATAAAAGTCACTTTCTTTCTAAAAAAAAGTCGTTAGGGGGTCTGAAAAGTCATTGAATCTAACAACAAAGTCGCTAGGTTTGCAACTACGTGTCCCAGACTGCATCCCTGCTGAGAGTCCCTCCCTCCCTTCTCATATTGCAGGAAGAACGTAAGCGCCCGCCCCTTGTTAGGGCCCGAGCGTAGCTGCTAAGCAGCTGCGAGAGCCCTCTTGTTCCTGCATGTTTCCTTCTTTCGTTATTAGGGCCCGAGCGTAGCTGCTAAGCAGCTGCGAGAGCCCTATTATTCCCCAAGTGGTTTTTCTTTGTTTCTTAGGGCCCGAGCGTAGCTGCTAAGCAGCTGCGAGAGCCCTATTATTCCCCAAGTGGTTTTTTCTTTGTTTCTTTTTAGGGCCCGAGCGTAGCTGCTAAGCAGCTGCGAGAGCCCTATTATTCCCCAAGTGGTTTTTCTTTGTTTCTTTCTTTAGGGCCCGAGCGTAGCTGCTAAGCAGCTGCGAGAGCCCTCTTGTTCCTGTAGTTTCCTTCTTTTGTTATTAGGGCCCGAGCCAGCTGCAGAGCAGCCGGGCGTAGGCCCTATTATTCCCCAAGTGGTTTTTTAGGGCCCGAGCGTAGCTGCTAAGCAGCTGCGAGAGCCCTCTTGTTCCTGATGGATTCTTCTTTTGTTATTATTAGGGCCCGAGCGTAGCTGCTAAGCAGCTGCGAGAGCCCTCTTGTTCCTGATGGATTCTTCTTTCGTTATTTTTCCTCCGCTTTAAACTGGAAAATGGCCCACTTCCCACTGGCGAAAACTCAGGAAATTTGGCAGGACGACCGGGCCTGGTGAAAAATTTGATATTCTGAAGTCGTCCAAACAAAAAAATGAAAAATGGCTCCATAGCGCCCCCTATGGTGAAAACTCACCTGATGCCTGTACGCTTTGTCAAAATGACAGAAAATTTGACACACATGTGTATCTCAATAAGATCTACGAAAAAGTCAGTGCGGGCGTATCTGTCAAATGTATGGTTAAAGGGCTATTTCGCTTTTTTTGCCGATCCGCACACATTGGAATTTCGCTAACTCCTCCGAAGGCTTTCGTTCCACCGGCACCACATTTGCTCAGGCCAATTTACACCCCATGGCCATTAAAAGTTGTACAAATCATGACGCTGCACCCCACGGTTTAGGTTCTAGGCGGCGCCAAAGATAACCCAAAAATCCACATTCTTAAAAGTCTTATAACTTTTTATTTTTGTCCTCACTGGCCTCCAAGGTTTCTAGGATGATGCAATGTCCAGCCATCAACACATTTGTGAAGGAATTTTTACTCCCCAAAAGAGCGCCCCCCCATGGCAGGAGAAAAAAGTCCATTTTTTCTTGTCTCCTAAGGTAAAAATACACATTGTTGAGTGTCACGCCTATACACTTTGTCATATTGACACACAATTTGACAATCACGTGTATCTCAATAAGATCTACAAAAAAGTCAATGGGCACGTATCTGTCAAATGTACGGTTAAAGGGCTATTTCGCATTTTTTGCCGATTCGCACACATTGGAATGTGGCTATCTCCTCCTAAGGCTTTCGTCCCACCGATACCAAATTTGCTCAGGGCAATCTACACCCCATGCCCATTCAAAGTTGTAAAAATCATGCCGCTGCACCCCACGGTTTACGTTCTAGGGGGCGCCAAAGATGACCCAAAAATCCACATTCTTAAAAGTCATTTTGGCCACTGCAGGAGTACAGAGTACTGCAGTTCTAGGGGGCGCCAAAGATGACCCAAAAATCCACATTCTTAAAAGTCTTTTTGGTCACTGCAGGAGTACAGAGTACTGCAGGATTCACACACACACACACACACACACACACACACACACACTCAGAGTCTGTTTTTTAGCACCTGCAAAAACATGCTGTTTACATATTTGACAAGAATGCAGAGGCTCCTTTTGCCCCTGAAAAAAATCAGATTTCAAACACAACTTGACTGGTCATTTCTCCAAAAGACAACCATGAAGCTCCATCCAAACCTGAAGCAGATAGTTGGTGCATGTGTACAGTAACCTGAGGGGAGTGAGGTGACTGCTTCTGAGGAGAACATGAGCAGTGAAGATTCACCTTGGAGCGAGAACAGGGACGTGCACATGATTATACAGGGGCAGGGGCTCAAGTTTTTTCCAGTCGTTTATACAATATGGAAATTAATGTGAAATTAAAAAACAAAGTATTAATAGAAAGGTAATGACTGTCCTGTGTAGGTGACAGTGATATCCAATAGGCTAGGCACTCACGAGGCTGGCTGTGGCAAGTGTAAGTGAAAGCAACACGCACTGGCAGGAAGAACAGCAAACCCCGATGAAGGAAAAGGGTCTTTGCAGTGATGGGCGTCACCAGAGAGGACGATGGCCAGAGGACGCGAATGGGACGGGGAGGCAGCGCGTTGGGGGGGGGCGCGACACAGCTCGGGCCCGCCAGTGCCCCAACGGGGCCCTAGTCTTTAGGGCCCGAGCGTAGCTGCTAAGCAGCTGCGAGAGCCCTGTTGTTCCTGATGAGTTTTTCTTTCTTCTTTAGGGCCCGAGCGTAGCTGCTAAGCAGCTGCGAGAGCCCTCATGTTCCTGCATGTTTCCTTCTTTCGTTATTATTTTTCCTCCGCTTTAAACTGGAAAATGGCCCACTTCCCACTGGCGAAAACTCAGGAAATTTGGCAGGACGACCGGGCCTGGTGAAAAATTCGATATTCTGAAGTCGCCCAAACAATAAAATGCAAAATGGCTCCATAGCGCCCCCTAAGGTGAAAATTCACATGACGGCTGTACGCTTTGTCATATTGACACAAAAATTGACACACACATGTATCTCAATAAGATCTACAAAAAAGTCAGTGCGGGCGTATCTGTCAAATGTACGGTTAATGGGTTATTTTGCATTTTTTGCAGATCTGCACACATTGGAATTTCGCTAACTCCTCCGAAGGCTTTCGTTCGACCGGCACCACATTTGCGCAGGCCAATCTACCCCCCATGGCCATTAAAAGTTGTACAAATCATGACGCTGCACCCCACGGTTTACGTTCTAGGGGGCGCCAAAGATAATCCAAAATCCACATTCTTAAAAGTCTTATAACTTTTTATTTTTGTCCTCACTGGCCTCCAAGTTTTCTAGGATGATGCAATGTCCAGCCATCAACACATTTGTGAAGGAATTTTTACTCCCCAAAAGAGCGCCCCCCCATGGCAGGAGAAAAAAGTCCATTTTTTCTTGTCCCCTTACATGAAAATACACATTGTTGAGTGTCACGCCTGAACGCTTTGTCATATTGACACAAAAATTGACAATCATGTGTATCTCAATTAGATCTACGAAAAAGTCAAAAAGCGCGTATCTGTATAATGTACGGTTAAAGGGCTATTTCACATTTTTTGCCGATTTGCACACATTGGAATGTGGCTATCTCCTCCTAAGGCTTTCGTCCCACCGATACCAAATTTGCTCAGGGCAATCTACACCCCATGCCCATTCAAAGTTGTAAAAATCATGACGCTGCACCCCACGGTTTACGTTCTAGGGGGCGCCAAAGATGACCCAAAAATCCACATTCTTAAAAGTCATTTTGGCCACTGCAGGAGTACAGAGTACTGCAGTTCTAGGGGGCGCCAAAGATGACCCAAAAATCCACATTCTTAAAAGTCTTTTTGGCCACTGCAGGAGTACAGAGTACTGCAGGATACACACACATATACACATACACACACACACACACACACACTCAGAGTCTGTTTTTTAGCACCTGCAAAAACATGCTGTTTACATATTTGACAAGAATGCAGAGGCTTCCTTTTGCCCCTGAAAAAAATCAGATTTCAAACACAACTTGACTGTTCATTTCTCCAAAAGACAACCATGAAGCTCCATCCAAACCTGAAGCAGATAGTTGGTGCATGTGTACAGTAACCTGAGGGGAGTGAGGTGACTATTTCTGAGGAGAACATGAGCAGTGAAGATTCACCTTGGAGCTAGAACAGGGACGTGCACATGATTATACAGGGGCAGGGGCTCAAGTTTTTTCCAGTCATTTATACAATATGGAAATTAATGTGAAATTAAACCACAGATATGTGTGATGAACTGTTTTTAAAACTTAAACTTCAAATAAAAATTGTAAACTTCAAAACATATGCAAATTTTTAACAAAGAACATAGTAATTTACCTCTATTTACATCAAAATGCAGGCAATGTCCCAGGCGTTCTTTGTAAAATTATTTACAAAACACTGTATAGTCTCACAAATGTCACTTTTCATTTATGCCACTACAAAAAAACATGATGTAAATGATGCATGATGTAAAACATGATGTAAAAAACTTGTGTAGATCCTCCTCTATGTCAGTCCATGTGTAATTTTTCCATAATTCTTTGTTTTTTGCAGCATTTTTGTTAGTGTAACTGCAGATTGTGCTGACAGTGTCTATGGCAAAAAAAAAAAAAAAAAACTGAAAATGCCTCAACATGAACCCCTGGTGGTCTCTGAGGGTTAAACCTGCTAACTGCTGCAGCTCTGTCAGCTTCAGTCTCCCATGCAGAGCTCTGAGCGCATGTGTGGCTCTGCACCCTTAGCAGCGTTGCTAACTCCTCAGTAAGGAAAGCCTGCTTCATGTCAGAGTCTCTAAACTCCAGAAGAAGTCGATAAAAGTCCCTTTCTTTCTAAAAAAAAGTCGTTAGGGGGTCTGAAAAGTCATTGAATCTAACAACAAAGTCGCTAGGTTTGCAACTACGTGTCCCAGACTGCATCCCTGCTGAGAGTCCCTCCCTCCCTTCTCATGTTGCAGGAAGAACGTAAGCGCCCGCCCCTTGTCAATCAGTCACCATATAATTTTGGATTGGTTGTTGTGGTGAAGTTTTCCACCAATAGGAGAGATGTTGTGGTGTGTTTTTTTTTTCTTTTGGCAAGCCTTTTCCGCCTGTAAGACCTGTCGCTAATGTCTGCATGCTATGTTTTCCTGTCTCATACAGCGCGATCGAGCGCCGAACGTGATCAAAATAAGCAGAAAAAAAGTATCGCGGACATAATTTATCATAACTCTGGTTTTATTTGGCCTATCAACACAATTTAAAAACTGGTATATAGGTTGAGGTCCTCACTTTTGAGATAAGTTGAAACGGAGAGTCAACGAGGCTCCGTCTTGCAGCTACATCCGGTTAAATATGTCATGTGACTTGAACGCACACACAGACACACACACGCACACACACACACACACACACACACTCAGAGTCTGTTTTTTAGCACCTGCAAAAACATGCTATTTACATATTTGACAAGAATGCAGAGGCTCCTTTTGCCCCTGAAAAAAATCAAATTTCAAACACAACTTGACTGGTCATTTCTCCAAAAGACAACCATGAAGCTCCATCCAAACCTGAAGCAGGCAGTTGGTGCATGTGTACAGTAACCTGAGGGGAGTGAGGTGAGTGCTTCTGAGGAGAACATGAGCAGTGAAGATTCACCTTGGAGCTAGAACAGAGACATGCACATGATTATACTGGGGCAGGGGCTCAAGTTTTTTCCAGTCGTTTATACAATATGGAAATTAATGTGAAATTAAAACACAAAGTATTAATAGAAAGGTAATGACTGTCCTGTGTAGGTGACAGTGATATCCAATAGGCTAGGCACTCACGAGGCTGGCTGTGGCAAGTGTAAGTGAAAGCAACACGCACTGGCAGGAAGAACAGCAAACGCCGATGAAGGAAAAGGGTCTTTGCAGTGATGGGCGTTACCAGAGAGGGCGATGGCCAGAGGACACAAATGGGACGGGGAGGCAGCGCGTTGGGGGGGGGACGCGACACAGCTCGGGCCCGCCAGTGCCCCAACGGGGTCCTAGTCTTTGTTTCTTTCTTTCTTTCTTTCTTTCTTTCTTTCTTCTTTTTCCTCCCCTTTGAACTGGAAAATGGCCCACTTCCCACTGGCGAAAACTCATGAAATTTGGTAGGACGACCGGGCCTGGTGAAAAATTCGATATTCTGAAGTCGCCCAAACAATAAAATGCAAAATGGCTCCATAGCGCCCCCTAAGGTGGAAATTCACACTATTGACTGTCAAGCCTGTACGCTTTGTCATATTGACACAAAAATTGACACACATATGTATCTCAATAAGATCTACAAAAAAGTCAGTGCGGCCGTATCTGTCAAAATTACGGTTAAAGGGTTATTTCGCATTTTTTGCCGATCCGCACACATTGGAATTTCGCTAACTCCTCCAAAGGCTTTCGTTCCACCGGCACCACATTTGCTCAGGCCAATCTACACCCCGTGGCCATTAAAAGTTATCAAAATCATGACGCTGCACCCCAAGGTTTAGGTTCTAGGGGGCGCCAAAGATAACACTAAAATCCACATATTTAAAAGTCTTATAACTTTTTATTTTTGTCCTCACTGGCCTCCAAGTTTTCTAGGATGATGCAATGTCCAGCCATCAACACATTTGTGAAGGAATTTTTACTCCCCAAAAGAGCGCCCCCCATGGCAGGAGAAAAAAGTCCATTTTTTCTTGTCCCCTAAGGTGAAAATACACATTGTTGAGTGTCACGCCTATACGCTTTGTCAAAATGACACAAAAATTGACACACACATGTAACTCAATAAGATCTACAAAAAAGTCCATGCGCGCGTATCTGTCAAATGTACAGTTAAAGGGTTATTCCGCATTTTTTGCCGATACGCACACATTGGAATTTCGCTAACTCCTCCGAAGGCTTTCGTTCCACTGGCACCACATTTGCTCAGGCCAATCTACACCCCATGGCCATTAAAAGTTATTCAAATCATGATGCTGCACCCCATGGTTTAGGTTCTAGGGGGCGCCAAAAATAACCCAAAAATCCACATTCTTAAATGTTTTATAACTTTTTATTTTTGTCCTCACTGGCCTCCAAGTTTTCTAGGATGATGCAATGTCCAGCCATCAACACATTTGTGAAGGAATTTTTACTCCCCAAAAGAGCGCCCCCCCATGGTAGGAGAAAAAAGTCAATTTTTTCTTGTCCCCGTACATAAAAATACACATTGTTGAGTGTCACGCCTGAACGCTTTGTCATATTGACACAAAAATTGACAATCATGTGTATCTCAATTAGATCTACGAAAAAGTCAAGAGCGCGTATCTGTATAATGTACGGTTAAAGGGCTATTTTGCATTTTTTGCCGATTCGCACACATTGGAATGTGGCTATCTCCTCCTAAGGCTTTCGTCCCACCGATACCAAATTTGCTCAGGGCAATCTACACCCCATGCCCATTCAAAGTTGTAAAAATCATGACGCTGCACCCCACGGTTTACGTTCTAGGGGGCGCCAAAGATGACCCAAAAATCCACATTCTTAAAAGTCATTTTGGCCACTGCAGGAGTACAGAGTACTGCAGTTCTAGGGGGCGCCAAAGATGACCCAAAAATCCACATTCTTAAAAGTCTTTTTGGCCACTGCAGGAGTACAGAGTACTGCAGGATACACACACATATACACACACGCCAACATACACACACACACACACACACACACACACACACACACAGACACACACCCACACTCAGAGTCTGTTTTTTAGCACCTGCAAAAACATGCTGTTTACATATTCGACAAGAATGCAGAGGCTTCCTTTTGCCCCTGAAAAAAATCAAATTTCAAACACAACTTGACTGTTCATTTCTCCAAAAGACAACCATGAAGCTCCATTTCAAACCTGAAGCAGATAGTTGGTGCATGTGTACAGTAACCTGAGGGGAGTGAGGTGACTATTTCTGAGGAGAACATGAGCAGTGAAGATTCACCTTGGAGCTAGAACAGGGACGTGCACATGATTATACAGGGGCAGGGGCTCAAGTTTTTTCCAGTCATTTATACAATATGGAAATTAATGTGAAATTAAACCACAAATATGTGTGATGAACTGTTTTTAAAACTTAAACTTCAAATAAAAATTGTAAACTTCAAAACATATGCAAATTTTTAACAAAGAACATAGTGATTTACCTCTATTTACATCAAAATGCAGGCAATGGCCCAGGCGTTCTTTGTAAAATTATTTACAAAACACTGTATAGTCTCACAAATGTCACTTTTTATTTATGCCACTACAAAAAAACATGATGTAAATGATGCATGATGTAAAACATGATGTAAAAAACTTGTGTAGATCCTCCTCTATGTCAGTCCATGTGTAATTTTTCCATAATTCTTTGTTTTTTGCAGCATTTTTGTTAGTGTAACTGCAGATTGTGCTGACAGTGTCTATGGCACAAAAAAAAAAAAAAAATTAAAATGCCTCAACATGAACCCCTGGTGGTCTCTGAGGGTGAAACCTGCTAACTGCTGCAGCTCTGTCAGCTTCAGTCTCCCATGCAGAGCTCTGAGCGCATGTGTGGCTCTGCACCCTTAGCAGCGTTGCTAACTCCTCAGTAAGGAAAGCCTGCTTCATGTCAGAGTCTCTAAACTCCAGAAGAAGTCGATAAAAGTCCCTTTCTTTCTAAAAAAAAGTCGTTAGGGGGTCTGAAAAGTCATTGAATCTAACAACAAAGTCGCTAGGTTTGCAACTACGTGTCCCAGACTGCATCCCTGCTGAGAGTCCCTCCTTCGCTTCTCATGTTGCAGGAAGAACGTAAGCGCCCGCCCCTTGTCAATCAGTCACCATATAATTTTGGATTGGTTGTTGTGGTGAAGTTTTCCACCAATAGGAGAGATGTTGTGGTGTGTTTTTTTTTTCTTTTGGCAAGCCTTTTCCGCCTGTAAGACCTGTCGCTAATGTCTGCATGCTATGTTTTCCTGTCTCATACAGCGCGATCGAGCGCCGAACGTGATCAAAATAAGCAGAAAAAAAGTATCGCGGACATAATTTATCATAACTCTGGTTTTATTTGGCCTATCAACACAATTTAAAAACTGGTATATAGGTTGAGGTCCTCACTTTTGAGATAAGTTGAAACGGAGAGTCAACGAGGCTCCGTCTTGCAGCTACATCCGGTTAAATATGTCATGTGACTTGAACGCACACACAGACACACACACACGCACACACACACACACACACACACACACACACACACTCAGAGTCTGGTTTTTAGCACCTGCAAAAACATGCTATTTACATATTTGACAAGAATGCAGAGGCTCCTTTTGCCCCTGAAAAAATCAAATTTCAAACACAACTTGACTGCTCATTTCTCCAAAAGACAACCATGAAGCTCCATCCAAACCTGAAGCAGGCAGTTGGTGCATGTGTACAGTAACCTGAGGGGAGTGAGGTGAGTGCTTCTGAGGAGAACATGAGCAGTGAAGATTCACCTTGGAGCTAGAACAGAGACATGCACATGATTATACAGGGGCAGGGGCTCAAGTTTTTTCCAGTCGTTTATACAATATGGAAATTAATGTGAAATTAAAACACAAAGTATTAATAGAAAGGTAATGACTGTCCTGTGTAGGTGACAGTGATATCGAATAGGCTAGGCACTCACGAGGCTGGCTGTGGCAAGTGTAAGTGAAAGCAACACGCACTGGCAGGAAGAACAGCAAACGCCGATGAAGGAAAAGGGTCTTTGCAGTGATGGGCGTTACCAGAGAGGGCGATGGCCAGAGGACACAAATGGGACAGGGAGGCAGCACGTTGGGGGGGGGGGGGGGGGGGGACGCGACACGGCTCGGGCCCGCCAGTGCCCCAACGGGGTCCTAGTTAGGGCCCGAGCCAGCTGCAGAGCAGCCGGGCGTAGGCCCTATTATTCCCCAAGTGGTTTTTCTTTGTTTCTTTCTTTCTTTTTTCTTTTTCCTCCCCTTTGAACTGGAAAATGGCCCACTTCCCACTGGCGAAAACTCATGAAATTTGGCAGGACGACCGGGCCTGGTAAAAAATTTGATATTCCGAAGTCGCCCAAACAAGAAAATGCAAAATGGCTCCATAGCGCCCCCTAAGGTGAAAATTCACACTATTGACTGTCACGCCTGTACGCTTTGTCAAAATGACACAAAAATTGACACACACATGTATCTCAATAAGATCTACAAAAAAGTCAATGCGCGCGTATCTGTCCAATTTACGGTTAAAGGGTTATTTCGCATTTTTTGCAGATTCGCACACATTGGAATTTCGCTAATTCCTCCGAAGGCTTTCGTTCCACCGGCACCACATTTGCTCAGGCCAATCTACACCCCATGGCCATTAAAAGTTATTCAAATCATGACGCTGCACCCCACGGTTTAGGTTCTAGGGGGCGCCAAATATAACCCTAAAATCCACATATTTAAAAGTCTTATAACTTTTTATTTTTGTCCTCACTGGCCTCCATGTTTTCTAGGATGATGCAATGTCCAGCCATCAACACATTTGTGAAGGAGTTTTTTCTCTTTAAAAGAGCGCCCCCCCATGGCAGGAGAATAAAGTCAAGTTTTTCCTGTTCATCATTCAATGGCTCAAACGCACTGCTCTCTCGGCAAAAGCGAAAGGAGGAGCAACTTGCCATTTGGATATATCTTAGCTGTGTTTGTGCCCTCACTCATGGTCCAGACTTTTTTCAAATAGGACATGGAGTTTTTCTGCAGCGAGCGTTTTGGTAGAAACTGCGCCTCCCGTTCATTATAATGGTAAATGACCACAAACAAGTGCGCACACCATCTTTGGACCTTGAGTGTGACGCGATCGGGTGGGGGAGGCGGTCGCGCTGGGGGCGGCGTGACACGGCTCGGGCCCGCCAGTGCCCCAACGGGGCCCTAGTTATTATTTTTCCTCCCCTTTGAACTGGAAAATGGCCCACTTCCCACTGGCGAAAACTCATGAAATTTGGCAGGACGACCGGGCCTGGTGAAAAATTTGATATTCCGAAGTCGGCCAAACAATAAAATGCAAAATGGCTCCATAGCGCCCCCTAAGGTGAAAATTCACACTATTGACTGTCAGGCGTGTACGCTTTGTCAAAATGACACAAAAATTGACACACACATGTATCTCAATAAGATCTACAAAAAAGTCAGTGCGGGCGTATCTGTCAAATGTACGGTTAAAGGGTTATTTCGCATTTTTTGCCGATCCGCACACATTGGAATTTCGCTAACTCCTCCGAAGGCTTTCGTTCCACCGGCACCACATTTGCTCAGGCCAATCTACACCCCATGGCCATTAAAAGTTATTCAAATCATGACGCTGCACCCCAAGGTTTAGGTTCTAGGGGGCGCCAAAGATAACCCTAAGATCCACATATTTAAAAGTCTTATAACTTTTTATTTTTGCCCTCACTGGCCTCCAAGTTTTCTAGGATGATGCAATGTTCAGCCATCAACACATTTGTGAAGGAATTTTTACTCCCCAAAAGAGCGCCCCCCCATGGCAGGAGAAAAAAGTCAATTTTTTCTTGTCCCCTAAGGTGAAAATACACATTGTTGAGTGTAACACCTGTACGCTTTGGCAAAATGACACAAAAATTGACACACACATGTATCTCAATAAGATCTACGAAAAAGTCAATGCGCGCGTATCTGTCAAATGTACAGTTAAAGGGTTATTCCGCATTTTTTGCCGATCCGCACACATTGGAATTTCGCTAACTCCTCCGAAGGCTTTCGTTCCACCGGCACCACATTTGCTCAGGCCAATCTACACCCCATGGCCATTAAAAGTTATTCAAATCATGACGCTGCACCCCACGGTTTAGGTTCTAGGGGGCGCCAAAGATAACCCTAAAATCCACATATTTAAAAGTCTTATAACTTTTTATTTTTGTCCTCACTGGCCTCCAAGTTTTCTAGGATGATGCAATGTCCAGCCATCAACACATTTGTGAAGGAATTTTTACTCCCCAAAAGAGCGCCCCCCCATGGCAGGAGAAAAAAGTCAATTTTTTCTTGTCCCCTAAGGTGGAAATTCACACTATTGACTGTCACGCCTGTACGCTTTATCATATTGACACAAAAATTGACACACACATGTATCTCAATAAGATCTACGAAAAAGTCAATGCGCGCGTATCTGTCAAATGTACGGTTAAAGGGTTATTCCGCATTTTTTGTTGATCCGCACACATTGGAATTTCGCTAACTCCTCCGAAGGCTTTCGTTCCACTGGCATCACATTTGCTCAGGCCAATCTACACCCCATGGCCATTAAAAGTTATTCAAATCATGACGCTGCACCCCACGGTTTAGGTTCTAGGGGGCGCCAAAGATAACCCTAAAATCCACATATTTCAAAGTCTTATAACTTTTTATTTTTGTCCTCACTGGCCTCCAAGTTTTCTAGGATGATGCAATGTCCAGCCATCAACACATTTGTGAAGGAATTTTTACTCCCCAAAAGAGCGCCCCCCCATGGCAGGAGAAAAAAGTCAATTTTTTCTTGTCCCCTAAGGTGGAAATTCACACTATTGACTGTCACGCCTGTACGCTTTATCATATTGACACAAAATTTGACAATCACGTGTATCTCAATAAGATCTACAAAAAAGTCAATGGGCGCGTATCTGTCAAATGTACGGTTAAAGGGCTATTTTGCATTTTTTGCCGATTCGCACACATTGGAATGTGGCTAACTCCTCCTAAGGCTTTCGTCCCACTGACACCAAATTTGCTCAGGCCAATCTACACCCCATGGCCATTCAAAGTTGTAAAAATCATGACGCTGCACCCCACGGTTTACGTTCTAGGGGGCGCCAAAGATGACCCAAAAATCCACATTCTTAAAAGAATCCACATCCCCCCCCCTATGGCAGGAGAAAAAGTCAAGTTTTTCCTGCCCATCGCTCAATGGCTCAATCGCATCGCTCTCCAGGCAACACCGTAAGGAGGAGCAACCTGGCATTTCGATATATCATAGCTGTGTTTGTGCCCTCACTCATGGTCCAGACTTTTTTCAAATAGGACATGAAGTTTGTCTGCAGCGAGTGTTTTGGTAGAAACTGCGCCTCCCATTCATTATAATAGAAATGACCACAGACAAGTGCGCACACCATCTTTGGTTCTTGAGTGTGACTCGATCGGGACGGGGAGGCGGTCGCACTGGGGGCGGCACGACGCGGCTCGGGCCCGACAGTGCCCCACCGGGGCCCTAGTTATTATTTTTCCTCCCCTTTAAACTGGAAAATGGCCCACTTCCCACTGGCGAAAACTCATGAAATTTGGCAGGACGACCGGGCCTGGTGAAAAATTTGATATTCTGAAGTCGCCCAAACAATAAAATGCAAAATGGCTCCATAGCGCCCCCTAAGGTGGAAATTCACACTATTGACTGTCACGCCTGTACGCTTTGTCAAAATGACACAAAATTTGACACACATATGTATCTCAATAAGATCTACAAAAAAGTCAGTGCGGGCGTATCTGTCAAATGTACGGTTAAAGGGCTATTTCGCATTTTTTGGCGATCCGTACACATTGGAATTTCGCTAACTCCTCCTAAGGCTTTTGTTCCACCGGCACCACATTTGCTCAGGCCAATCTACACCCCATGGCCATTAAAAGTTATTCAAATCATGACGCTGCACCCCACGGTTTAGGTTCTAGGGGGCGCCAAAGATAACCCTAAAATCCACATATTTAAAAGTCTTATAACTTTTTATTTTTGTCCTCACTGACCTCCAAGTTTTCTAGGATGATGCAATGTCCAGCCATCAACACATTTGTGAAGGAATTTTTACTCCCCAAAAGAGCGCCCCCCCATGGCAGGAGAAAAAAGTCCATTTTTTCTTGTCCCCTAAGGTGAAAATTCACATTGTTGAGTGTGACACCTGTACGCTTTGTCATATTGACACAAAATTTGACAATCACGTGTATCTCAATAAGATCTACGAAAAAGTCAATACGCGCGTATCTGTAAAATGTACGGTTAAAGGGCTATTTTGCATTTTTTGCCGATTAGCACACATTGGAATGTGGCTAACTCCTCCTAAGGCTTTCGTTCCACCGGCACCACATTTGCTCAGGCCAATCTACACCCCATGGCCATTAAAAGTTATTCAAATCATGACGCTGCACCCCACGGTTTAGGTTCTAGGGGGCGCCAAACATAACCCTAAAATCCACATATTTCAAAGTCTTATAACTTTTTATTTTTGCCCTCACTGGCCTCCAAGTTTTCTAGGATGATGCAATGTCCAGCCATCAACACATTTGTGAAGGAATTTTTACTCCCCAAAAGAGCGCCCCCCCATGGCAGGAGAAAAAAGTCCATTTTTTCTTGTCCCATAAGGTGAAAATACACATTGTTTAGTGTCACGCCTGTACGCTTTGGCAAAATGACACAAAAATTGACACACACATGTATCTCAATAAGATCTACGAAAAAGTCAATGCGCGCGTATCTGTCAAATGTACGGTTAAAGGGCTATTTCGCATTTTTTGCAGATTAGCACACATTGGAATGTGGCTAACTCCTCCTAAGGCTTTCGTTCCACCGGCACCACATTTGCTCAGGCCAATCTACACCCCATGGCCATTAAAAGTTATTCAAATCATGACGCTGCACCCCACGGTTTAGGTTCTAGGGGGCGCCAAAGATAACCCTAAAATCCACATATTTAAAAGTCTTATAACTTTTTATTTTTGTCCTCACTGGCCTCCAAGTTTTCTAGGATGATGCAATGTCCAGCCATCAACACATTTGTGAAGGAATTTTTACTCCCCAAAAGAGCGCCCCCCCATGGCAGGAGAAAAAAGTCCATTTTTTCTTGTCCCATAAGGTGAAAATACACATTGTTGACTGTCATACCTGTATGCTTTGTCATATTGACACAAAATTTGACACACTCATGTATCTCAATAAGATCTACGAAAAAGTCAATGCGCGCGTATCTGTAAAATGTACGGTTAAAGGGCTATTTTGCATTTTTTGCCGATTAGCACACATTGGAATGTGGCTAACTCCTCCTAAGGCTTTCGTCCCACTGACACCAAATTTGCTCAGGCCAATCTACACCCCATGGCACTTCAAAGTTTTAAAAATCATGACGCTGCACCCCACGGTTTACGTTCTAGGGGGCGCCAAAAATGACCCAAATATCCACATTCTTAAAAGAATCCACATCCCTCTCCCCCCCCCCCCCCCCCCATCCCCCATGGCAGGAGAAACAGTCAAGTTTTTCCTGCCCATCACTCAATGGCTCAATCGCATCGCTCTCCCGGCAACACCGTAACGAGGAGCAACTTGCCGTTTGGATATATCCTAGCTGTGTTTGTGCCCTCACTCATGGTCCAGACTTTTTTCAAATAGGACATGTAGTTTGTCTGCAGCGAGTGTTTTGGTAGAAACTGCGCCTCCCATTCATTATAATGGGAAATGACCACAGACAAGTGCGCACACCATCTTTGGACCTTGAGTGTGACGCGATCGGGAGGGGGAGGCGGTCGCACTGGGGGCGGCGCAACGCGGCTCGGGCCCGCCAGTGCCCCAACGGGGCCCTAGTTAGGGCCCGAGCCAGCTGCAGAGCAGCCGGGCGTAGGCCCTGTTATTCCTGTAGGGGTTTTTCTTTAGGGCCCGAGCGTAGCTGCTAAGCAGCTGCGAGAGCCCTCTTGTTCCTGCATGTTTCCTTCTTTTGTTATTATTAGGGCCCGAGCGTAGCTGCTAAGCAGCTGCGAGAGCCCTATTATTCCCCAAGTGGTTTTTCTTTGTTTCTTTCTTAGGGCCCGAGCGTAGCTGCTAAGCAGCTGCGAGAGCCCTCTTGTTCCTGTAGTTTCCTTCTTTTGTTATTAGGGCCCGAGCCAGCTGCAGAGCAGCCGGGCGTAGGCCCTATTATTCCCCAAGTGGTTTTTCTTTGTTTCTTTCTTTCTTTCTTTCTTTCTTTCTTCTTTTTCCTCCCCTTTGAACTGGAAAATGGCCCACTTCCCACTGGCGAAAACTCATGAAATTTGGCAGGACGACCGGGCCTGGTGAAAAATTCGATATTCTGAAGTCGCCCAAACAATAAAATGCAAAATGGCTCCATAGCGCCCCCTAAGGTGGAAATTCACACTATTGACTGTCACGCCTGTACGCTTTGTCATATTGACACAAAAATTGACACACATATGTATCTCAATAAGATCTACAAAAAAGTCAGTGCGGCCGTATCTGTCAAAATTACGGTTAAAGGGTTATTTCGCATTTTTTGCCGATCCGCACACATTGGAATTTCGCTAACTCCTCCGAAGGCTTTCGTTCCACCGGCACCACATTTGCTCAGGCCAATCTACACCCCATGGCCATTAAAAGTTATCAAAATCATGACGCTGCACCCCAAGGTTTAGGTTCTAGGGGGCGCCAAAGATAACACTAAAATCCACATATTTAAAAGTCTTATAACTTTTTATTTTTGTCCTCACTGGCCTCCAAGTTTTCTAGGATGATGCAATGTCCAGCCATCAACACATTTGTGAAGGAATTTTTACTCCCCAAAAGAGCGCCCCCCCATGGCAGGAGAAAAAAGTCCATTTTTTCTTGTCCCCTAAGGTGAAAATACACATTGTTGAGTGTCACGCCTATACGCTTTGTCAAAATGACACAAAAATTGACACACACATGTAACTCAATAAGATCTACGAAAAAGTCAATGCGCGCGTATCTGTCAAATGTACGGTTAAAGGGTTATTCCGCATTTTTTGCCGATCCGCACACATTGGAATGTGGCTAACTCCTCCGAAGGCTTTAGTTCCACCGGCACCACATTTGCTCAGGCCAATCTACACCCCATGGCCATTAAAAGTTATTCAAATCATGACGCTGCACCCCACGGTTTACGTTCTAGGGGGCGCCAAAGATAACCCTAAAATCCACATATTTAAAAGTCTTATAACTTTTTATTTTTGCCCTCACTGGCCTCCAAGTTTTCTAGGATGATGCAATGTCCAGCCATCAACACATTTGTGAAGGAATTTTTACTCCCCAAAAGAGCGCCCCCCCATGGCAGGAGAAAAAAGTCCATTTTTTCTTGTCCCCTAAGGTGAAAATACACATTGTAGAGTGTCACGCCTGTACGCTTTGTCAAAATGACACAAAATTTGACATACACATGTATTTCAATAAGATCTTCGAAAAAGTCAATAGCCACGTATATGTAAAATGTACAGTTAAAGGGTTATTTCACATTTTTTGCAGATCCGCACACATTGGAATTTGGCTAACTCCTCCTAAGGCTTTCGTCCCACTGACACCAAATTTGCTCAGGCCAATCTACACCCCATGGCCATTCAAAGTTGTAAAAATCATGACGCTGCACCCCACGGTTTACGTTCTAGGGGGCGCCAAAGATGACCCAAATATCCACATTCTTAAAAGAATCCACACCCCCCCCCCATCCCCCATCCCCCATGGCAGGAGAAACAGTCAAGTTTTTCCTTCCCATCACTCAATGGCTCAATCGCATCACTCTCCCGGCAACACCGTAACGAGGAGCAACTTGCCGTTTGGATATATCCTAGCTGTGTTTGTGCCCTCACTCATGGTCCAGACTTTTTTCAAATAGGACATGTAGTTTGTCTGCAGCGAGTGTTTTGGTAGAAACTGCGCCTCCCATTCATTATAATGGGAAATGACCACAGACAAGTGCGCACACCATCTTTGGACCTTGAGTGTGACGCGATCGGGAGGGGGAGGCGGTCGCGCTGGGGGCGGCGCAACGCGGCTCGGGCCCGACAGTGCCCCACCGGGGTCCTAGTTAGGGCCCGAGCGTAGCTGCTAAGCAGCTGCGAGAGCCCTCTTGTTCCTGTAGTTTCCTTCTTTTGTTATTTATTATTAGGGCCCGAGCGTAGCTGCTAAGCAGCTGCGAGAGCCCTATTATTCCCCAAGTGGTTTTTCTTTGTTTCTTTCTTTCTTCTTTTTCCTCCCCTTTGAACTGGAAAATGGCCCACTTCCCACTGGCGAAAACTCATGAAATTTGGCAGGATGACCGGGCCTGGTGAAAAATTTGATATTCCGAAGTCGCCCAAACAAGAAAATGCAAAATGGCTCCATAGCGCCCCCTAAGGTGAAAATTCACACTATTGACTGTCACGCCTTTACGCTTTGTCATATTGACACAAAAATTGACACACACATGTATCTCAATAAGATCTACAAAAAAGTCAGTGCGGGCGTATCTGTCAAATGTACGGTTAAAGGGTTATTCCGCATTTTTTGCCGATCCGCACACATTGGAATTTCGCTAACTCCTCCGAAGGCTTTCGTTCCACCGGCACCACATTTGCTCAGGCCAATCTACACCCCATGGCCATTAAAAGTTATTCAAATCATGACGCTGCACCCCACGGTTTAGGTTCTAGGGGGCGCCAAAGATAACCCTAAAATCCACATATTTAAAAGTTTTATAACTTTTTATTTTTGTCCTCACTGGCCTCCAAGTTTTCTAGGATGATGCAATGTCCAGCCATCAACACATTTGTGAAGGAATTTTTACTCCCCAAAAGAGCGCCCCCCCATGGCAGGAGAAAAAAGTCCATTTTTTCTTGTCCCATAAGGTGAAAAAACACATTGTTGACTGTCATACCTGTACGCTTTGTCATATTGACACAAAATTTGACAATCACATGTATCTCAATAAGATCTACGAAAAAGTCAATGCGCGCGTATCTGTAAAATGTTTGGTTAAAGGGCTATTTTGCATTTTTTGCCGATTTGCACACATTGGAATTTCGCTAACTCCTCCGAAGGCTTTCGTTCCACCGGCACCACATTTGCTCAGGCCAATCTACACCCCGTGGCCATTCAAAGTTATCAAAATCATGACGCTGCACCCCACGGTTTACGTTCTAGGGGGCGCCAAAGATGACCCAAATATCCACATTCTTAAAAGAATCCACATCCCCCCCCCCCCATCCCCCAACCCCCATGGCATGGTTGTGCCCTCACTCATGGTCCAGTCCTTTTCAAATAGGACATGTAGTTTGTCTGCGGCGAGCGTTTTGGTAGAAACTGCGCCTCCCATTCATTATAATTGTAAATGACCACAGACAAGTGCGCACACCATCTTTGGACCTTGAGTGTGACGCGATCGGTAGGGAGAGGCGGTCGTGTTGGGGGCGGCGCGACACGGCTCGGGCCCGCCAGTGCCCCAACGGGGCCCTAGTTATTATTTTTCCTCCCCTTTGAACTGGAAAATGGCCCACTTCCCACTGGCGAAAACTCATGAAATTTGGCAGGACGACCGGGCCTGGTGAAAAATTTGATATTCCGAAGTCGCCCAAACAAGAAAATGCAAAATGGCTCCATAGCGCCCCCTAAGGTGAAAATTCACACTATTGACTGTCACGCCGGTACGCTTTGTCAAAATGACACAAAAATTGACACACACATGTATCTCAATAAGATCTACAAAAAAGTCAGTGCGGGCGTATCTGTCAAATGTACGGTTAAAGGGTTATTTCGCATTTTTTGCCGATCCGCACACATTGGAATTTCGCTAACTCCTCCGAAGACTTTCGTTCCACCGGCACCACATTTGCTCAGGCCAATCTACACCCCATGGCCATTAAAAGTTATTCAAATCATGACGCTGCACCCCACGGTTTAGGTTCTAGGGGGCGCCAAAGATAACCCTAAGATCCACATATTTAAAAGTCTTATAACTTTTTATTTTTGCCCCCACTGGCCTCCAAGTTTTCTAGGATGATGCAATGTCCAGCCATCAACACATTTGTGAAGGAATTTTTACTCCCCAAAAGAGCGCCCCCCCATGGCAGGAGAAAAAAGTCCATTTTTTCTTGTCCCCTAAGGTGAAAATACACATTGTTGAGTGTAACACCTGTACGCTTTGGCAAAATGACACAAAAATTGACACACACATGTATCTCAATAAGATCTACGAAAAAGTCAATGCGCGCGTATCTGTCAAATGTACGGTTAAAGGGTTATTCCGCATTTTTTGCCGATCCGCACACATTGGAATTTCGCTAACTCCTCCGAAGGCTTTCGTTCCACCGGCACCACATTTGCTCAGGCCAATCTACACCCCATGGCCATTAAAAGTTATTCAAATCATGACGCTGCACCCCACGGTTTAGGTTCTAGGGGGAGCCAAAGATAACCGTAAAATCCACATATTTAAAAGTCTTATAACTTTTTATTTTTGTCCCCACTGGCCTCCAAGTTTTCTAGGATGATGCAATGTCCAGCCATCAACACATTTGTGAAGGAATTTTTACTCGGCAAAAGAGCGCCCCCCCATGGCAGGAGAAAAAAGTCAATTTTTTCTTGTCCACTAAGGTGAAAATACACATTGTTGAGTGCTACGCCTGTATGTTTTGTCGTATTGACACAAAATTTTACATACACGTGTATTTACATAAGATCTTCGAAAAAGTCAATGGCCACGTATCTGTAAAATGTACGGTTAAAGGGTTATTTCGCATTTTTTGCAGATTCGCACACATTGGAATTTCGCTAATTCCTCCGAAGGCTTTCGTTCCACCGGCACCACATTTGCTCAGGCCAATCTACACCCCATGGCCATTAAAAGTTATTCAAATCATGACGCTGCACCCCACGGTTTAGGTTCTAGGGGGCGCCAAATATAACCCTAAAATCCACATATTTAAAAGTCTTATAACTTTTTATTTTTGTCCTCACTGGCCTCCATGTTTTCTAGGATGATGCAATGTCCAGCCATCAACACATTTGTGAAGGAGTTTTTTCTCTTTAAAAGAGCGCCCCCCCATGGCAGGAGAATAAAGTCAAGTTTTTCCTGTTCATCATTCAATGGCTCAAACGCACTGCTCTCTCGGCAAAAGCGAAAGGAGGAGCAACTTGCCATTTGGATATATCTTAGCTGTGTTTGTGCCCTCACTCATGGTCCAGACTTTTTTCAAATAGGACATGGAGTTTTTCTGCAGCGAGCGTTTTGGTAGAAACTGCGCCTCCCGTTCATTATAATGGTAAATGACCACAAACAAGTGCGCACACCATCTTTGGACCTTGAGTGTGACGCGATCGGGTGGGGGAGGCGGTCGCGCTGGGGGCGGCGTGACACGGCTCGGGCCCGCCAGTGCCCCAACGGGGCCCTAGTCTTGTTATTAGGGCCCGAGCGTAGCTGCTAAGCAGCTGCGAGAGCCCTATTATTCCCCAAGTGGTTTTTAGGGCCCGAGCGTAGCTGCTAAGCAGCTGCGAGAGCCCTATTATTCCCCAAGTGGTTTTTCTTTGTTTCTTTTTAGGGCCCGAGCCAGCTGCAGAGCAGCCGGGCGTAGGCCCTGTTATTCCTGTAGTGGTTTTTCTTTGTTTCTTTCTTTCTTCTTTTTCCTCCCCTTTGAACTGGAAAATGGCCCACTTCCCACTGGCGAAAACTCATGAAATTTGGCAGGATGACCGGGCCTGGTGAAAAATTTGATATTCTGAAGTCGCCCAAACAAGAAAATGCAGAATGGCTCCATAGCGCCCCCTAAGGTGAAAATTCACACTATTGACTGTCACGCCTTTACGCTTTGTCAAAATGACACAAAAATTGACACACACATGTATCTCAATAAGATCTACAAAAAAGTCAGTGCGGGCGTATCTGTCAAATGTACGGTTAAAGGGTTATTCCGCATTTTTTGCCGATTCGCACACATTGGAATGTGGCTAACTCCTTCTAAGGCTTTCGTCCCACTGAAACCAAATTTGCTCAGGCCAATCTACACCCCATGGCCATTCAAAGTTGTAAAAATCATGACGCTGCACCCCACGGTTTACGTTCTAGGGGGCGCCAAAGATGACCAAAAAAATCCACATTCTTAAAAGAATCCACATTCTCCCCCCCATGGCACGAGAAAAAGTCAAGTTTTTCCTGCCCATCGCTCAATGGCTCAATCGCATTGCTCTCCAGGCAACACCGTAAGGAGGAGCAACCTGCCATTTGGATATATCCCAGCTGTGTTTGTGCCCTCACTCATGGTCCAGACTTTTTTCAAATAGGACATGAAGTTTGTCTGCAGCGAGTGTTTTGGTAGAAACTGCGCCTCCCATTCATTATAATGGGAAATGACCACAGACAAGTGCGCACACCATCTTTGGACCTTGAGTGTGACGCGATCGGGAGGGGGAGGCGGTCACGCTGGGGGCGGCACGACGCGGCTCGGGCCCGACAGTGCCCCACCGGGGCCCTAGTTATTATTAGGGCCCGAGCGTAGCTGCTAAGCAGCTGCGAGAGCCCTCTTGTTCCTGATGGATTCTTCTTTCGTTATTTTTCCTCCGCTTTAAACTGGAAAATGGCCCACTTCCCACTGGCGAAAACTCAGGAAATTTGGCAGGACGACCGGGCCTGGTGAAAAATTTGATATTCTGAAGTCGTCCAAACAAAAAAATGAAAAATGGCTCCATAGCGCCCCCTATGGTGAAAACTCACCTGATGCCTGTACGCTTTGTCAAAATGACACAAAATTTGACACACATGTGTATCTCAATAAGATCTACGAAAAAGTCAGTGCGGGCGTATCTGCCAAATGTACGGTTAAAGGGCTATTTCGCTTTTTTTGCCGATCCGCACACATTGGAATTTCGCTAACTCCTCCGAAGGCTTTCGTTCCACCAGCACCAAATTTGCTCAGGCCAATCTACACCCCATGGCCATTAAAAGTTGTACAAATCATGATGCTGCACCCCACGGTTTACTTTCTAGGGGGCGCCAAAGATAACACAAAAATCCACATACTTAAAAGTCTTATAACTTTTTATTTTTGTCCTCACTGGCCTCCAAGTTTTCTAGGATGATGCAATGTCCAGCCATCAACACATTTGTGAAGGAATTTTTACTCCCCAAAAGAGCGCCCCCCCATGGCAGGAGAAAAAAGTCCATTTTTTCTTGTCTCCTTAGGTAAAAATACACATTGTTGAGTGTCACGCCTATACACTTTGTCATAATGACACACAATTTGACAATCACGTGTATCTCAATAAGATCTACAAAAAAGTAAATAGGCACGTATCTGTCAAATGTATGGTTAAAGGGCTATTTCGCATTTTTTGCCGATTCGCACACATTGGAATGTGGCTATCTCCTCCTAAGGCTTTCGTCCCACCGATACCAAATTTGCTCAGGGCAATCTACACCCCATGGCCATTCAAAGTTGTAAAAATCATGACGCTGCACCCCACGGTTTACGTTCTAGGGGGCGCCAAAGATGACCCAAAAATCCACATTCTTAAAAGTCATTTTGGCCACTGCAGGAGTACAGAGTACTGCAGTTCAAGGGGGCGCCAAAGATGACCCAAAAATCCACATTCTTAAAAGTCTTTTTGGCCACTGCAGGAGTACAGAGTACTGCCGGACACACACACATATACACACACGCCACACACACACACACACACACACACACACACACACACACACACACACACACACACACTCAGAGTCTGTTTTTTAGCACCTGCAAAAACATGCTGTTTACATATTTGACAAGAATGCAGAGGCTTCCTTTTGCCCCTGAAAAAAATCAAATTTCAAACACAACTTGACTGTTCATTTCTCCAAAAGACAACCATGAAGCTCCATCCAAACCTGAAGCAGATAGTTGATGCATGTGTACAGTAACCTGAGGAGAGTGAGGTGACTACTTCTGAGGAGAACATGAGCAGTGAAGATTCACCTTGGAGCTAGAACAGGGACGTGCACATGATTATACAGGGGCAGGGGCTCAAGTTTTTTCCAGTCATTTATACAATATGGAAATTAATGTGAAATTAAACCACAAATATGTGTGATGAACTGTTTTTAAAACTTAAACTTCAAATAAAAATTGTAAACTTCAAAACATATGCAAATTTTTAACAAAGAACATAGTAATTTACCTCTATTTACATCAAAATGCAGGCAATGGCCCAGGCGTTCTTTGTAAAATTATTTACAAAACACTGTATAGTCTCACAAATGTCACTTTTTATTTATGCCACTACAAAAAAACATGATGTAAATGATGCATGATGTAAAACATGATGTAAAAAACTTGTGTAGATCCTCCTCTATGTCAGTCCATGTGTAATTTTTCCATAATTCTTTGTTTTTTGCAGCATTTTTGTTAGTGTAACTGCAGATTGTGCTGACAGTGTCTATGGCAAAAAAAAAAAAAAAACTGAAAATGCCTCAACATGAACTCCTGGTGGTCTCTGAGGGTGAAACCTGCTAACTGTGCAGCTCTCTCAGCTCTAGTCTCCCATGCAGAGCTCGGAGCGCATGTGTGGCTCTGCACCCTTAGCAGCGTTGCTAACTCCTCAGTAAGGAAAGCCTTACGGCCCGAGCGACACAGCTCGGGCCCGCCAGTGCCCCAACGGGGTCCTAGTTAGGGCCCGAGCGTAGCTGCTAAGCAGCTGCGAGAGCCCTATTATTCCCCAAGTGGTTTTTCTTTGTTTCTTTTTTCTTTTTCCTCCCCTTTGAACTGGAAAATGGCCCACTTCCCACTGGCGAAAACTCATGAAATTTGGCAGGACGACCGGGCCTGGTGAAAAATTTGATATTCTGAAGTCGCCCAAACAATACAATGCAAAATGGCTCCATAGCGCCCCCTAAGGTGAAAAATTCACCTGACGCCTGTACGCTTTGTCAAAATGACACAAAAATTGACACACACATGTATCTCAATAAGATCTACAAAAAAGTCAGTGCGGGCGTATCTGTCAAATGTACGGTTAAAGGGTTATTCCGCATTTTTTGCCGATCCGCACACATTGGAATTTCGCTAACTCCTCCGAAGGCTTTAGTTCCACCGGCACCACATTTGCTCAGGCCAATCTACACCCCATGGCCATTAAAAGTTATTCAAATCATGACGCTGCACCCCACGGTTTAGGTTCTAGGGGGCGCCAAAGATAACCCTAAAATCCACATATTTAAAAGTCTTATAACTTTTTATTTTTGCCCTCACTGGCCTCCAAGTTTTCTAGGATGATGCAATGTCCAGCCATCAACACATTTGTGAAGGAATTTTTACTCCCCAAAAGAGCGCCCCCCCATGGCAGGAGAAAAAAGTCCATTTTTTCTTGTCCCATAAGGTGAAAATTCACACTATTGACTGTCACGCCTGTACGCTTTGTCAAAATTACACAAAAATTGACACACACATGTATCTCAATAAGATCTACAAAAAAGTCAGTGCGGGCGTATCTGTCAAATGTACGGTTAAAGGGTTATTGCGCATTTTTTGCCGATCCGCACACATTGGAATTTCGCTAACTCCTCCGAAGGCTTTCGTTCCACTGGCACCAAATTTGCTCAGGCCAATCTACACCCCATGGCCATTAAAAGTTATTCAAATCATGACGCTGCACCCCACGGTTTAGGTTCTAGGGGGCGCCAAAGATAACCCTAAAATCCACATATTTAAAAGTCTTATAACTTTTTATTTTTGTCCTCTCTGGCCTCCAAGTTTTCTAGGATGATGCAATGTCCAGCCATCAACACATTTGTGAAGGAATTTTTACTCCCCAAAAGAGCGCCCCCCCATGGCAGGAGAAAAAAGTCCATTTTTTCTTGTCCCATAAGGTGAAAATACACATTGTTGACTGTCATACCTGTATGCTTTGTCATATTGACACAAAATTTGACACACACATGTATCTCAATAAGATCTACGAAACAGTCAATGCGCGCGTATCTGTAAAATGTACGGTTAAAGGGCTATTTTGCATTTTTTGCCCATTAGCACACATTGGAATGTGGCTAACTCCTCCTAAGGCTTTCGTCCCACTGACACCAAATTTGCTCAGGCCAATCTACACCCCATGGCCATTCAAAGTTTTAAAAATCATGACGCTGCACCCCACGGTTTACGTTCTAGGGGGCGCCAAAGATGACCCAAATATCCACATTCTTAAAAGAATCCACCCCCCCCCCCCCCAATCCCCCATCCCCCATCCCCCATCCCCCATGGCAGGAGAAACAGTCAAGTTTTTCCTGCCCATCACTCAATGGCTCAATCGCATCGCTCTCCCGGCAACACCGTAAGGAGGAGCAACTTGCCGTTTGGATATATCCTAGCTGTGTTTGTGCCCTCACTCATGGTCCAGACTTTTTTCAAATAGGACATGTAGTTTGTCTGCAGCGAGTGTTTTGGTAGAAACTGCGCCTCCCATTCATTATAATGGGAAATGACCACAGACAAGTACGCACACCATCTTTGGACCTTGCGTGTGACGCGATCGGGAGGGGAAGGCGGTCGCACTGGGGGCGGCGCAACGCGGCTCGGGCCCGCCAGTGCCCCAACGGGGCCCTAGTTATTATTAGGGCCCGAGCCAGCTGCAGAGCAGCCGGGCGTAGGCCCTATTATTCCCCAAGTGGTTTTTCTTTGTTTCTTTCTTTCTTTCTTTCTTTCTTCTTTTTCCTCCCCTTTGAACTGGAAAATGGCCCACTTCCCACTGGCGAAAACTCATGAAATTTGGCAGGACGACCGGGCCTGGTGAAAAATTCGATATTCTGAAGTTGCCCAAACAATAAAATGCAAAATGGCTCCATAGCGCCCCCTAAGGTGGAAATTCACACTATTGACTGTCACGCCTGTACGCTTTGTCATATTGACACAAAAATTGACACACATATGTATCTCAATAAGATCTACAAAAAAGTCAGTGCGGCCGTATCTGTCAAAATTACGGTTAAAGGGTTATTTCGCATTTTTTGCCGATCCGCACACATTGGAATTTCGCTAACTCCTCCGAAGGCTTTCGTTCCACCGGCACCACATTTGCTCAGGCCAATCTACACCCCGTGGCCATTAAAAGTTATCAAAATCATGACGCTGCACCCCAAGGTTTAGGTTCTAGGGGGCGCCAAAGATAACACTAAAATCCACATATTTAAAAGTCTTATAACTTTTTATTTTTGTCCTCACTGGCCTCCAAGTTTTCTAGGATGATGCAATGTCCAGCCATCAACACATTTGTGAAGGAATTTTTACTCCCCAAAAGAGCGCCCCCCCATGGCAGGAGAAAAAAGTCCATTTTTTCTTGTCCCCTAAGGTGAAAATACACATTGTTGAGTGTCACGCCTATACGCTTTGTCAAAATGACACAAAAATTGACACACACATGTAACTCAATAAGATCTACAAAAAAGTCCATGCGCGCGTATCTGTCAAATGTACAGTTAAAGGGTTATTCCGCATTTTTTGCCGATACGCACACATTGGAATTTCGCTAACTCCTCCGAAGGCTTTCGTTCCACCGGCACCACATTTGCTCAGGCCAATCTACACCCCATGGCCATTAAAAGTTATTCAAATCATGATGCTGCACCCCATGGTTTAGGTTCTAGGGGGCGCCAAAAATAACCCAAAAATCCACATTCTTAAATGTTTTATAACTTTTTATTTTTGTCCTCACTGGCCTCCAAGTTTTCTAGGATGATGCAATGTCCAGCCATCAACACATTTGTGAAGGAATTTTTACTCCCCAAAAGAGCGCCCCCCCATGGTAGGAGAAAAAAGTCAATTTTTTCTTGTCCCCTTACATAAAAATACACATTGTTGAGTGTCACGCCTGAACGCTTTGTCATATTGACACAAAAATTGACAATCATGTGTATCTCAATTAGATCTACGAAAAAGTCAAAGAGCGCGTATCTGTATAATGTACGGTTAAAGGGCTATTTTGCATTTTTTGCCGATTCGCACACATTGGAATGTGGCTATCTCCTCCTAAGGCTTTCGTCCCACCGATACCAAATTTGCTCAGGGCAATCTACACCCCATGCCCATTCAAAGTTGTAAAAATCATGACGCTGCACCCCACGGTTTACGTTCTAGGGGGCGCCAAAGATGACCCAAAAATCCACATTCTTAAGAGTCATTTTGGCCACTGCAGGAGTACAGAGTACTACAGTTCTAGGGGGCGCCAAAGATGACCCAAAAATCCACATTCTTAAAAGTCTTTTTGGCCACTGCAGGAGTACAGAGTACTGCAGGATACACACACATATACACACACGCCAACATACACACACACACACACACACACACACACACACAGACACACACACACACTCAGAGTCTGTTTTTTAGCACCTGCAAAAACATGCTGTTTACATATTTGACAAGAATGCAGAGGCTTCCTTTTGCCCCTGAAAAAAATCAAATTTCAAACACAACTTGACTGTTCATTTCTCCAAAAGACAACCATGAAGCTCCATTTCAAACCTGAAGCAGATAGTTGGTGCATGTGTACAGTAACCTGAGGGGAGTGAGGTGACTATTTCTGAGGAGAACATGAGCAGTGAAGATTCACCTTGGAGCTAGAACAGGGACGTGCACATGATTATACAGGGGCAGGGGCTCAAGTTTTTTCCAGTCATTTATACAATATGGAAATTAATGTGAAATTAAACCACAAATATGTGTGATGAACTGTTTTTAAAACTTAAACTTCAAATAAAAATTGTAAACTTCAAAACATATGCAAATTTTTAACAAAGAACATAGTAATTTACCTCTATTTACATCAAAATGCAGGCAATGGCCCAGGCGTTCTTTGTAAAATTATTTACAAAACACTGTATAGTCTCACAAATGTCACTTTTTATTTATGCCACTACAAAAAAACATGATGTAAATGATGCATGATGTAAAACATGATGTAAAAAACTTGTGTAGATCCTCCTCTATGTCAGTCCATGTGTAATTTTTCCATAATTCTTTGTTTTTTGCAGCATTTTTGTTAGTGTAACTGCAGATTGTGCTGACAGTGTCTATGGCACAAAAAAAAAAAAAAATTAAAATGCCTCAACATGAACCCCTGGTGGTCTCTGAGGGTGAAACCTGCTAACTGCTGCAGCTCTGTCAGCTTCAGTCTCCCATGCAGAGCTCTGAGCGCATGTGTGGCTCTGCACCCTTAGCAGCGTTGCTAACTCCTCAGTAAGGAAAGCCTGCTTCATGTCAGAGTCTCTAAACTCCAGAAGAAGTCGATAAAAGTCCCTTTCTTTCTAAAAAAAAGTCGTTAGGGGGTCTGAAAAGTCATTGAATCTAACAACAAAGTCGCTAGGTTTGCAACTACGTGTCCCAGACTGCATCCCTGCTGAGAGTCCCTCCCTCCCTTCTCATGTTGCAGGAAGAACGTAAGCGCCCGCCCCTTGTCAATCAGTCACCATATAATTTTGGATTGGTTGTTGTGGTGAAGTTTTCCACCAATAGGAGAGATGTTGTGGTGTGTTTTTTTTTTCTTTTGGCAAGCCTTTTCCGCCTGTAAGACCTGTCGCTAATGTCTGCATGCTATGTTTTCCTGTCTCATACAGCGCGATCGAGCGCCGAACGTGATCAAAATAAGCAGAAAAAAAGTATCGCGGACATAATTTATCATAACTCTGGTTTTATTTGGCCTATCAACACAATTTAAAAACTGGTATATAGGTTGAGGTCCTCACTTTTGAGATAAGTTGAAACGGAGAGTCAACGAGGCTCCGTCTTGCAGCTACATCCGGTTAAATATGTCATGTGACTTGAACGCACACATAGACACACACACACGCACACACACACACACACACACACACACACACACTCAGAGTCTGGTTTTTAGCACCTGCAAAAACATGCTATTTACATATTTGACAAGAATGCAGAGGCTCCTTTTGCCCCTGAAAAAAATCAAATTTCAAACACAACTTGACTGGTCATTTCTCCAAAAGACAACCATGAAGCTCCATCCAAACCTGAAGCAGGCAGTTGGTGCATGTGTACAGTAACCTGAGGGGAGTGAGGTGAGTGCTTCTGAGGAGAACATGAGCAGTGAAGATTCACCTTGGAGCTAGAACAGAGACATGCACATGATTATACAGGGGCAGGGGCTCAAGTTTTTTCCAGTCGTTTATACAATATGGAAATTAATGTGAAATTAAAACACAAAGTATTAATAGAAAGGTAATGACTGTCCTGTGTAGGTGACAGTGATATCCAATAGGCTAGGCACTCACGAGGCTGGCTGTGGCAAGTGTAAGTGAAAGCAACACGCACTGGCAGGAAGAACAGCAAACGCCGATGAAGGAAAAGGGTCTTTGCAGTGATGGGCGTTAACAGAGAGGGCGATGGCCAGAGGACACAAATGGGACGGGGAGGCAGCACGTTGGGGGGGGGGGGACGCGACACGGCTCGGGCCCGCCAGTGCCCCAACGGGGTCCTAGTTATTATTTTTCCTCCCCTTTGAACTGGAAAATGGCCCACTTCCCACTGGCGAAAACTCATGAAATTTGGCAGGACGACCGGGCCTGGTGAAAAATTTGATATTCCGAAGTCGCCCAAACAAGAAAATGCAAAATGGCTCCATAGCGCCCCCTAAGGTGAAAATTCACACTATTGACTGTCACGCCTGTACGCTTTGTCAAAATGACACAAAAATTGACACACACATGTATCTCAATAAGATCTACAAAAAAGTCAGTGCGGGCGTATCTGTCAAATGTACGGTTAAAGGGTTATTTCGCATTTTTTGCCGATCCGCACACATTGGAATTTCGCTAACTCCTCCGAAGGCTTTCGTTCCACCGGCACCACATTTGCTCAGGCCAATCTACACCCCATGGCCATTAAAAGTTATTCAAATCATGACGCTGCACCCCACGGTTTAGGTTCTAGGGGGCGCCAAAGATAACCCTAAGATCCACATATTTAAAAGTCTTATAACTTTTTATTTTTGCCCTCACTGGCCTCCAAGTTTTCTAGGATGATGCAATGTCCAGCCATCAACACATTTGTGAAGGAATTTTTACTCCCCAAAAGAGCGCCCCCCCATGGCAGGAGAAAAAAGTCAATTTTTTCTTGTCCCCTAAGGTGAAAATACACATTGTTGAGTGTAACACCTGTACGCTTTGGCAAAATGACACAAAAATTGACACACACATGTATCTCAATAAGATCTACGAAAAAGTCAATGCGCGCGTATCTGTCAAATGTACGGTTAAAGGGTTATTCCGCATTTTTTGCCGATCAACACACATTGGAATTTCGCTAACTCCTCCGAAGGCTTTCGTTCCACCGGCACCACATTTGCTCAGGCCAATCTACACCCCATGGCCATTAAAAGTTATTCAAATCATGACGCTGCACCCCACGGTTTAGGTTCTAGGGGGAGCCAAAGATAACCGTAAAATCCACATATTTAAAAGTCTTATAACTTTTTATTTTTGTCCCCACTGGCCTCCAAGTTTTCTAGGATGATGCAATGTCCAGCCATCAACACATTTGTGAAGGAATTTTTACTCGGCAAAAGAGCGCCCCCCATGGCAGGAGAAAAAAGTCAATTTTTTCTTGTCCACTAAGGTGAAAATACACATTGTTGAGTGCTACGCCTGTATGTTTTGTCGTATTGACACAAAATTTTACATACACGTGTATTTCAATAAGATCTTCGAAAAAGTCAATGGCCACGTATCTGTAAAATGTACGGTTAAAGGGTTATTTCGCATTTTTTGCAGATTCGCACACATTGGAATTTCGCTAATTCCTCCGAAGGCTTTCGTTCCACCGGCACCACATTTGCTCAGGCCAATCTACACCCCATGGCCATTAAAAGTTATTCAAATCATGACGCTGCACCCCACGGTTTAGGTTCTAGGGGGCGCCAAAGATAACCCTAAAATCCACATATTTAAAAGTCTTATAACTTTTTATTTTTGTCCTCACTGGCCTCCATGTTTTCTAGGATGATGCAATGTCCAGCCATCAACACATTTGTGAAGGAGTTTTTTCTCTTTAAAAGAGCGCCCCCCCATGGCAGGAGAATAAAGTCAAGTTTTTCCTGTTCATCATTCAATGGCTCAAACGCACTGCTCTCTCGGCAAAAGCGAAAGGAGGAGCAACTTGCCATTTGGATATATCTTAGCTGTGTTTGTGCCCTCACTCATGGTCCAGACTTTTTTCAAATAGGACATGGAGTTTTTCTGCAGCGAGCGTTTTGGTAGAAACTGCGCCTCCCGTTCATTATAATGGTAAATGACCACAAACAAGTGCGCACACCATCTTTGGACCTTGAGTGTGACGCGATCGGGTGGGGGAGGCGGTCGCGCTGGGGGCGGCGTGACACGGCTCGGGCCCGCCAGTGCCCCAACGGGGCCCTAGTTTCTTCTTTTTCCTCCCCTTTGAACTGGAAAATGGCCCACTTCCCACTGGCAAAAACTCATGAAATTTGGCAGGACGACCGGGCCTCGTGAAAAATTTGATATTCTGAAGTCGTCCAGGCAATAAAATGCAAAATGGCTCCATAGCGCCCCCTAAGGTGTAAATTCACACTATTGACTGTCACGCCTGTACGCTTTGTCATATTGACACCAAAATTGACACACATATGTATCTAAATAAGATCTACAAAAAAGTCAGTGCGGGCGTATTTGTCAAATGTATGGTTAAAGGGTTATTTCGCATTTTTTGCTGATCCGCAAACATTGGAATTTCGCTAACTCCTCTGAAGGCTTTCGTTCCACCGGCACCACATTTGCTCAGGCCAATCTACACCCCATGGCCATTAAAAGTTATTCAAATCATGACGCTGCACCCCACGGTTTAGGTTCTAGGGGGCGCCAAAAATAACCCTAAAATCCACATATTTAAAAGTCTTATAACTTTTTCTTTTTGTCCTCACTGGCCTCCAAGTTTTCTAGGATGATGCAATGTCCAGCCATCAACACATTTGTGAAGGAATTTTTACTTCCCAAAAGAGCGCCCCCCCATGGCAGGAGAAAAAAGTCAATTTTTTCTTGTCCACTAAGGTGAAAATACACATTGTTGAGTGTCACGCCTGTATGCTTTGTCAAAATGACACAAAAATTGACACACACATGTATCTCAATAAGATCTACAAAAAAGTCAATGGGCGCGTATCTGTCAAATGTACGATTAAAGGGTTATTCCGCATTTTTTGCTGATCCGCACACATTGGAATGTGGCTAACTCCTCCGAAGGCTTGAGTTCCACCGGCACAACATTTGCTCAGGCCAATCTACACCCCATGGCCATTAAAAGTTATTCAAATCATGACGCTGCACCCCACGGTTTACGTTCTAGGGGGCGCCAAAGATGACCCAAATATCCACATTTTTTGAAGTCTTTTCACTTTTTATTGTTGTCCCCACTGGCCTCCAAGTTTTCTAGGATGATGCAATGTCCAGCCATCAACACATTTGTGAAGGAATTTTTACTCCCCAAAAGAGCGCCCCCCCATGGCAGGAGAAAAAAGTCAATTTTTTCTTGTCCACTAAGGTGAAAATACACATTGTTGAGTGCTACGCCTGTATGCTTTGTTGTATTGACACAAAATTTGACATACACGTGTATTTCAATAAGATCTACGAAAAAGTTAATGGGCACGTATCTGTAAAATGTACGGTTAAAGGGCAATTTTGCAGTTTTTGGCGATTTGCACACATTGGAATTTCGCTAACTCCTCTGAAGGCTTGAGTTCCACTGTCACCAAATTTGCTCAGGCTAATCTACACTCCATGGCCATTCAAAGTTGTACAAATCATAATGCTGCACCCTATGGTTTACACTCTAGGGGTCGCCAAAGATAACCCAATACTCACATTCTTAAAAGTCGTCTTGGCCAGTGAGTGGCGCCAATGGGAGCTCTCTATGAAATCTGATGCTACAAAAGTAGCAGTACAAAAGTTAAAAGGCTCAAATATTTGCTATATTAGTGACTTTATGTCTTAAATGGGAATTTAAAGGGTTAAAAAATTATTTTCACCGAAACATTTGCTAGTTCTGAACAGGGCAGAAGTTAAATATAACAGATGTACAAAAGATCTAATTGATCTCAGCTTTCACCTGTCAAATTTAGGAAGTATAAGTTTTAGCTTTAAGGCCTTTAACAACCAGAGGCCCTTACATAAAGTTTTAGGGAAATTTCAGTGAAGGCCTGGGTGTATGTCTTTCGCAAAATGATTAGAAAGAATAAAGCTCAACACCATAAAATGGCCTCGCCTACTAGCAGTGATATAAAACAGTGGTTTGAATATGAAATAAGACCAAACAAACAGCAATAGAGCCCTTTTGACCAGGAATTCCTTTATTTTCACACAAAAGCAGAAAGGGTAAGGGAATGATCAGTCCTCCTGACTGTCAGATGAATCCTCAAAATTTCATCAGAAACATGTTTCTTATTTTTCTCAGAGTACTGCAGGATGCACACACACAGACACACACACACACACACACACACACACACACACACACACACACACACACACACACACACACACACTCAAAAACAGAAAAACATGCTATTGCTATGTTGACAGGAATGCAGAGGCTTCCTTTTGCCTTTGAAAAAAATCAAATGTCAAACACCACTTGGCTGGTCATTTCTCCAAAAGACAACGATGAAGCGCTATATAAACCTAAAGCAGGCAGGTGCTGCATGTGTACAGTCCCCTGAGGGGAGTGAGGTGACTGCTTCTGAGGAGAACATGAGCAGTGATGATTCACCTTGGAGCCAGAACAGGGACGTGCACATGATTATACAGGGGCATGGGCTCAAGTTTTTTTCCAGTTGTTTATAAAATATGGAAATTAATCTAAAATTTAAAGAAAAAGTATGAATAGAAAGGTAATGACTGTCCTGTGTAGGTGATAGTGATATCCAACAGCCATTTCTTTTGTGGCAACAAACTATTGAACATGACATGATCAATATGGTAGTATTTCAAACACAGATTACCTACATGTGAAATTAGTATCTACCTAGCAGTGGCGGCTGCTGGTGTTTCAAGGAGGGGAAGCTCATTTTTCTGGCCTACATCATATTGTATTTGTTTATTAGTATGTAACAGAACAGAGTCGCAGAGTGAAGTTTTATTTTTTATTTTGTACAGGATTTCCTCTCTGACATGATCTGCTCTGTGCTGAATTGATCCACCATTCTCTGTCTCAGGTGGTTCTATGACAGAGTGGAGGTGCAAGAGACAGAGAAGTGGCAGAGTCATCTCACACAAAAATAGTATCACAAGTAAATGGATATTGTAGAATGCTGTGGAGTTTTTGAACCATGTTTTTGTTGTGCTTTTTTAACTTTCAAACAAGAGTTATTAAAAGAATTAAAAAAGGGAAGTTTAATTCAAGTCAAAAAGGGCAGGGGTTCAAGCACCTCAGAGCACTATTTGTGTGCATGAGCCAGGAGGATTTAGGGGAGAAATATTTGTCGGACATAGAGGGATAATGCAATTTGAGAAGGGGAAACAAATAGGAGAAGGAGGAGTTTGAATATTTTATGTGCAAAACATTATTATGCATTACAATTAATATTTTTATCAAAAAACTTTATCACAGATACTTCACTTTGCACCTCATTTTTGGAAATATCAAATATTTGTTTTTTTCACCGTGAAAAAGCAGGGGATGTCACGACAAAGGCACTCAAAATGTAAAAATCTACAAATTTATTGTAATACATTTGATATCTATGGCTAGGTCTGAAGTTGTTGACTACATATAATGCTTTAAAGAAGAAAAACATGCATGTATGATGTTTTTACTGCACTGTTATAAGACTGTGCACCTCATTTTAGGAATTATTGCATTTTTTGTGTTATTCTAATTAAAAAATCAGGGGTTTGCTAGATAAAAATGACTAAAAACCTAAAAAACAAATGATATCTTTATTTTCAATAAACTTTACATCTAGGATAGGTCATGATATAATGATTTAAAGCAAAAGAAAAAAAGGGATGTATAAGTTTTTCACCGCACTTTTATAAGATTATAAGAAGTCTATTTTTCGGCATGAGGGTAAGCAGTATAAGTTTATAATGGAAACTGTGATTGTGCACTTACAATTATACAACACAATCAATATTTTTATCAGTTGTTGACATAGTCAGGGCTGTTATATGTCTAACCAAAATCTTTCACTTTGCACCTCATTTTTGTAATTATTGCATATTTTTAGTTTTTCTCCTTACAAAAATCATGGGTTCTCACGACAAAAGACCTAAAAAATATATATTTTTTTAAATAACCGTTATATGTATGGATAGGCCTGAAGTTGTTGACAAGATATAATGCTTTAAAGTAAACAGAAATATGAATGTTTGACCACGAGTGTAGCAAGTGTCAGTACATTTTAAGGGGTACTTAAGGGTTACAGAACAATCCTTTATTTACATAATTAAGAAATATAGGCTACAGCCACAAACTGAACTTCTAATAATGTCAATAACTATGATATTTAACAAAATTTACACATAATAAACATAAAATCACCCACACGACTACACACAGTAAACATAAAATCACACATAATCAACAATTAACTACAATGGATCTAAATAAAAAGACATGTCTCCCACTTCTCCAGAGTCACAGTTATCATCTAATGTGCACCCCTCCTCTACTACGTCAAGGACACCAGCAATTGCTTTCTCCGCTGAGGTGAGGTCTTTGTCAGCTGCTTCCACTTGTGGTATACCTAAAAATGATTCAAATCAATGTTAACAATGTTTTAAATTATCACTTTCAGTTTACATAAAAACAGGACATGCAACATTCCCACATGTGTAAAATGAACACACACACATCACCTTATTGTTTGTATATTGATTTATACTTCGCCCTCAATTTCATTTTTCGATAACTTTTTATGCAATAAGCAATTGTAATGTGCATAACTGACGTCCGGATTACATTAGTTATGATACCGTGCAAAGATATCCAGCATTGTCTTACTTCAATCAATCATGAGGCATAGTGAGGCTGAAGCCTCAGGGCAGGTATTGCCACAGAGGAAAAAGTGCCTAGAAACTGAATGTTGTTGCATTTCAGTTGGGCAACATAGACTGTGATTCATAACAAAGCTCTATTGACAGTAAGAACTACAAAGAAATATCTACTCATGCCATCTTATCGATTAATAGTAATCAGTGTTTCGGTGTCGAACTAGTTCCTTTGTGCGGTGAGTGATACATGAGCACGCGCAGTCGAATATGCAGAAGGGTGAAGCAATTTCTGTCACGTGGACCAATACGTAGCGAGTCTCGTTTCCATAGTTCACCCAGTATTTTGGCTACAGTTGGTGGCTAGTGGAAAACGTTACATAACCACCCATAACTGCAGTAAATTCGACAAAATTACTGCTAAAAACTGCCATTTTTTGCGCGTGTGGGATAGGGGGGGCTATTAGGTTTGGCTTAGTTTAGGGGTTACAGAAGGTATAATCCGGGCCTGAGCATAGTATAGATGTAAAGAGTATTTACACGCATAAATTTATACTCCATTTCAACGTCAGGATTCGGTCTTTTTTTAGACGTGATTTAGACGTAAACAATTATACGTCCTTTCAACATCTACATATAGACCGAAGTCACACAATCAATATTAATCAACAATTCACGAGTTGATTATTCAAAATGTTAACTGGAGGTTGCAGAACTGATTTCGATCTATGGGACTACTTTCATCTTGGGAGCGTAGCCAGTGTTTTCGCCATATCCGGTCAAAACACTAATACGAAACAAACAAAAACAAACCCACCTTCAGATCTTAAAGCCTGGGTCTTATTGAGTATTTCACAAGAAAATTGGTCGCTGAAATTTAATGAAAGTATTAGATTTCATGTGGTTTATCAGTCTCGGTAACGCCGATTGACTCTGTGACAATAACACAGGATCACATGAGCCCTTTCACGTGCCTACTCACGTGATCCTCCGTGTAACCACTTCGAGTAAGGTCTAATTCCGCCAAGAGCGAACTAGTCCGTGATAACAGTTGTCGGTATAAGAGCAATACTACGAAATGAGCTACAATAAAGTATTTAGTAGCTCTGCAACAGTCCGGCTTTACACCTGTATTGACATTGTACCGTAATCGGACTAAAACATGTAAAAGGCTTCAAATTCTGGACCGCACAACATCCTACTGAATCACTGCGCTTTGTTCACATTCGACCTCACTACCATGCAAAACTCCTATTTTGTTCGAACAAAACTGAATAAAATGCGTAATTCTTCCACTGCATATTGCAGGGCTTGTTGGTACAACTTGTGTTACATATTTAAGCTTTTTCTCAAACATTAATCAATGAAAACATCAGCTACAGCACTCATTTTCATGTGCAAAGTAGAGCCGCCGCCATTTTGTTCAATGTGCTTGTGCTAAGCGTCTCCTCGCTTAGCAACTGTATCTATGGAGGAGAGGGAGGGCTGGGCGGAGCCCACCGAAAGGTGTTCTGTTATTATTGGCTCTGACTGTAACCTCAGTCGCAAGTCATTAAATCCAGCTTTTCGATTGGTCGAGCTCCTCTTTATTTTCCAGTATTTTCGTCGCTCACTTCGTCTGACTGATCCCTTGAGGATAACAGACTACCTTCGACAGAGCGCGAATTTTACGAGTAAATCTGTTTTTGAAGATTTTTTACACGCTTCACCGATACACATCTACAAACACACATCTTCCACTACATCTTTCACATTTAACAAACACACACACACACACACACACACACACACACACACACACACACACACACACACACACACACACACACACACACACACACACAACACACAAATTCTCACGGTCAACCTCGGCTGAGTTTGACTGTCTTTTATTCCACCTATCCACGGAACGGCTGCTCATCTCGTCTGTAACAACTTCAGTACGGTAAGTCATGTGTTATCAGCTTATTTGTTGTGTTTTGCTGTTGTTGAGGGAGAACTTTTGCTCAAACATGCAGCTAACAAAACTGTTGTGGCTAAGATAGGCGTGCTGAGTTGTTTACACAGGGCCGCTAACAAAGTAGCTAGTGTGCTACTCTGTTAGCGGCCCTGTGTAAACACCAAGCTAGTTGTAACTTCGTTATTCTGTGACTTCACTGCACTCTCGGAGATCACAATGTAGCATTTTGTGGTGGTGGCGGAAGTGTATTGTGTTGTTTCGCGTTCTTTGTCCGCATCGCAGAGGGGCTATTGTCTGTGTCCACATTGCAGTGCAATTATTGTCTTGTTTCGCTGTCTGCGTCGGCATCGCAGAGGGGCTCTTGTCTGGTTTTGCGGTCCGTGTCTGTGTTTTGGGGTTTATTTGTGGTAATTTGCCGTTGTTGAGGGAGAACTTGGCGGTGGCGCTGTGTAAACAGGAAGCCAGTTGTAACTTCGTTATTCTGTGACTTCACTAAATTCTCGGAAATCATAATTTAGCATTTGACGGTGGTGGTGGTAGTCTATTTTCTTGATTCGCGTTCTGTGTCTGCATCGCAGACGGGCTCTTTTCTGGTTTTGAAATCTGTGTCGATTTTGCAGTGCAATTATTTTCTTGTTTCGCTGTCTGCGTCGGCATCGCAGAGGGGCTATTGTCTGATTTTGCGGTCTGTGTCCACATTGCAGTGCAATTATTGTCTTGTTGCGCTGTCTGCGTCGGCATCGCAGAGGGGCTCTTGTCTGGATTCGCGGTCCGCGTCTGTGTTTTTGGGTTTATTTGTGGTAATTTGCCGTTGTTGAGGGAGAACTTGGTGGTGGTACTCTATTTTCTTAATTCGCGTTCTGTGTATGCATCGCAGAAAGGCTATTTTCTGGTTTTGCGGTCTGTGTCGACATTGCAGTGCAATTATTTTCTTGTTTCGCTGTCTGCGTCGGCATCGCAGAGGGGCTATTGTCTGGTTTTGCGATCTGTGTCTGTGTTTTTAGGTTTATTGTGGTGTTTTGCTGTTGTTGAGAGAGAACTTCTGCTTAAACATGCATGCTAACCAAACTGTTGTGGCTAACATAGGCGTGCTGATTTGATATTTACACAGCGACGCTAACAAAGTAGCTAGTGTGCAACACTGTTAGCGGCGCTGTGTAAACAGTAAGCCAGTTGTAACTTAGTTATTCTGTGACTTCACTAAATTCTTGGAAATCATAATTTAGCATTTGACGGTCTATTTTCTTGATTCGCGTTCTGTGTATGCATCGCAGAAAGGCTATTTTCTGGTTTTGCGGTCTGTGTCGACATTGCAGTGCAATTATTTTCTTGTTTCGCTGTCTGCGTAGGCGTCGCAGAGGGGCTATTATCTGGTTTTGTGATCTGTGTCTGTGTTTTTAGGTTTATTGTGGTGTTTTGCTGTTGTTGAGGGAGAACATCTGCTTAAACATGCATGCTAACCAAACTGTTGTGGCTAACATAGGCGTGCTGATTTGATGTTTACACAGCGACGCTAACAAAGTAGCTAGTGTGCAACACTGTTAGCGGCGCTGTGTAAACAGGAAGCCAGTTGTAACTTCGTTATTCTGTGACTTCACTAAATTCTCGGAAATCATAATTTAGCATTTGACGGTGGTGGTGGTAGTCTATTTTCTTGATTCGCGTTCTGTGTCTGCATCGCAGACGGGCTCTTTTCTGGTTTTGAAATCTGTGTCGATTTTGCAGTGCAATTATTTTCTTGTTTCGCTGTCTGCGTCGGCATCGCAGAGGGGCTCTTGTCTGGTTTCGCGGTCCGCGTCTGTGTTTTTAGGTTTATTTGTGGTAATTTGCCGTTGTTGAGGGAGAACTTGGTGGTGGTACTCTATTTTCTTAATTCGCGTTCTGTGTCTGCATCGCAGACGGGCTATTTTCTGGTTTTGCGGTCTGTGTCGACATTGCAGTGCAATTATTTTCTTGTTTCGCTGTCTGCGTCGGCATCGCAGAGGGGCTATTGTCTGGTTTTGCGATCTGTGTCTGTGTTTTTAGGTTTATTGTGGTGTTTTGCTGTTGTTGAGAGAGAACTTCTGCTTAAACATGCATGCTAACCAAACTGTTGTGGCTAACATAGGCGTGCTGATTTGATGTTTACACAGCGACGCTAACAAAGTAGCTAGTGTGCAACACTGTTAGCGGCGCTGTGTAAACAGTAAGCCAGTTGTAACTTCGTTATTCTGTGACTTCACCAAATTATTGGAAATCATAATTTAGCATTTGACGGTGGTGGTGGTAGTCCATTTTCTTGATTCGCGTTCTGTGTCTGCATCGCAAACGGGCTATTTTTTGGTTTTGCGGTGCTATTATTATCTTGTTTTGCTGTCTGCGTTGGCATAGCAGAGGGGCTATTGTCTGGTTTTGCGATCTGTATCTGCGTTTTTAGGATTATTGTGGTGTTTCGCTGTTGTTGAAGGAGAATTTCTGCTGAAACATGCATGCTAGCAAAACTGTTGTGGCTAACATAGGCGTGCTGATTTGATGTCTACACAGCGATGCAAACAAAGTAGCTAGTGTGCAACCAAAATGTGTTAGCCTCACTGTTTAGTTATTCTTTTTGTATTTTTTGGTGCTTATATAACATAACACACGTTTAAATTTTGATATGAAGTTTTACAAATATAATGGGTATTACATGTATTATCTATACTTTCAGATGCCAAAACTGAAGGGTTGGCGTCGATCACAGGCCGCAACCAGGCGCCGCGCTCAGCGCGAGTTCCTGATTGTTGGTCCACAAAGCCACAGTGATGACGTGCCTACAGGTGTGTAACATTTTCTTTTAAATGTATCATTTTTTCTTCACGCGCTATATTGGAAACAGTTTCTTATTTCTTTGTATCTTGGAAAAACACATCCAAATCAGGTTTACTGTTTACATTTTACAATAATACATGTCAATGTTATCTGTTTAATAGGCACTGTTGGGACTGGTTATCGCCATCGCGTTAACCAGTGGCCAATATCTGTGTTGACTGGTCGGCAACACAAATTGGTCATTCCTCCTGAGGTTCCTGACAAGAAGGTATGATACTGACATTATTTTTTACCCTCACAACACATATTTCAGCTGATACAGTATTTAATTAGTACTTCTCCCTTTTTCATCCTAGTTTGTTCTTATCGTCGGTGACTCTCACCTGCGCCCGTTTGCTGATGGGGTTGTGCCATTGCCTGAAGGACGGATGTCCTTTGGGTTCATGTCCACACCAGGGGCCTGCGCTGATGGACTGAGGACTGAGGTGGTACATGCTGCTGTGCCTCGCAATCCTGACTTGGTCATTGTCATGGCTCCTAGCAACAACCTCACAACCCAAGGGTCTCTTGAGAAGTCGTCAACAGATTTTGCTAAACTTCTCTCCACTGCCGTTGGAAGGTGGTTCAAGGTGGGGCTATGATGTCATTAACACATTTTGTAGTATCTCAATTAGTAGTTATGCTCTGTAATAACTCTTGTGTTTTTTGTCCTTCTGGTGTGTTTGCTATTTTTATAGGTAATTGTGTATGACTTTCCACCTCGGCTGAACCACCCTTTGGATCATCAGGAGCTGCTGCGGCAGGAATTCCGTCGAGTCGCAGCACGTATGGGTACGTTTTACAACACTTTAAATTCGCCTTCATGACAAAATTCTAAATGACAATAATATCATCATAAAACCAATCACATAAAACATCTACAGAAAACACAAACAAATTACATGTATTTTTTTAGAAGAACTCACAACTGTGTACATTTTATGGACATGGTGAAAGAATAATTGTCTTTTCTGTTTGTAGTAAAATACACAAATTTGTACTAATGCTTCACTTTGTCTCACTTTACATTAACAGGCATTCGATATGTTTGCCCTGCTGCTGATGACTTCCCCCTGAGACGCCTTAAGCTGTGGTGCAGGGATTCTGTTAGTACAATCCCTACTCATCTGATGTTTCATATGGACTTCATAATAAATGCACAAATTTTTGCATCATGCAAATTTGTGATCATGAAAACTGTCTTGTCTTCTATATAGGTCCATCTCAGTGATGATGGTGGGTCGCCTATTCTGGGGCAGCGTCTCTGGCAGGCGGCCTACACTGAACTGGAGAGAGGTGATCCTGCATCAGTGCTGTCAGTGCAGCGCAGGCGCTCGCCCCCCTGAGCACTGTCACACCAAAGGTGGTTGTGAGGGGAGAGGTACCTGCACCTCAACCATCCAACCCCTTTGAGTGGACAGTGTGTGGAAAGGTGCACAAGGTAAACATAATTCCTGTGTGTCTATATACATATAGTATATGTATTTAATACAGTATTGTTAATTCTCAACTTACTTATCACGGCAGAATCTCTCTGGCAACGAGGTGGAGGACTCTGCTCCATGCACTCAGCAGGTTTGACCTCCTTTTATATGACACAACTATCATGCAAAACCACTATCATCACAATTTCTGTATGGATTACACACATTTTCTTTGAAAAGAAACCCTTTTCTAAACTATTACTTTATTTATTCTATTTTTCTTTGTCTCTCCTTCTCATCCTAGTTGTCAACAGTTGGGTTGCGAGACTGTTTTGTGCGTCTCAACCCTATCCATTTCAGTCCACACCTGCTGGATGCCATGGAGAAGATTTCGCCATCCCAGCTTCCCAACCCTGTTCCACAAGATGATGAGGTCAGTGAAAATGTCAAACTACAGCAACACTTTGACTGTTCATTCATAAAATGTTTTGTGTTTCACAACAACAATGCTTAGAAGAAATATTTTTTTATTCAGATGCCACGTGTGGAACCACGCAGGACTGTGGTTGCATCTAGGAGGATCCCTACCAGGAAGCAGGTTTGTTTCTTCATTGGCACACATGGTGTATTAATATGCAAGCACGCAGAGCTAGGTTTGCATCTAAACCAAGTTTATCATACAGAACGGAATAATAACATTAAGAAATGTACTTGGCCCTTAATTTCAAAACATGTTTTTCTTTATTCGTACACAAATAGGATGTTTAGTATCATCAGTTAATGATTCTACTTTCAACTATAAAAGTACAGTTTTTTCAATTTGACCTTTTTATCAATGACAATATATTAATGCACAAACTTTTGTGTGAAGGGAAGGGCCTTGCGTGTCCAGAGCCCAGCTGACCCACAGACGACTGAGGTGCCTCCTGCTACAGAAGTCACTTCACCTGAGGTGGGCTTGGAGAGGGTGGCAGAGCTCCAGACGTGCCCGAGCGTGGTGACGGTGAACACTGCCATCCTGTCAGCACCCCAGCCAGATGGAGGCACCCAGGTGGAACAGGTAAGTATGCATAAACGTCTTCCTTCCCCCCTCTTGTGTTTGGTGATTTTGATCGCTCACCTGTGCAGGTTAGCAGTATGGAGACTGAGGCAGTACAGTTTCTGTGCACTGAGATTGAGATTGAGAGTGAGATGTCTGACCCAGGTTGGGTAAGAGACAGTGTCCAAGGATCATTTCACCAGGGAAGCGACTTATTAAGTAATCACGGAACAACAGTGTATGGCAATTGGGCTGGCCAGCGTTGCCAAACACAGCGTGAAAAGCGTTTTCTCGTGGAGTGTGGCTGATCTCGACACAGTTTTGCTCTGTGGGGATCAACTGTACACATATCTGAGAGATAATGACAAAATCAGTGGCGGTTCTGATTTTTTGTGTATTCCTGATTTGCCTGCTTCACACACAATTGATGGCATGGAGTTTGACTTTGAGTATGGTGATTACATGTCTGGACTCATCAACCAGACTGATAAGTCACCCATTGCACCTGGGTTGACAACATTACTGCATAGTCTACAAATTCTGTTTGCCAAATATGACACATGCTTTTTGACATTGCATTGCAGCACATGCGTTGTCATTCGTGAGAATAATATGTTTGCTGTTGTTGATTCTCATGCTCGAAATGCTTTGGGCCTGGTGGATCCTGATGGTCGAAGTGTTGTTGCATATTTCCGTAACTTGCAGGAACTGTATACACATGCATTAGCCTTGGCTGCATCACAGCATGTGAGCAACCAGGCTTTTGAAGTTGCTGGTGTGCGTGCAATCCCCAGAATGTCAGCAATTGAAAGTATGTGTTTGCCATCCAGCTCAAGAGTAAATACAGAAATACTGAGTAAAATGAAGAGTGTGTATGCAGATGTACATCAGGAAGTGTCACACTCCAAGCAGGGGTGTTCATCCAGTACATCAGTACATAGGAAGCAAGGCTTGAAACGTCAACGCTTTGTGCACGCTCCTGCTGCCAAGAGAGCAAAGACGAACAATTTTGGTGATGATGTATTCATTGTTAAAGACACTAACAACAAGAGTGCAAATAATAGTAATGATGTTGTGTGCATTGATGATGCAATAAGCAAGACTGACGACGATGTGCTGTGTGTTGGTAATGGAGCCCAACAAGATTTAGTGTTTAACCCCCTTCAGTTAGAGGTTGCCAAAGTTTTGTGCAACACTTTAGGGATAGAATGTCAGAAAGTTGATGTGGAAGGATTTGTAGCAGGCATATTAGGACCTCCATGCAAGAAGCAGCCTATTGTCGGCGATGGCAATTGCTTCTTCAGAGCTGTGAGTCATGTTTTGTCTGGTAGTGAGAGGTTTCACAGGAAAGTCAGGTTGGCAGTTTGTAAACACATTGAATGTCATCCTGGATCATATGAGCACATTCTGAGAAATGAATTTACCTCTGTCAAAGAATATGTCAACATATCCAGAATGCGATATGTGGGTAGTTGGGCCACAGAAGTGGAGATTCAGGCTGCAGCAGATTGTTTCGGGGTTAGCATTTTTACCTACATTGACGATCGATGGCTTCAATACAGTTGTCAAGGTCGACAATTATCAGAACAGGCAGTGTATTTGGAGAACTGTAAAAACATCCATTATGAGGCTGTTGTATGTGTTCGACAACCTAATGTGGACTGTGATTGCTGTGATTTGTGTAAAGGTGCTGTTGCACATAGTACCAACTATGGTTTGACACAGGTGAGCAAAGATGCGCCATATAACCTCAGGACAGGATGTCAGGACTTAAAGCAACAGAGTCATCAGATTTTAAGTCCTTCACATCATGAAAAAAGGTTGTCAAAATATCTTAAAAAGAAGAAGTTTTTGCAAATGAAAATTAACTACCACAAAAACTTCTTGGATTACAACAGACGTAACCAAAATGTTAGGAATAGATATAAGCACAATCTGTTGTATCAACAGAAACTCAAGGCTTTAAGTAAGTTAAAATACTTAGATGAGGTGCATCAACAAGATGTTAAAAACAGAGGCAAAATTAAGTATAGAGACGATGAGACCCACAGACAAATTGTTAAAAATAGAAGCAAGGACAGAAGCAACATGAAATATAGGGACAATGATACCCACAGAAAAATTGTTAAAAATAGAAGCAAGGACAGAAGCAACATTAAATATAGGGACGATGATACCCACAGAGAAATTGTTAAAAACAGAAGCAAGGACAGAAGCAAAATTAAATACAGGGATGATAATACCCACAGAGAAATTACTAAACACAGAAGCAGGGAAATAAGTAAGGTTAAATATGGAAATGCTGCATTTAGGCATAAAAAAATAAACTTAGTAAAGACAAATTACCACCAGAACCCAGAACACTTCCTTGCATCTAAGAAACTTAGAATCTTAGAAAGGAAGGCAAAGCTAGAACAGGTGGACTTGGTAATTGATCAGTTTTTGGAAAAAATCAAAGATGGCCCAGCCTTTGTGTGCAGTGTGTGCCATAGACTGTTGTTTAAACACCAGGTTTCGAGTTGTAAGATAGACAAGTACAGTAGCAATACAAAAACAGCTCATGTCGCAGCTAGATGTATTAAGGATGTGTTTGTGCATAAATGTATGTCTTCTTGTGCCATACCATGTGTTTTGAAAGCTTCCCCTCGTGGTAGTTTGTGGATTTGTCATTCATGTCATGGCAAGGTCAGTAAAGGTGACGAGCCAGCTGAGAGCGCATCCAACAATCTGACTGTTGATCCGATTCCACCTGAGCTGGCTTGTTTAAATCGCCTAGAGTCGCATTTGATTGCACTCCATATCCCCTTTTTGAAGATGGTAGCTCTTCCTAGAGGTGGTCAAAATGGTGTTCATGGGCCGATTGCATGTGTTCCAGCCAACATTGTCCAAACCAGTAACGCGTTGCCACGTTCAAACATGGAAGGTTCAGTTATTCCCGTTAAACTGAAGCGCAAACTTACTTATAAAGGACATTATGCATATGAGTATGTTGACCCTATGCATATCAAGAAAGCACTGCAGTATCTGAAAGAGAACAATCCCTTCTACAAAGATGTGCAGTTCAATGATGACTGGATAAATGAATTTTGCAGGGATGAGAGTGCTGACAAAGAGCAGCAGAGTATTGTTGATGAACAGGGAGGATCAAATGCAGAGAGCTCTGAGGCATCTGCAGCTGAGGCAGCTGCAGCTGAGGAAGAACTTCTGCATGATCGGCAGCAGCATTGCATGTTTCAAGACACATGCTCAATGCCTGTTGATATTGGCCAGGAAGCGCTGGACCAATATTTTGATGGTGTTTTGAACTTGGCTCCAGCTGATGGACAGAACCCTGTGAAGGTTTTGACAACAAAGGAGAACGAGGCCAAGTGTTTCCCTGTGTTGTTTCCAAAAGGCCGTGGAACATTTCTTGATAATAGAAAATTTTCTCTGACTCTGTTCCGCTATTTGAGCAACAGGCTATATCATGCTGATGGTAGGTTTGCGCAGAATATTGAGTTTATTTTTTATGCTTGTTACATGCTTGAGTTACACCAAGTCATGTCCAGTGTGTCAATTGCGTTGAGAAAAGGGAAAGCCAGTAAGGTCAGAACAAAGATTAGTGATGTATTGAAAGATGAAGACAACCTGCGTGACCTTTTAAATCATGATGATGGGTACCGGTTTTTAAAACCTGTAAGGGGTACTCCAGCATTTTGGCAGGGAATTCAGAAGGATTTGTTAGCATGCTTGCGACAGCTTGGCAAACCTGCATGGTTTTGTTCATTTTCTGCAGCAGATTTGAGGTGGAAGGAATATTTAGAGAACATTCTTAGGGCAGAGGGGCGAGCACAGACATTTGAGGACCTGGAGTGGGCAGACAAGTGCGACCTGTTGCGTCGTAATCCTGTACTCGCCGCTCGCATGTTTGATTATCGCTGGCATCTGTTTTTGAAAGAAGTGTTGATGTCTCCAGCAAATCCAATTGGCAAAATCCTCGACTACTTTTACAGGGTGGAGTTCCAGCAGCGTGGCTCTCCACACGTTCATTGTCTGTTTTGGATTGAGAATGCCCCTGTAATTGATGTAAACACAGATGATGAGGTTGTTCAGTTTATTGATAGATATGTTTCATGTGAACTACCTAATAACACTGATGATTTACATGAGGTTGTTTCTTCAGTGCAGCAGCATTCAAAGCGGCACTCCAAAACTTGTAAAAAAGGTGGAAAACAGTGCCGCTTCAATTTCCCAAAACCAGTGTCTGCTAGGACTTTCATTTCCAGGGCATATAAGGAGGTTGAGATGGAGTGCGTGTGTCAGCGCAACGTCCATAACATGGTAGAACAGTGCATTTGTGGCAAGGAAGAAAATGAGAAGAAGCACAAGCAGGAAGGGGAATTTGCTGTTAAGGTTTTTGAATTAATAGCTAAAGCGTTGTCAGACGAGAACTGCACAATTCAAACTGCAGATGAGCTATTTGCAGGTATAGGTATACGACAGGAGACATTTGAGGCAGCATACAGGAGGTTAGGGAAAAAGACAGAGGTGATTATGCGACGGCAGGTTACTGATACGTGGATCAACCCACATTCCAAGACTCTGTTAAAAGCTTGGAATGCAAACATGGACATCCAGTATGTGACTGATGCTTATGCTTGTGTAGTCTACATCATTTCATACATCTCTAAAGCAGAAAGACAGATGGGATTGATGTTAGCAAATGCACAGCGTGAAGCATCTAAGGAAGACAACCTCAGTGCCAAACAGGCTTTGAAAAGGCTAGGAAGTGTTTACCTTCACAACCGAGATGTTGGAGCTCAGGAGGCAGTCTACAAGCTCAGCAACATGCACTTAAAAGAGTGCTCTCGGAAGGTGGTTTTTGTACCGACAGGTGACAATGTTGTCAGGATCAGCAAGCCATTGACTGTGTTAAAAGACATGGCTGCTGAATCCACAGAACAGATGTGGATGATCAACTTTGTTGACCGTTATAAAAACAGACCCAGAGATCATATATTTGAAGCCATGTGCCTTGTCCATTTTGCTGCTGAGTATCGTGTGCTCTACAAAGGTGAAAAATCAAAAAACCGAATTGAACTTGATAACGGCTGTGGGTTTGTGTTGAGAAGAACCCGTACGCAGCCTGCTGTTGTAAGGTACGCAAGATTCTCTGAGACTAAAAGTCCAGAGTTATTTCACCAAAGCATTTTGCAGCTGTTTCTTCCGTATCGTACAGAAGAACAGCTAAAGCCAGAGGGATTTGTCACTTTTGAAGACTTTTACAAAACTGGCCGTGTCATCATTGCTGATGGACAGCTACGTTCAGTGAAGTCAGTTGTGGACTCGAATCGCTGCAATTATGAAATAGATGCTGATGACTTAGATGAGGTTTTGGATTCTGTAAATTTTGATGGTCCTCTAGAAGATGCGTGGGGGCAGTTGTTCCCACAGCAAGAAACTGAACGCCTGGAGTCGATCCAGGAAAGGGCAGAGCAGATAGAGGTAGAAAATGACCCAGTGGAACATATTCCTGATCTGGCTGGGGGTGTAGAGCAGGCTAAGGTAACTAAGTGCAACAATTTAAGTAGAAGCGAGGGATTGGCATTATGCAGGTCTTTAAATGATGACCAGATGCGTGTGTTAAACAAGGTCCATCAGTGGTGCGTTGTTAAAGCAGCAGGTACAAACCCGGACCCCTTTCATGTGTTTGTAACAGGTGGTGCTGGCGTTGGAAAATCGCATTTAATCAGAGCAATTCAGTACGAGGCCACAAGGTTATTGTCACCAATGTGTCGACAACCTGACAATATCAGTATTTTGTTGACTGCACCAACAGGGATTGCTGCATATAATCTGCATGCAACCACCCTGCACAGTACATTTAGCATAGGGAAAGATGTTCACCTCCCTTATGTGCCAATAGGTGAAGAAAAGTTAAACACATTGAGAATGAAATATTGTGATCTCCAAATCTTGATAATTGATGAAATTTCTATGGTGGATCACAATATGCTCACTTATGTGCACGGCCGACTTCGCCAAATTAAACAGACAGGCATTCACACTCCATTTGGAAATGTGAGCGTCATGGCAGTGGGGGATTTTTATCAGTTGCCTCCGGTGAAAGGCAAACCGTTATACATGGAACCACTTGGAGTTGATCTTTGGAGCACTCATTTTAAGGTTGTCAAGTTGACAAAAGTAATTCGGCAGACAGACGAAGATTTTGCCGGACTACTGAATCGAGTTCGGACGCATCCAAAAGACTCAGACATGTTGCAAAGTGATATCACCACTTTGAAACAGCGAGAAACTGGTGAAGAATGCTCAGGTTTGCATATATTTGCCACAAATAGCCAGGTCAATGAGCACAACTTTGAGCAGCTGCAAAGAACATGTCCAGATTACCATGTAATACAGGCTCAGGATTATATAAACAACTCAAAAACAGGCAAACTGGAATTGAAAAAGGGCTATCATACACTAACATATAACACATGTTTAGATGCAACATTGTTATTGGGTACTGGCTCTCGTGTCATGTTGACAAAAAATTTGGATTTGGCTGACGGCTTGGTTAATGGTGCATGTGGCACAGTAACAGATGTAGTTTGTGTTGAATATGAAAAGTTTCCTCAGTGTATTTTTGTGAAATTTGATGATGAAGTAGTTGGTGTTGAGAGGAGGAAACAGTCAGGAAGGGTGTCAGATCATCTTGTTGGTTCCACGGCTATTACACCGGAGGAAGAAAGAGTGACAAAGAAGGGAGGTATGCGCCGTCAATTTCCGCTTCGTCTCGCCTGGGCCTGTACTGTACACAAAGTACAAGGCCTCACAGTTGATACAGCCGTAGTCAGTATGAAAAAGGTGTTTTCTGCTGGTCAGGCTTACGTGGCTTTGAGTCGTGTCAGGACTCTTATGGGATTGATCATTCAAGATTTCAATCCCAAAAAAATCTATTGTCGGCCAGAAATCGCTCAGGCCACTTCAAGGATGGCTTCGTTCCTAGAACCTATCACCTGGCAAGGGAGAGTGGAGGACACTTTGACAGTGTTCCTCATGAATGTTCAGGGTTTGAGACGCCATGTGTCTGACTTGGCTCAGCACACACAGCATTTGCAGCCAGAGTGCATTGCTGTGACTGAGACGTGGTTGCATCCAGGTTGTTCCTCAGAGACACTCGAGATAGCCAACTACTCTCTGCATAGTTGTCCACGAGCTCTGGCATATGATGGTCAAACTGCCCCCTTTGCCTCTTTGCAGGCAAAAGAACATGGGGGAGTTGCAATGTATTGTGATGGAATTATGCAGTTTGCAATCATCAAGGTGCCTTGTTTCAATGTGGAATGTTTGGTGTACCACTGCATAAACCTCAACATTTTCCTTACAGTCATATATCGGCCTCCAACCTACCCCATGACACTATTCAAACAAAATATTATCAAATTACTCCAATGGCTGGAACAAATTGGCAAAAACATTATTGTCATGGGAGATTTCAACGATGACATATTGAAGGCATCTTCAATTTGCAAATTTTTCCAAGATAGAGGTTATGATCAGGTGATCACCCAGCCTACCACAGAGCGAGGCACTTTGATTGATCATGTTTATGTGAGAGGGGGCATTTTCCACACACAAGCTGAAGTAATGCCTTCATATTTTAGCGACCATGAAGGTATTTACTGCAGCTTTAAAATTTGTGATTAATCATGTACACTGCTGTTTTTGATATTATTAATGCTTTCCATAGAAAAGTAGATTTGAAAGTGTTTTAGCAGGTTTCCAAACAGCTGGCTAATGGACCAATTTACAACGCCTGGACAAACCATGATGTCAACGCAAGTGACCACTTCAGGACATTGTAAGTATGAACATTTATGGTGATTGTATGCAAACTAACATGTGATATATAACCTCTCCACTTCATTTACACTTGCAATTATTCTGAACATCACAACTTAACTACAAAGAATGAAAACATTAGCAATGCGCCTATTTAGTATTTCTCCAATATGATGACTCCTTCATTTGTCAGCATGTAACTGATGTGATCTCTCCTCTCCTCACTGTTTCAACAAATATACCATACATCTTATGTTTGCTCCAGCTGAAGACTGACCAGCCCATCATTACTTCACCTTTGGTGAGATGAGACTCTGATGGATTACTGAAACAATACACAATTGGTAAGTGTGAATTTCAATTTATACTTGACTGTTTTCATTCATACACTATACTACTTGTGTAAACACTCATTGTGTCTCTTCCTCAGAAGGGATGCATACAACAGTGGTATATGATTGCAATTACCATAATTCTAACTGTGTGATAATGTAACTGATGTGTCATGTCTTCTTCACAACATGTAACCATATATTTATCCCATGACACCACCATCACAGGAGATATCAGCCACTGCCAACTCCAGCCAGAAACTAATGCATGCTAAGCAACTGTGTTATCACTATATGTTCATTGATTCTGATTATGTGAACATGTAACTAATATATTGTCTCTTCTTTACAGCCTGTAACCAACAACTCAACCCGCTACTACTCCAGGGATCAGCCTATGACAAATCCACCCAAAAAGGGATGCAGCACACACTTCACATGTACCAGAAATTGTTATTTTTTAATTGTTTCTCAGCTTTTTTGTAATAACGAGTCACATAATTTAATTTCATAATACATTTTGATATTTAATTTGTATTTCCTTTGAACCTAAATTTGTATTATATGTATTGCAATGTATTTTAAATATATGAATTTTGTATGAATGATCACACCATTTTTGATAACCTACTCTAGGATTACACACAAAACTATCTATGGTTAACTCTGGTGCATTTACATGCCTTTTTAACTTTATTAATTGACATGCTTATCACTGTGCACTGTCCCTGATAGATAAATAAATAAATAAATAATAATATACATCACTTCTAATCATTTATTTATATTACATATTATCCGCTGTGCTTGTACATGAATTAATTCATTTTACCATTCAAACATCTTGAGTTATTGTACTGACTTTCAGTGGGAAGTTTGTATTCCAATTGTGGACTGTCTACTTTATTATCAGATGTACATATCAGATGGCACTAAAGGGACAAAATTTGTCCTGGATGTATTATTCATCAAAGGGTTCTTCTTTTGCAAGCGTCTTGGTAGATACTTTGCATGCCGCTGCAAAGCTTCACATTTCAGGTGAAAAACTGGACTTGCTTGGAGACACAGCACATCCCCAAAGAAAATACAAAAAATCTAAAAACAACACAATCAGCTCAGACTGTATGAGAGCTTATCTCTAAACACAAAAATCTCTAAACCAAACATATTTCAACACAACTGATCCGCTCTACTACAACAATCAAAAACATAAAAATAACTGACACAACTACAGCAGAGTCTCAAGACAACATTAAGTTTTCCTTTAAGATTTAGATATTAAAATTGTAAATTTAGGAGAATCATTCATAAGGTATATAAAGTCATAAAACTACTTTTGTGGAGGAGGAAATGACTAAAGCTGGTCATCTGCAGGGTTACCGCTCGATGTATCAGCAGGTAATTCACAGACTTCTAGTGGTTTCTGAAGAGACAATCAAACTGATAATCAACATTTGTGTTTCAGAGTGGATCAAGCTCAGAGGAGTACCACATCTCTGACACCATCACTAGCCTACACCTGCAGAGACAACAACACCTTATGGCATATGGATTCATATAAACCACAGCCCAATGTCATCCACAAATATTTACAACTGCATAAACAAATATACCCTCGGCATATTCATTTCTGACTCCATAAAAATAGCTTTTGTAGAGGCTGAAATTAATATGCTAGTGATACATCTGTCAATGTAGCCGTGAATATCTGTGAATGACATTGAACTTTATTTTATGATATGAATCCATATGCCAGAATAAGGTATTGATGTCTCTGCAGGCATAAATTACCACAATGTCTGAAACGTGATGCTCATCAAAGCTCAACTCCCTCTGTATCACAAATGTTGATCATCATCAGTTTGATTGTTTCTCACATCCACAGATAAACCTGCACATAACCAGCTTCAGTAATTTCCCCCTTCACAAAGGCACCTTTATGACTTTCAATACATTAGGACTTCCTTCTCCTAAATTTACAACTTTAATCTCTAAATCTTAAAAGAATTAAAAACATAAATGATGTCCTAATCCTCTGCTGTAGTTGTGTCAGCTTTCTGATTTCTAATGTTTTTAATTGTTGAAGCAGAGCATATCATTCATCTCTAACTCTTAAGTGTTTGGTTTACAGATTTTAGTGAGCTCAGACATCATGCTCTCAGATAGCCTGAGCTGACTCTCTGCTGTTTTTGAATTTCTTGTACATTCTTTTAAGCCACACTGTGTCTCCAAGCGAGTCCAGCCTCTCACCTGAAATGCACAGCTGTGCAGCAACAAACACAGCATTCTGAAATACCAACAAAACTAAAGCATGCATAAATGCACGCTTGAAAGATGCTAAACGCGCTTAACATTTCTTAGCATCTCTTGCCAAATGGGACACCATACGCACTGTCGTGACGTCATGCACACTT